ATGCCCAAATGGGATGGACTCTGAGCACTGAATGTAATACTTGACTACTTCCTGACTCAGTGTGTCAGGGAGTCCATAAAGGGCAGTTCTTTTCTCGACTTAGTTCTATTCAGTGACACCTTCCAGGGACTAGAAATAGTTGATCAGCTAGGTGATCATTGCTTAATTACCTTCAAATTGACTTGGGAGAAGCATGCAACCAAACTCTTAAGTAATGTGCAATTTTAGACAACCAAATGTCAAGGGTATAAGATGGAGCTAAGTCACTGGAAGGCATTACTCAAGGGCAAATCAATTGAGGATGAAGAACATTATGCACAACATACAGGATATACAAGTTATATCCAAGTGCAGCAGGACAAATTAAACAAAAATATACTAAAATTGATAACAGGAAAATAAAAAGGGATATTCTGATTTTGTTTACAATGCTTGTTCAGAGAAAGGAGAGATTAACCATTTGGCTGAACATTAGACTGTACAAAAAATATTTTAAAAGATTAGCAAGCCAAAAACTGGAAAGGAACAAAACAAGAATGGAAAACAAAATGCCAATAAATAATTTCAATACTATAACATTGAAAAGGTAGTCAGGGAAGAAGTTAAAACCCTAAAGGATTCAAATGGGTTTAAAAAAATCAGCAGGAGATAGCAAACATATTAAATGACTAATTTAAATGCTTTTTTAAACTATAAACTTGACACTCAACATCCAGTAAACATTGATTGAGCTCCGGACTTTGATATACGTTGGGCTGAGGTTCTGGAAAGGCTTAAGGGGCTTAAGACAGGATGGTAAATTCTCCCCTGGGGTACAAGACAGGAGATTTGCGCAGCATTCACAGACATCACGAGGGAGTCAATTATCACTGTGAAGGTGCCAACAGACAGGAAGCAAACATATTAAGAAAGGTGACAGGCAACTATAGACCCATTAGCCTGACCTTAATAATTGGAAGAATGATGAAGTCGATCATCAGAAAGAAAATGGAATATCACCTGTATAAAAATAATCTAATAATGATGGCCAGTACAGAATCAGAGGGTTCATTTTGTCTGACCATTCGTGTACTTTTTGAGGAGGTGACCTCCCAAATTGACAGTGGAAAGCCATGTGATGTAATGTACCTCGACTTCCAAAAAGCATTTTTCAAAGTGCCACATGAAAGACTGCTTCACAAACTAATGTTAAAAGGTGGCTGAAGGCAAGACTTGGCTTGTATTTGTAATCGACAGAATAGCAGGAAGTCATCAAGGGAATTAAGTCATACAAAGCAGGATGCCTCAGGGCTTATATAGCTATTCCTCCTGTTGTTGTACACATTACTGATTCACTGATCTAGTGCAAGGTAATTACATTTACAGACAACGCCAAGTTGGTGCATTCAGAGGAAGCAGCAAAGATCTTAGAAATAGAGCTTGAAAGGATATGTAAATTGGATAATGATTGACTAAAAAAAATCGATAGATACATGCAGGATACTATATGATATACAAAATATATATATATATATATATATAAAATCTGAATTAAATTTTGTTTCCACACTCCACACGCCTAATCATAATCCCTCAAGAAAACAAACAATAATAAATTGGTCACTTCAATCCACGACTGTTTGTGGGACACTGTTGTACGCAATTTGGCTGCCGCATTTCACCCACAAATATACAGTAAATTCACTTTGCAGTCTATTCTGTGAAGAACTTTGCGATGTCTAGAAGACGTGAAAAGCGCTATATCAAATGCAAGGATTATTATTATTATTATATTCACAGAGTAGAATTATATGGCACACTTACTCCATGGATAGGATAGAACTTGTCAAGGGGGAAATTGAAAGCGACCTAGGAGTTGATTTATTGCGCACAATCTCAAAACTGTGTGAGTCATCAATAAATAAGATTAACAGTATGCTGGGCTATATTGCCAAATCATTTGAGTTGAGATTCCCAGACCTCAGACTCAAGCTGTATAGAGTTGGGCAGATTGCACCTGGAGTATTGCAGTTTTCTGTGGGTCAGTCGGGAGTTTGACAATGCGGAAACCCATCACTATGCTTAAAAGTATCTAAAGCAGATTGAGAGTTCCACCTATACACATTCCATTTACACCATGGAAATTTTTAATTCTGAGAGGATTAGACACAAGAATGGAATGCTCACTCTCCTTAGAGGGGCGCACCCTGCTCGTCCAAAATCCCTGATGGTCCAGCACCCTGGGACATCTTTCTGACATAATAATAATCCTTGCATTTGATATAGCGCTTTTCACATCTTCTAGACATCTCAAAGTGCTTCACAGAATGTGCTGTAAAGTGAATTGACTGTACATTTGTGGGCGAAACGCGGCAGCCAATTGCGCACAGCAGTGTCCCACAAACAGTTGTGGATTGAAAATGACCAATTTATTATTGTTTTTACATGAATGTATACAAGTGTAATTTGTTGTTGTTGCTTACCTAATTCCAGAAAGTATCAGGCGCAGGTTGGCAAGAGCCAAGGCTTGGAGACGCCGCGCTCCACCTCCCTGGACGCTGGACAGTCAGGGATCCACACCTGAGCTGTGTGGGGTGTGGGGGTGGGGCTGGGATCAGGGAGAGTGGAGGGCAGAGAGATGAGGGTGGCCAAAGGCATGGTCAAAGAGCAGAGTCTTCAGGTGTGCTTTGAAGGAGGCAAGGGAAGGAACGAGGTGAAGGGAATGTGGGATGGAGTTCCAGAGGATCGGGACAGAGAGGCTGAAGACCCAACCGCCAATGGTGGAGCAGGCCGGGTGGGGGACATGGAGCAGGCTGGAGCCTGCTGAATGGAGGGAGCAGATAGGTTGATAGGGGGTTAGCAGGTCACGAAAGGTAGGAAGGAGCAAGGCCATGGAGAGCCTTGAAGGTAAGGAAGAGGATTTTGACCTCTAATTTCTGAGGGATGGGGAGCCAGTGGGGCGAGGGTGGTTATGATGGGGTCACAGAGCCTGGTGTAGGAGAGGATGCAAGCTGCAGAGTTCGGGATGATCTGCAGCTTGTGGAGGGAATAGTTGGGAAGAGCAATAAGCAGGGAGTTGGCATAATCGATCCTAGATGTAATGTAGGCATGTATGAGAGTTTCAACAGCCTGAGGGGTGAGGCAGTGGCGGAGCCGGGCACTATTGAGGAGGTGGAGGAAAGCAGATCGGGTAATGGCATGGATATGGGGGCGAAAGGACAGTTGAGGGTCGAACAACACGTCTAGGTTCCTGACTGGCTTGGTGAGGTAGAGTGTGCATCCATGGATGCTGATGTTGTGAGTTCCGGAGTGTGAGGGAGAGATCTGGAGGGGTAGTGGTTGGGAGGACAGAGGCAGCTGAATGGAGCCCTTGATTTTGGTCTCGAGGAAATCCAGCATCTTCTCACAGTTAGAGTTGGAGAAGAGGATGGGACAGGTGTGAGAGGGTGGATTGAGGAGCTGGTTTGTCGTGGAGAAGAGGAACCTGGGATTGTCCTTGGCCTCCAAGATTATCTTGGAATAGAAGGACGAATTAGCGTAGGCAAGGGCAGAACAGTAGGTTTTGAATGTGGTCCAGTCAGATCTGCCAGTGAATCTTTAAATCAGATTTGAGCAAGGTGCGTTCAGCGGCTGGCACCTGACCTTTGAGTGAGCAGAGGTGGCTGGTGTACCCGGGTGAGGTTTGTGAGTAGGAGGTCGTTTAGGAGGTGAGGGGGGTAAGGACATCAAGAATGATGGAGAGGGAGTTGTGGAGGAGAGTGACCGAGGAGGATAAGTCTGTGCAGGAGGTAGGCCAGAGGGGGAAGAGTTCAGACTAGTCCAAGAGTTCAAGAGGGAGTGCGGGGAGATTGTTTTTCAGGGGCGAAAGGAGATGGGGTGGGTTGGGTGGTGGTGGGGAGAGAGATTAAGGAGTTAAGGGAGATAAAATAGTGATCTGAGATGGCTTTATCGGTGATTGTGATATCTGAGACACTGAGGCCCCAGGTAATCACCAGGTTGATTGGGTGTCCATGAACGTGGGTGGCAGAATGGATGTGTTGGGAGAGGAGAAAGGAGAAGTCAGTGGAGATAGAGTAAGAGGGGGTGAAGTGCAGGTTGAAGTTGCCTAGGATGAGGAGGCATTCAGAACAGAGGTAGATGGAAGCTAGGAGGGAGGAGATGTTAGAGATGAACATGGGAGAGGGTTTGGGCGAGACAATAAATTAAGAGAATTTTTAGGGAAAGATTGGAGGGCTGGTAGAGGGTAAGGTGCTCGAAAGAGGGGAATGAGCCAGAGGAGTAGGGGGATAGAGCAAGGACCTGGAGATGAAGGCCACACCATCGCCATGGTGGTTATGATGTGGGTTATGGTGGAAGATACACCCAGGTGGTGTGGCCTCAGTCAGGGGGAAGGTGTCAGCTGGGGTAATCCAGGTTTCAGTGAGGGCTATATAAATATATGCAATTATTGCAGCTGTTGGAGCAGCAAGGCCCTACAGCAGCAAAGCTATGAGATGCATCACCAACTTATCTGGAGATTTGATCACTAGGACACTAGGAATAGTATCATGGATCTTTAATAATAATAATGCATAATAATAGTAATGCATCCCACGGGCCTCAAGTTGGCCATCCTTGGTCTAGATAGCAGTGGAATTTTAGCCTACATTCTGAGCTCAAGTCCCAATGAACCTACAACTTATTCCCCCACAGCGAGAATGTTAGCAACTGAGCCAAGCTTTCTCATGCTTCCTTTAAAAATCCCAAACCCAACAAATCTGGTGCTTGAGTTCAGGGGAGGAACAATGAAACCCATCGTAACACCAACACAAGTCTGAATATAGCAAAACTGATGTGATGATGTGCTCTATTGATTGAGTTTGAGCTGTCTTAATCCATTTCCCAATAAGTGCAAATTCACAGCCAAACATTATCTAGAATTCAATGTGTTTTTGTTGAAATGTTGGATTTTCTTTTCATTCCTCAGCATGAATATCCCTCACTTTGAGCTGTAAAAAATTCACTTTGAAATAGTTGTCCAATTTGCTTGTATAATTTAAGATAATAAGTTTTATTCTGAAGACAAAAACATGCACTGGAAAATAGGATGGGACATAGTTTCAGCCACAGTAGAAGAGCAACAGGGTTATCACAGGAAACACGTTGATAACCCATGATGTGTGCTTAGGGGGTAACAAGACCACAGTCAGTAATTTTACATTCCAACACTGGCCTTTCATTGTTTGTGTCTACATCTTCGAGTTGTTCAAGAACTTTTGTACCCTCTATCAATTGTCTGGCAAAAAAAGAAAAGAAAAGATCACACATGATTAAATACCAGTTACAGGGTAAGATTTGATGTTTAAGAAGAGCACAAATTTAATATGGTTGGGGCTCCTGTAATGCACTTCTCTTCCTTCATGACTATAGACAGCTAATGTTTGGATATATATATGGGTGAGCTTGTATATTGTAACACATAAGCAACCTGTAATTGCACATGTGTGTATATCAGACATAATGATAGTTGGCTGCTGAGTTCGTCCACAGAACACACAATATTGCACTTACAATACTCTCATTTTACAATATATTCTGTTGAAACATTTTGGAATGTCCTCCTGATGTGAAAAACGCTGGACCACCTCCGACGCATCACCCGCCTCTGCCAATACCTCTCTCCAAAAGCTGCTGAAACCCTGGTCCATACCTTTGTCACCTCTCGGCTGGACTATTCTAACGCCCTCCTCTCTGGTCTCCCATCCACTACCATCCATAAAATCCAAATCATTCAAAACTCTGCCGCCCGCATTCTTGCCCGCACAAAACTCCGCTCCCCGATCACCCCAGTCCTTGCCAGACTGCACTGGCTGCCAATCCCAGAGAGGATCGATTTCAAGATCCTCACCGTTGTATTCAAATCCCTCCACTCCTCTGCGCCCCCCGACCTCTCTGACCTTCTCTCTCCTCAAAACAGTACCCATTGCCTTCGTTCCTCCGGGTCTGGCCTCCTCCTCGTCCCCCGAGTCCTCCACTTCACCCTCGGCGGCCGTGCCTTCAGCTACTATGCCCCGAGGCTCTGGAACTGCCTTCCTCACTCCCTTCCCCTCGCCCACTCTCTTTCCACTTTCAGGTCTCTGCTGAAGACCTTTCTTTTCAACCGGGCCTTGGTCACCTTCCTCCCCCTCCCCTTGGCTCGGCACCAGGATCCGTTACTGTAAAGCGCTCTGAGACGCCATCTAGCGTGGAGGGCGCTATATCAATCCAAGTTATTGTTGTTGACCAAAGTTTTGCAGATATGTCAAGTCAACAGGGAGCAAGGCCTGCGGTTCAAGGTTGTGAATGATAATTTTAGGATAGCCACCAGGAAGTTACTTCTTTACACAGTGGATAATTAACAACTGGAACAAGTTACCAAGAAGAACAGTAGAGACCAGGAATGAACTCCTTGATGCTAAAATGAAAATACGGTAGGATTGTCATTTTGGAAAGGTGAGATTAAAAGTGTTGAAGAAACATTTTCATCTGAACCCACTTTATGACGTAAACATGGGCATCTCTCATGTGCTTTGACTGGTTAGTGAGATTTCAGATTTATTAGAGAAACATTCCTGGATTTTAAGGGAAGTTGAGATACACTGCAGCAGATCCAGGAAATTAATCATTCATATTTAAGTACATTTCTAAATTGGTATGAAACTAATCTGGAATTTTTTTTAGAATGTAAAATGGGGTGAGAACTGCAGAATGTGATCTGATTATCACTGGTGATAATCATCACATTATGGGGCGCTTGCAAGTTCCAGTCATCATCTGTTTTAGGGCAAAACCTTCCTCTGACTTACTTCATTAAAATGGTTTCTCCAAAGAGCTGGTTCCTGCAACTGCACAAGCAGTGGGAAGCTTACCAGACAATGTTTGCAAGGGCCAGCTGTGCAGTTCCAGCTGGTTAAACTCTAGTCGTGCTTCAATGCCCTTTCTTGACCCCCAAGTCTCGTTTTATGCCAATCAGCCCCCAATATTTTATGGGATTAGGTAAGCAGAGTGCATTCCTCTAGGAAGAGAGTGCACATTCCATTCCAGACAAAGGAAAATTTCCATGCATATGTGGAACGTTTTGGGTTGTTAAGCATCCAGCTGACCAAGATAGAAAGGCTATTCAGCCAGTCAGCTGGTAGTGCTCTTGATTCTGCTGTCATACAGATTCTACATTTCAGTGCTGCTTCGGGGGATAATTAGCACATCACATACCACATTTTTCACCCCAAGTCTGATTAAAACAAATATACAGTGGTGTGTGGACAAATGATTGATCTAACCATGACCTTAAAAACACCCTAATCAAACTGCGTTCAAACGGTGATGAGTACAAATTGACAGAAAAACTGGAAATCTGAAATTAATATAAGCAGAAATTGACAGCCTGTCCAAAGGATTTGGGACACGACCCTTTATCAAAAGACTGAAAATACTCACCCGAAAGCTACGTATTTGGTGTCCATCCAGGTATTGGGCTGAAGTATGATGTAGAACTGAGATCCGTTAGTGTGTCTTCCCTTGTTAGCCATTCCAATAATTCCCCTCTTCCAGTGAGACACTGCATAATTCTCATCTGGAATAGAAAGCACACTCTATATATGAGCCCACAACACTCACAGCCATTATACGTTCCTGTGAAGTGCTTTGAGACATCCTCTCGATGTGAAAGGCCCTATACCAAATGTAAGGATTATTATCAATAATAATAATGATTCTTGTAAGGACTAGATTATAGTGGAATATCCAAGTGGTGTGATGTGGGTTGACCCAATTTATCTCATTAAATAGTTGTTAAAGAAAGGTTTGCCAGATACTTTCCTCCCAGAGTTGATGTCCCTTTAAAATGATTTACTCCCTTTCTTACTCTCTCTGCAATAGGTGGTTGCATGGATAGAACAAGAAGACAGTTGTTTAAAGTTCTAAATGGCAAATTCAGGACAGATACCAGGAGGTGTTTTTTTACGCAAAGGGTAATCAACGACTGGGACAGTTGCCAGAAAAAGTGATAGAGACCAGGACAGTGGACTCATTTAAAAAGCAGCTTGATGCAGTAATGGCGGGAAAGTAGGGTGGGTGACCAATTTTGTTACCTTGTGATCTTATGAACTAAATATTAAATGTAGCAGGAGAGTTATAACTGTGATTTAAATATGGTGAATTTTATTAACTACTACTACTAATAATTTATTTATGGTCTACGTTAATTAAAACTATCTTGCGTCAGTTGAGCTCTTGACTTGGTATCAAATTCTGGAATTAAACTCCAATGCTTCGACTCAGTCATTCACCCTTCTGAGATTATTAAAATGAATACAACATCTTTTTGGGGAGGTGGGAGAGAAGGAAGAGAAGGTAAACTTGCACTTGAACCATCTCAGGGCAATGAATAGTTGACAACCATCACTGGAGACAAAACAATCAAAAAGGGAATGAAACTGGACCACAAACTGCAGTTTGTACATATATATTAGAAAATATAGATCTGCAGGAATATTAATCATTGTTGCCTTTGGCATATGACCTTTTATATCAGGATGACATCTCAAAGCATTTCACAGGATTTACTGCAAGGTGTTGTGACTGGCTCGAAGGGAGTAACCTCCTTTCAGGGTTCACTTCACTGTTGTGAAGCATTAATGCTAAGGTTTATATTGTCTTCTGAACCCCTTATGAGAGTACTGTTGCCGTGTCAAACCTGAATATCGATTACTTTCTATCTAACTGTTAGTGAACCATTCATCACTATTCTTCTTCAATAGAGACAAATGTTACATCTATTGCTGTTTGACTGAACTTGACTCAAAGATAATAAAGATGATTAAAGCAAAATTCTTTCAAATATGTATTTTAGTTTCTGCCCTGTTCCGGCCTCCCCAGCTCCACCACTCATCTAGTCCAACTGATTCAAAACTCCGCTGCCTCACATCCTCACATATATCTCCACACTCCCAACACCCAGTCCTACCAGGTTCCATTGTCTCCCTATTGCAGAATGAATCAATTTCAAGATCCTAACATTCACTTACAAATCACTTCATGCCCTAGCAACTCCCTATCTCTCCGACCTGCTTACACCCCATTCCCTTCGCTCAGCCAACTCCGAACTTCTGCACGTCCCTCATCCCTTCTGCTCCACCATTGGCCATCCCTTCAGCCACTACGTCCTGAAACTCTGGAACATCCTGCCTGAATCCTTCCACTTTGCCACCTTCTTGTCTATCTTTAGATCACACCATGCCTACAGTCACTTCCCCTCTCTCCCTGGCTCAGAATCATGCTGTGCTATTGTTAAGATCTCCACGTTGTGACCCCACGAGAAGGGCACTATATAAATGCAAGTTGTTGTTGTGGTTGAAACAGGCACCATTCCTGGCTGAAAGCCTAAGGCAGCTGTCCCAAGCTTTGTGCAAATTCCCACCTAGCAATTAGCCACTTAGAGATGGGGGATGAGTCAGCCAAGGCTTCTCTCATGCCCTTTATTTATTGCTCCTCCCTTTGGAAATTGAGGCCTAGCCAAGTTACCTCGTAACTAAGGCAACCCTGAGTAATGAGGAAATAAGGCAATGAGAGTTCACATAATAATAATCCTTGCATTTGATGTAGCGCTTTATCATATCTTCGAGACACCTCAAAGCACCTCACAGAATATATTGTGAAGCGAATTGACGGTATATTTTGTGGGCGAAATGCAACAGCCAATTGCGCCCAGCAATGTCCCATAAACAGTCGTGGATTGAGTGACCAAATAATTTTTATTTATTTTGAAGGATTTATTAGCCCCGGAAAAGCGATTCGACAATCGACTAACAACTGGGTTCCTACTCACTGCTAGGTAAACCACACCACATACCATCATTCCACAATACAGCATTCGTAGCGACAACATGCCTATGGTTTACTCAGAGCCAACTCGGACAAACACCACAGAAAAATTCTTGCCCTCTCTCCCTTCCCCCTTCCTGTTGTAATAATTGTCGCTGATGACACCTTCTTATTAAAGATCAGTCTTTATCCTTACCTTGAAATGTTGGTCCAAAAATAGATTCTCCTCCATCCCCTCTGCTTGTTGGGATATCTTCAGAAGAAATAGAATTATTTACCATAATAAGACTTTAATTGTAGAATAGCATTTTAACCTTTTCAGCAGCAAACCAAAATAATAATCGTGATTTGTTTCTAAAAATTACTGCATCATTTTTTTCTGTAGTTCAACTGTCCTTGAATCTTATACAAAAACCTCTGGACGCTCCCTAAGGAACACAATATGTACAGTAACTTATGGTTGCTGTGTACAATGAGAACATGGTTGTAGGATGAGCACTGGGATCTAAAAGCCATTGATTTGTACATAAATGAGACTGAGATTCTGGATAAGCTCAAGAAGCTTAAAACCAACAAATCCCCTGGTACAGATGACCTGTACTTCAGGATACTTAGGGGACAAGGTAGGACATTAATGCTGCACTGACTGACATTAGGAGGGAACCAGTCTTTCCTGTGGAGGTACTAATGGACTGGAAGAAATAATTAGATCATTAGAAACATTATGTCGGCACTCATCAGAAAAGAAGTGGGGAGTTTACTTGTATAAAAATAAATGACTACCAACGTGGGTTCAGAAAGGGTAGGTCTTGTCTAACCAACCTCATTGACCATTTTTGAGAAATTACAGCCCAGATTGACTGTGAGAAGCCAGATGACATAGTATATCTAGAATTCTCACGCAGAAACCACTTTTACTATTCCTTTGTGGCTTCACAATTTGGATCGGTTACAGACACTCACTTTTTAAATTAGCTATCAGCTGGGCTAATAGAAAGTGCGGAAATGTTTGCCAAAATTGTGGGAAGATTCGCAAAATTTGCAGGAAATTGCGGGGTGGGTTTTGACACATTTTGCTGAAAATGTCGGGGAGTTGGTTTGTGCTATTGAGATACATTTTATTGCCAACTTACATTTTTTCACTTTATTGATAAAAACTAAATATGAGTAAATAACACATATTAGATTGTTGCAAAAAAAAATATTTTTTGCTTCTTTAACAAAACCTGGGTGGTCTTTTTTGGGGGTGTTTGGGGGGAGGGGAAGGAGGGCCACCAGCGAGGCTACAAGAGTTCTCAGGGCCCAGCATCGCACACAGACCCAGAGAGAGAGAGACACGCACAGACCCAGAGAGACACACACACACAGACCCAGAGAGAGAGAGACACACACAGACCCAGAGAGAGACACACACAGAGACCCAGAGAGAGAGAGCACACACACAGACCCAGAGAGAGCACACACACAGACCCAGAGAGAGACACACACACAGACCCAGAGAGAGACACACACACAGACCCAGAGAGAGCACACACACAGACCCAGAGAGAGAGACACACACACACAGACCCAGAGAGAGACATAAACACTGACCCAGAGAGAGACACACACACAGACCCAGAGAGAGAGACACACGCAGACCAAGAGACACACTCACAGACCCAGAGACACACACACACAGAGGGACACACTGCGACACAAAAACACAGAGAGACACACAACACAGACACACACACACACTTTCTCTCTCACTGAAACGAGTGAAGCCCATTTGCCGCTTGCACCGCAGCACGCATTCGCGTCCGCTGTGACAGGCCAGAAACTACATTGATAGTGGGTTTATAGCGGGCTTACAGCAGAGGAAGCTGTTTGTGGCGGATTCCGCGAGAAAAGTGCTGCCGCACTCCTCAGTCTTACCTCCGCCTTGAATCCAGCCATTCTTTACTCGTCTGTGAAAAACAGTGCCTTTGTAACACAGCTGTAACCCATCAGGCATGAGGGCTGGATCCCCTGTGCACAGAGCCCTGAAGTTTTTGCAAGTTATTGGACAGAGATCTGTAAAAAGCTTTGAATATGTTTCTCATTAGTCATTATAGTATTGACTGTCCAACAATATGATTTACCACCCCTCTTGGCCATGCTATTGCCTATTGCGATAGTGAGCCACATAGACACCATCTCCTGGGTTTATACCCTGAGCTTATTAATAAGCAGATCACAACAGGGGAGTGGTGGAGACACTGTCACTGGTCTAAGTAAATGAGGGCTAGGGAAGGGTAAAAGATCAGCTTGTGTTCCCATTTCTGATCACTATCTGGAGATCCATGCTGAAAAGTGCACTTGAAGGAAAATATGGTGGATAGAAGTAAAATTGATAGTGCTCCACTCTCCATGTACACACACAGTCAAATAGACCACCACATCCCATACACACAGTCAAATATACTACGCTACCCCATTCAAATAGAGTCAATTTAATAACCACCGCACCCCATACATTGTCAAATAGACCACCTCACTGCATACAAAGTAAATAGACCACCACATGCACTATGAAGCATGTCTATTTGGGCAAAGGTGAGACAAGGTGGCTACTTGGATGAGTTACTGGAGGGCTGAACTCTCATGGAATCAGAGTCAATTTCTTTAGAAGGGGATGAGATTATGGAATAAAAACAGGATGAAGTGAGTTGAGGTGGGGGGGGGGGGGTGGGGGGGGTTATGTGGGAGTTTTCCCTCTGTTGCTACCTCAAATATGAATCTTCCAATAGGCATCGCATCAATGGAAATATCCATGTAAACAAGACAGTCCTGCAGAAAACAAAGACAGTCTATCACACAGTAACTGGTGTAAAAAACATCACATGACAGAAAAGGAAATTGCATTTCTTCTCCCCCCACAAATAAATACATAAGCTTCTCTCTCCAGATCCACCAGAGATTGATGTTTAACAAAGAGTCACCATCACATGCAAACAAAAGCGAAAATGTCAAATTCAGCAATTACAAGATGCCACAAACAGGGGAACAGAAATTCTTCAAACCCGAGCCTAATGATGACATTTAGCACCCGAGTATCTGACATGTTAAGTAAAAATACACAGAAAATGTGTCTGTATCGCTTCTCACAAATTTTGGATCTTATTATCTAACCTCAGTTAAGGAGTAGGGTTCACCTGGTTAGAGACATATCATTGGCTGCTGCATTTCTCCCACAAAATTCACAGTATAAAATTTACAATATATCCTATGAAGTGCTTTGATTTGTCTCAATGTCGTGATAAGGCGCTATATTAAATGCAAGGATTATTGTTATTAATTATTTATTTATTAGAGACATATCCATGACCACTGCCTATTGCTGATCATTGATTCATTTGCTGGTAGACAGGACTTGAGCAACAAGTGACCCCCTCCCCCCACCCCTAGCTACAATAGCTGCAGCACATCAGTGGCATTGCCCTTGCATTTGGTTGAGCAAATGAACAATAATAAGAAAGCAATTCTCAAAATTTAATTGTGGGGAGGGAGGATTAAGAAAGCTAGGTAACATTTGACTCTGCTTAGGGCAAATATATATATATTTTCTTTCTTTAACCAACATTCTGGCCTTTAAATTGTGCCATTATTTCAGTGAGCATCACCTTCAGATTGTGCTTTAAATTAGCAAAAGAAAAAAACAACAGCAAGCAACAGTAAGATGTAGAAATATAATTTGTCTGCAGTAGCACCACCCGATCCTTCCCTTCCCTCCTCCCTCTAGCCCGCAAATTCTTAAATAAATGACAGAGGCCAATGTTCTTGTGTAAAGATGGTACAGAAATGATAGCTTTATATTGGAAGGAAATCTTTAGGCTTGCCTTGTTCTTGGTCAGAAATTTGAAGTTAAAATCATCAGCTAAAGCTTCAAAAAGAGCATTAGGCCTGAAATCTTGATAGTCGAACTCCTCTTCTGCCCACTTCAGGAATTCTTTCTCGTCACCAATTAACGTGTCATTGATGAAACACATGACCTTTGAACTGAAGCCCCAGACGTCACCTTTCATCTTCTGTCAAAGAGAACCCTCAGTTACCTTCATTTCTACAAACCTAAATCTGATCAGTTAAAGGGGCACTGCTATATTATTTTAAAATTGCCCATACTTTTTTTTGCCATTTATTAAAATAATTTGCATTGAGTCTCACACTGGGGTGGAAAACGTACTGCTGAAAACAATAATATGATTGTCACCTGCTTCCTAGAAAAAACATCCTGCAATGTAAACCTTTTTATCACACCAACTCAGGAGATCTGCCAGAGGCTGATCTCAGGTCACTCTGAGCTTGACCTGAGATCTCCACAGAGCACAGCATTGTGCATCATTGAAGTCTCATGTTGTTGTGATGACAGTGATGCACATTTCTTTTGCCTCTTACCTCTCCCCAAACAAAGAAGCTGTGTTTTTTTTAAATGAATAATAGTGCATCAGTCGCCTCTTTAATACTGATGAACACAGGCATTTCGCAGGATAAATGACCTAGCTATTGCAGATCCAGTGGTCAGAAAATTAATTTTGGCCATCACTTTCACAGCCACTGGGAAAGCAGTGCAATCATTAATGATCCCTTTAAAGGTATTGCATGACATGTAACTCTGACAAAAACGCATTTCAGAATCTGAATCTCTGTAAACACCCTGTTTTTTGAGACCTAGATAGGATATGTGGGGCTCTATGGGGCTGTCCCTATAGTATGGTCATCCACAACTTACTCACATGTGTCTGCGCAACTCTATTCATCCTGCTAGCCTTGCTCTATTCCATTAGCTATCTTTTAGTCTGCTCTTATTTAAGAACTTGGTCTTCAATGTGACTTGTGACTCCAGTAGAGAATGGCAGGTATTTATTTCAAATTTGTATTGGGACTGAAATATTTGGTTCTTTCTCTCTATTTCAGTTTATATTCACTTGTATAATCGATTCCAGATAAATCTATGTCAGAATTTCTCCAAGTCCTACTGATGTATCCAGCTGACTGGGCTGTCATCAGTCATGCCCTGGAGTCATGTAGACATATCTGGCTCAGTAACCAGATGATTGAGACCACCACAAAGGGTTGACTTGATCCCAACCTTTTGTTGCCAAACACGTCACCTTGGAGCTTCTTTGGCTCCAATGAGACCCAGTTTAATTCCCCAAGGCATCAAGTGGGCATTCATTTTTAAATGCATAAATGGTACCCCATTGAGTTATATGATTTCCTAGAGTGACATATACATTGAAAATAGCAAGGGCTTTGAAAAGTGCTCTTGTTTCATGTTTCAATTAATGGAAGGATTTTGAGCCTCAGAAGACGATGAGCCTTTTATTGTTTCCCTGTGAAAGATGTTCCCATCTCTGCTACTTATTATTGCTAGTATTATTATTATCATTCTCACTGAACAGGATCCCAGCTTCCATACCCAATGATGTTGAACTGCTTTTATTACACTGGCTGTGAGTGAATGTCATTAATTGTGAGTGCTTAAGGGACACAATTCTCAAATCAAATCATATTCCTGCTATAAAATATAGCAAATATTTGAGCAATACGGTACACATAAACAAATATCTAAGCAAATTATATATAAATATGTAAGCAAATTATATATAAATATGTAAGCAAATTATATATAAATATTTTAAAAATGTATACAATATTTAATCAAATAGACATTGTATGTACAAATTGACTTAGCTCAGTATTACAACAAACACATATTAACTACATGATAACATGGTAACTACCTTCTGTTTCTCAGTCAAGAATTCAATCCAGGCAAATTCTGAAAGGGGACATATTACTGGTTCAGCCAGCACATCTGGATACCTCAACTTTAGTACCTGTGTAAAAGAAGAATTTATTTTTAAAATAATTTATTTTTAAAACAAAAAATTATTATTAAGCATTTTTCCCTCTGATAACATCTTCCTCTGCAGATTGGAGGTTGGCCTGCTCCAGCCCACATATGGACATCTTCAGTGTCACTCCTCAATATACCTGGCTCCAAGCACGCCAGTTGTTCTTGACTTGTTGTGCAAAGAGCTGATAATCAATATATGTAGATGTATCCTAAGCATTCATAGCAGTTTGTTTGTGGCGATTTACAAAGATTGTACAGCACTGAAACGGGCCATTCAGCTCAACCAGTCTGTGCTGATGTTTACATTCCACATGAGTTCAATGTTATTGTGTTTCTGCATGTCGCTACTCCCACGCTCCCTCTCTACATCTCATTATGTTTCTTTCCTTCCCCCCACCCCGCCCATGATAGTTTAAATCCTCTGTTGCAGCCATACTTATTTTCCCATATTTATATGGATGTAGTGTGCTCCATATCCAGACAGTTATATAAATATTCATTTAGTGTGAATGAAGGCAAGCATATCTGTGTGTGTTTATGTGTGTATGTACATTTGGCATGCCTACAGGCATAAATTAGCTACAGTAAAACTCACTTGAGTCTTATCAGTAGGGACTATAACATTTAATATGACTTACTAAATAGTCTTCAAACCAAGGTACTAAGTTCTCTATATTAATTTCAACATATGTATGGTTTTTTGGTCTGCAGGTACCAAGAACTGCTAGTGAACAGCATAACACTGCATAAAATAACTGAAAATACTGCATTGCCACCATCTTCTTCACCATATCTCCACTCTCTCCCGACTCCATTGGCTCCCTATCCTTCAGAGGATCCAGTTCAAGATCCTGGTCCTCACCTACAAAGCCCTCCATGGCCTCGCCCCACCCTACCTCTCCGACCTCCTAATCCCCTACCAATCCCCCCTTTCCCTCCGCTCAGTCGGCTCCGGCCTCCTCCATGTCCCCCGACCCACCCTCCCTGGAGAGGGTGGTTCGGGGGACATGGAGGAGGCCGGACCATTGGTCTCCAGACCATTGCCTGGAGAGCCTTCAGCCACTCTGCCCCCAACCTCTGGAATTCCATCCCCCAATCACTGCGCCTCGCCTCCTCCTTAGCCTCCTTCAAGTCCCGCCTCAAGACCTTCCTCTTCGACCGTGCCATCGGCCACCCCCCTTCCCCTACCCTCCCCTCTCACCCCCTGACCCCAGCTCGGGTCTGAAATGCTATACGCTGCCCAGCACCTTGGAATGTCCTCCAGACATGAAAGACGCTCTACCAATGTAATCTTATTGTTGTTGGATATAATTATTGAGCAGTGGTTGCACCATTTAGAGGTGCATTGTTGCAGAGAGCAACAACTGCTTATCTCTTTTCATCATCAACATGGCTTGGCATGATCAGCAAAGTTAGTAAGATTACATACTCAGTTAGTATAAACAAAAGGGGACCCAAAACTCATCATTGTGGAATTTGCTACTTACTTTCCTCCATTTTTTCCTCACTGTTTAGTATGACAATGTTCAAACCAGCTGGATAATCTTCCATTAAGTCAATATGTTTCATCGCTTTTAAAGGAAATCTCACACGTGGAACTTAATTAAATGCTTTTCGAAAATCTAACTAAATTACAGGCACCAAATACGGAGATAATATTTGCTGTCCTCCATTTCTTAGGAGTCCTTTAGATAGGCATTTATGGATCTTAAAATAAAAACCAGAGCATTACCTGTTTCTGCTCTGATTTCCTTGAGGATTCTAGATTGCATCTCATGTGCTCTTCTACAAATTAGTTCAGCCTTAAATCTCAAATAATTCTAATTTCCTGTTTTTATATGCTCCCAGGATTTTAGACTTAAGTATAAAATATAAAAACAGAGTATAAAAATATTTAAAAAATATAAAATGCATGTAAAAACAGAAGTCGCTGGGAACACTCCAGCAAGTCAGGCAGCATCTATGGAGAAAGTGAATCAAAGTTTTGGGTGTTCCCAGCGACTTCTGTTTTTGTTTCAGATTTCCAGCATCTGCAGTATTTTGCGTCCATGTCTGAATATATTGTTTTGATCTTTGTGGAAAAAAAAGTTGCTTCATTGGCTAAAGAACCGTGGTTAGAGCACTCGCCTCGCAAGCGAGACACTTGGGTTCGATTCCTGGCATGGCGAAACCTTGGGCAAGTTTCCTTACTCCACACGCCTGATAATAATTTCGTCACTCAATCAACGACTTTTTGTGGGACACTGCTGTGCGCAATTGGCTGCCGCGTTTTGCGCACAAAATATAGTCAATTCACTTTACAGTATATTCTGTGAAGCGCTTTGAGACGTCTAGAAGACGCGAAAAGCGCTATATCAAATGCAAGGATTATTATTATCATTATAGACGTTTCCATCAGTTTGGTTTAAACATTTTATATGAATCAACTTTATCATTCCTCTTAATTTTGAAAAAAAGTTAGATAGCTTCAAACTTTTCCAATGAGAACAAAAATCAACTTGGACGAGATTCCTGAGTCCAGGCATCACTTTTGCATCATGTCAAGGGCTATGATATCCTTCCTGTGCTATGGTAACAGGTGCTGTGAACAACACAATACCTGAGGTCTAATTTACTGCAATATCATCAACTCTTTGCCTCTATAACCAAATGGCTCCAAAATACAGCAAATTTAATTCAAATAATTTAGTAAATAAGATGAAGCAAGTGTAAGCGCCTCATTCACCTGTGCATTGCATGTTACTATATGAAATCTTGGATCTCTGAAAAGGCCGACCACCTCCAGCTTTAGGGGTGGAACCTTGGTGCGTTCTTGAGCATAAGCGCATTTTCGTTTTCTAGGCACAGGGCCACAGGTCGCCATGGTGGAACTTGTAGAGGTGGAAACAGAACACTTATTTCACATTGACCACCTGAGAGCCCACATTTCAGGGTATTGGTGGTGTCCTGTCCTGTGCCAGGAGAGACATGGCACACCACCATTAAATGGTCACTGCCAAACCCCATTCATAATCAATCATTTGTGATGTCACAGCAAATGCACAGCTCAGGTTTAATACTGAACAATTTTATATCCATTAATAAGTTAGATCATTTGTTTGCAATACCAACTATGCTTTATGATCATGTTGCCCTGGCTCATTTGGTAGCATTCTCGCCTCTGAGTCAAAGAGCTGTGGGTTCAAGACCCATGCCAGGATTTGGAACTCATATAGTCTAAGATAACACTCCAATGCAGTCATGGGGGTTGTTAGAGGTGCCATATTTTGGATGAGGCAATAAACCGAGGCCCCACTCCATGTTTAGGTGGATATTAAAGATCCCAGGCACGATCGGAAAAAAGAAGGCAGTTTCTCCTGCTCTCCTGGCCAATGAGGTGCTACACCAAATGCAATGCCAAATGTAAAGGGTTATTATGGAGTCCTGTAGCTCAGTGGTTAGAGCACTGTTCTTGCAAGCGAGACACCTGGGTTCAATTCCAGGCAGGGTGAAACCTTGGGCAAATTTCCTTACTCCACACGCCTAATAATAATTCCTCCAAAACAAAAAACAATAATAAATTGGTCATTTTCAATCCACGACTGTTTGTGGGACACTGCTGTGCGCAATTGGCTGCTGCGTTTTGCCCACACATATACAGTCAATTCACTTTACAGCATATTCTGTGAAGCTCTTTGAGATGTCTAGAAGACGTGAAAAGCGCTATATCAAATGCAAGGATTATTATTACTATTATTAATAATTAATTACTGAAAAGTGGAGCTCCTCAAATACAGTTTTAAAACCCGGTAACAAGGTCCAAGAACACAGGCTCTAAGATTGAAGATGTTTAGCGCCAGGGAATAGTTAGAAGTAATGAAACGCTACAGGCAATTGTGCACAGCAATGTTCTACAAACAGTCGTGGATTGAAGTGACCAATTTATTATTATTTTTTTGAAAGAATTATTACCCCCGGAAAAGCGATCCTCCAGGCAGGCGGAGTAGTGCTACGGGACACTATCCTGTGTGAAGGGCTCCATATGAATGCAAATTGTTGTTCTTGAGTATGAAGTTCCAATTGGTTTGAATTAGATGGGTTAACTGATAGGATTGGTAGCATGACTGCATGAAAATAGATAACAGAAGAAAAGGATCATGAGCCATATGGAAGAGAAGGTATACAGACAAGTATTAATTTTCCACCAAGTCAATAGATATCTATCAAAGATCAAAAACAGAGATGGTCTCATTGTTAGCCATGAGTTATAAGCAAATGGAATTCCTGAGTGGTTAAACAAAGCTGGAAATTATTTCTGGAGTCTGGTCTCTCTGAATATTATTTGCATATTCTCTATTTATTTGATAATATCCTTAATTTCTTTGAAAACCTTGTGTGTTTCACCGGGTTGCTGTTCTTACATCTAGGTAAGGAGATTGCGTTGGAATGGGTTATTATGATCTATCTCATATAGGTTATAATAATAATTTGGTCACTCAATCCATGACTGTTTCTGGATCACTGTTGTGTACAATTGGCTGCCATGTTCTCCCACAAAATATGCAGTCAATTCACTCTACAGAATATTCTGTGAAGCGCTTTGAGATGTCTTGAAGATGTGATAAGGCGCTATATCAAATGTAAGGATTATTATTATTATTGTAACACATACATCAATCAGTCAATATTATTGCTTTAATCCTAGATAACATATATATTATACATATACAAAAATATATACATGGTTTGTAGGACACTGCTTCAACTGCACAATTGGCTACCACATTTCGCCCATAAAATATGCAGTCAACCAACTTTGCAATATATCCTGTGAAACGCTTTGAGATGTGTTAACAAAATCAAAGTTATTGAAATGATAAAGCGCTATATCAAATGCAAGGATTATTATTATACACATTCACACAGATATTGGCAATTTTTATGAACCATTTAATGCAATACTGTATTCTGAAGTAAAATCAGAAAAGTGCAACCTGGTAACAGATTTATTCTACTATTAAGAGCCCCTTTGTATTTACAGATTACGTGGGCTCTTTCAAACCAAATTAAACAGTAAATAATACAATGCAATGAAAAGTATCAATTACCTCAGCTGCACATTTTGCCATGTAAAATGCTGGCTTTGACTGAAGGCCAAACACTTCAAGCTGCAAACATGGAGCCATCTTAGATGAGTGGCTGTAAACAAACATGCAGTTTCCATGGAGAACTCTGCAAATCCCCCACGTGTGGAAAGGATGATTTGGAGACAAGCTGACTACAGAAGAGCTAATAATGACCGCACCAAAGTGCTTCCATTATTTATGATTCAAAAGTAAAAAGTCCATTAAACAATTCAACAGATATTAAATTTTTTTAATATTTAAAGATATTACGCGTCTCGTAAGCATGGGTGTAATTCAAAAAATGAATTCCTCTTAACTATTCAATGATTGCGGTAGTAAATGGTTTACATATGTCTTAATAGAGTGCAGCGTGTAATTTGATATCACCAAATAGTGCCTACGTTTGCTCTCTCATTGAACTATGAAGAAATACAACCTGTTGCTGGGCAACATCTTTATCTCAAGCCACCAAACATACATACACAGCAATATATTAGCTTACTCCTTTCGTATTTAAATCATTTTAACCATCTAGAGAATGGTTACTGAACATTGAAATCCGCCCACAGTACAGAGACTGCACTTGTGAAAGTCACAAATGATATCCTCTCTATCTGTGACCAGGGCTCCCTCTGCCTCCTTGTCCTCCTGGACCTCTCCGTCGCTTTTGACACAGTCAATCACGCCATCCTCCTCCACCGCCTTTCCTCCGTCATCCACCTCAGTGGGACCGCACTCGGCTGGTTCGAGTCCTATCTCACGAACCGCCAGCAATACGTCTGCACAAATGGCTTCTCCTCCCGCTCTCACCCGGTTACCTGCTGTGTGCCCCAAGGATCCATCCTTGGCCCCCTCCTCTTTCTGATCTATATGCACCCTCTTAGGGATGTCATCTGCAGACATGGGGTACACTTCCACGTGTATGTAGATGACACCCAACTCTATTTCTCCACCTCCAGCTGCGACCCCCAGTCCCCTGATGTTCTGTCAGCCTGTCTGTCAGACATCAGGAGCTGGATGGGCATGAATTTCCTTTAACTAAACATTGATAAGACGGACGCCATACTCTTTGGCTCTCGATAACGTCTAAAATCACACAGTTCTCACCTCCTCCACCTACCCAAACTCCTTCTAAAACTCTCTGAACCCGTATGCAACCCAGGCGTCAGGTTCGACCCCCAATTATCCTTCCTCCCCCACATCCGGTCCCTCACCAGCACCGCTTTCTTCCACCTCCGACGCATCTCCCATCTCTGCCAATACCTCACTCCAAAAGCCGCTGAAACCCTGGTCCATGCCTTTGTCACCTCTCGGACGGACTATTCAAATGCCCTCCTCGCCGGTCTCCCCTCCACTACCATTGATAAAATCCAGGTCATACAAAACTCTACCCCACATTCTAACCCACACCAAACTCCGCTCCATGATCACCCCAGTCCTTGCCAGACTGCACTGGCTGCCTGTCCCAGAGAGGATCGACTTCAAGATCCTCACTTGTTTTCAAATCCCTCCACTCCTCTGCACCCCCTACCTCTCTGACCTCCTCTCTCCTCAGTGCCCGCTGCCTTCGTTCCACCGGGTCTGGCATGCTTCTTGTCCCCAGAGTCCTCTGCTTCACCCTCGACGGCTGTGCCTTCAGCCACTACGCCCCATGACTCTGGAAATCCCTTCGTGCTCACTCCCTTCACCTCGCCCCCTCTCTTCCTACTTTCAGGTCTCTGCTGAAGACCTTTCTTTTCGACCGCGCCTTTGGTCACCTTCCTCCCCCTCCCCCTGACTCAGCCCCGGGATCCGGTACTGTGAAGCGCTGAGACGCCGTCCGGTGTGGAGGGCGCTATATAAATCCAAGTTGTTGTTATTCATTGCATTTCTATTGGATACACTTTTGTTGTCATGCTTATTGTATTTTTATAGTCAGCCACTGAAATTTTAGATATTATGCCCCTCCTTTCTAAAATGCATTGTCCGAACGTATCAAAAACCTACCCTTTGATTGTGCAGTTATTGCTTTGTTACTTAGTTTTCAAAGATTGCATATTTCTTCTTTGTTAATGGTTTTGTTAAAATAATAAATCAAATAATTTAGAACTACCAGATTGCTCATTATTCTTTTATTTAAAAAAATGCAATGTGCATTCAGGTCTCTGTCAATGTTGCTTTGTGCCAGCTTAAAAGCAGCCTCTTGTTTTGTTATTCCAAAAGGTTTGGGTTCCCTAAGATTTTAATGCGTCAACTTCTTTGACATTTTAATCTCACCATTTTTAGAGAAAACAAAAGCCTGCTCACAGTGGGCACAAAGAAGTTTTGTAAAGGCCTGGGTGCAAGTCACATATTTTCATAGAGTGATAGGTACCTGAAACAAACCGTCAGTGAAGGTGGTGGAACAAGGAACTCTATAAGATTACAAGAGATGGATGCATCAAAGAAATTTTGGGGGAAAAATGGGCTGTATGGATATTGTTTTACTCCTGCCTGAAACTTACTAGGTTACAAGTTCATGCTGAGCCACAGGCAATGTATAGACCAGAAAGAAAAACAGGTTTCATAGCTTACTTCCCAAATTTCAATTCAAACTTCCCAATAATTTTAGTGACAACTGTATCAAAAGGCCAGAAATGTACATGAAAGGCAATAAATCTTGCTTAAAAGCATCCACCTGTACCTCTGCAGTCCTCACCTAAGCTGCCATTCTACATGTGTAAGACTGGAAACTTATTCAGCTGTGGATGGCTGAGCCAGATCTGCTTTCATCTGTAAATAGTGATCAGGAGTAGATACACTGGCTGATAGTTTCCCCTAAAGGGAGAAGTTACTATAGGGCGCAGTCTAACAGGTAGGTTTTAAAATAGGATTTGGAGAGAATATGCTCACCTCAGAGTCAGAAGGCTATCAGGACTTGGAACCCACATGTCTATGCTGACACTCCAATGCAGTGCGGAAGGGTTGTGCCTCATTGTTAGAGGTACTATCCTTCAATCGAGATGATGAACCAAGATCCCATGTTATATTCAAAAACAGAAAGAAATTTATCTGGGTGTCTAGGCCAATAATCCCAATAAAAGTGTACGCAAATTGGCTACTATGCTTGCCACAAAATACGCATGGTCACGCCACTTTATAGTATATCCTGTGAAGCTCTTTGAGGCGTCTCAATGAGATTATAAGGCCCTATATAAAATACAAGGATTATTATACATTATATTTTTATTTCTTCGCTGTTCTTATCCAACACACAGAGGGGGTTAGGCAGTATTACAAAATCTAGACGTCTGAGACACCAACTCAAAGGATTGACTCTCCAACTTAATCTATTTTCACAGCAGGGTTCCCTTCAGTCACACTAATGTGTGAGATACTTTGTTCCCAGGGGTCCTCTGCTTGGATTTCTTACTGTAAAAATATTTCTCAATTAAGGAATCATGCAAAATTGACCTACTATTATCAAGTATAGTAAAAATGTTGCTGACATTTGAAATAAGTGCGTAAACATTTAAAAAAATTATACAACATAATTTTAGTAAAAATTGTATCAAGTTAAAAAAAAGTGCCTACAAAATAGTTACTACGCTTTAAAGTAAAATCCTGTGAAATATTTTGAGATGTGACCCAGATGTGAAAAGTGCTATATCAAACTGCAATAAAACATATTCATGAGGGAAATCATGCAATTAGCCACGAGTTGACTAAAAGTCCTTTGTACACTGCTTGGAATTTTTCTCCTAACATTTATAAATATAAATTATGCTCTGATAGTTACACACATAAAATATAAATTAACAGAACAACGTTCAGAAAATTTGGGGGGACAACTTATAATTTGTTTGGGCACTTGAATGCTCCCTTGCACATGTATGATTCACTGGTCAACCCATGGATGGACAGACGATGGATTGATGACATATATTATTGAGTATGAGTCTATAAATGATTGCTATAGGGTGTGGGTGGCGAAGCCTCTGATTACCCCTCTCGCCTTGTTCCTGCTCTATGCTTCTGGACGAGTGTCGACAAAATAGAATTGTTGTGTTTAGATAAATGGCATAACTCATATTCTACATCATCATGATACACCAGCTTGCAACTTCATTTTAATAGCAACGTGTAGGATTTGAGTTAATAGCTGCTTTTCATCCAAAGTTGTTCACAGTTAATATCCAATATGTGAATATGTATCCAAAGTTAATAGCTGCCATTTATCAAAAGATGTTTATTTTTAAATAATGACAATAAAATCTGCAAAACATTTTGGATTCCAGGACAATATTAGTCCATCTCAATGCAAACAAGTATTTTTGGAACATTTCAAAATAAAACAAAATATTGTACTGTGCTTCCAAATGTATATGTCTTGTTCAATTATCGCTGAAGTAATATATTGCTTAAAATGTTGAGACTCCAGCAATAACTGCAGATTGGGAGATGTATACTGTAGCTTCTCATAGCTATATCTGCCAAAACAAGATGTAAAGCAATCTGATACAATTATTCTACACCCAAAGTAATATGCTGCAGCCTCTCCCAAAAACAAAATATTTTAGACTAGATATGTGGAAATTAGAGGTCCAAAGATTTTTAATTTAAAATGGTGCAGAATTCTGTGCAGTTTTAATCTTAAATCAACGAATGAAACTAAGGCCCTCAGACATTTTAACTTTGCATAACACAGCACAGATACATTGTTGTCCATCTTATTTGTAGGCTAAAGGCATCATTGTTTTGCAACATATAAAAATAACTGATTATATTTAGCAGTAAATTCTAATTTATTTTTAACAAGTAAGCATGCTAGTAGCAAATTATTTTAAATTCTAGGTTGGAAGCTATTTTAAAAATAGAGGTGAAAAACATGTTTGGGTGTTTGTTACAAAGCATCACAATTCACTCAAGAAGTTACATTGCTAAATATTTCTTGTGTTATTTGTCCTGATCCTGTTTTTAGAAAAAGAAATTAAATATCTAAACCTGAAATTAAGGTACATAATGAGCCATTGCGCAGTTCCCAATCTGTGATTAACCATGAATTATTCAGACATAATAGTTTAAATTATAAGTATGAAGGGAAGAATCATAATTTTTAAATAACTGCATTGCCATATTTGTCTTTTAATTCAAAAATAATTAACTACGAAAAGGACAGCAATGCGTTCATTTTGTTGTAAAAGTTTAAGTCATTGGTTAAAAGGACCAAGAAAGTTATAAGATAAATTCACATTGCGATTTACCCACAAGTATAGTCAGTTCATTTTACAGAATATTCTGTGAAGCGCTTTAATGAGTCTAGCGACGTGAAAAGCGCTATATCAAATGCAAGTATTATTATTGAACCAACTTTGTATTAAAATATCAGTGCTCAAGCAATGTGAATGTTACTCTGGCAAATCAATGTAGAAAAGATTAATGTTGACATTAATCAATGGTAATGAAACAGAGTACTGTCCTCCACAATAGCACAGGCTCTATAGTAAACGTTTCCACGAAACGTTCCCCTCCTCAGTTTATATTTTCCTTTCATAGGTGGTGGGGGACGGGGGTAAGGGAGAGATGAGGGAATTCCAACAGTCAGCTATTGCAGACAGTGCAACAAAACAAATACTGCAAAAGAGATCAAGACAAGTTCAAATGGGTGGGTGGTTGGGGGGGTAGGGGTGTTTAAAGAAGCCTTCACAATGTAGTGCTAAACAGAAACAGTATGTAGAAATTCTGGAGATCACTAGGGACTGCAACATCTGAGTAAAAGCTCAGAGAGGTGCTAAAATCTCTCAGGTCATTATGCAATCATAAAAATTTGATCTTCAGTAAGGAATTCCAGTTACAGGTAAAGATTTGCCTAGCTCTGGGTAACTAGGTTAGTGTACAGGTAAGAAACACCATCTGCTTGCAGTTGGAATGTCTGCTCTGTGACCTGCTGTTCTTGTATATGCTGGGAGCTTCGGTTCACAGAGATTGGTTGAGAAGGTGGCTCAGGAATGTGTGTTGGTCGACTTTGTTGGAGATGCTCAGTTGCTTCCTGGCTGAGATGCACTGATTGAGTGGATGCCTGTCCAAGAGTAATAGGCTGTGATCGCCCCTGTGTGATCTGCAATTGCTGTGCTTGATCCTGGAGGTGTTCCATTGCCTCCTTTGTCAGTGTGATCACGTGCATTTGTTCCGTCTGCCCTGCACTGCCATGATTTTCCACCATCCCAATGGCCTGGATGTGGTCCGCTTGCCCGGGCTGAGTTACCAAAGTCAAGTTCTGCATGTGCTCACTTTGCTGAGTCAGCAGGGCCAGGTTTGAGGTTTGGTCCTCGGGGAGGTTCTGGGATCCTTCAGCAGAAATAATGCTGATGCTCTGGCCATGGGCCGGCATGAAATTAATATTGTGGACATTATTGGTCACCACCAGCTGTATCTGCTGTTCACCTGCTGTGGGAAGCTGGTACTGCTGCAGCTGGAGGATGGTCTTCACCTGCTCTGCACCACCATCTTCAACGTCATTCTCTAGACCTTGGCACTTCCTTTCTTTGCTGTGTATTTTCATATGGGACCTAAGGTTGTCAGCACGAGTGAACCGCTGGTTGCAGGTCGGGCACACAAAGGGTTTGTTTCCAGTGTGCATGGCATCATGACGCCTCTTTGCACTGGGATCAGCGAAGGACTTTCCACAGGTGTTGCAAGAAAAGGGTTTTTCTCCCCTGGAAAACATTGATTTTATTATAAATCAGTTTCTAGGTGTGAAACCTGAGCCACTGTTTCTTTAGTTTGACTTTTAAGTGAGAATTCAATGTTGACAAATACATAAAAAGGCACTGGAACACCCCACAATATACCTGTGGATTCTTATGTGGGTCTGTAGAGTATTCTTTGCAGTAAAGCATTTACCACAAATTTCACATGTAAATGGCTTCTCACCTGAAAAATAAAAATCAGCCTTTTATCGTTCCTGGTCACAATTATTCTTTTACGGTTAAATCCCCCATTTGGATCCTTTTGGTAGAGGGAAGGTTCATCCCCCATCTAGCTCGTCAATTCCCCCTTGTTAAACATTTCAATCCAATCACTAGTTAACTTGCTCAACTCTAGGAAATACAGCATTTCTAACACCATTCCATAATAAACATGAGTTGCTTCCAAACCTATGTCATTTCTACAGCTGATGCAGAGGTTAGAAATATGGAACAATTTTCTCTGCAAAATGTGTTCTCCACCATGCATTTTAATAATAATCCTTGCATTTGAGATAATGCCTTATCATGTCTTTGAGACGTCTCAAAGCGCTTCACAGAATATACTGTAAAGTCAATTAACTATATTTGTGGGCGAAGCGTGGCAGCCAATTGCACACAGCAGTGTCCCACAAACAGTCGTGGATTGAGTGACCAAATTATAATTTTTTTTAAAAAAAGGGATTATTACCCCCGGAAAGTGATCTGCCAATCGATTAACAACTGGATTCCTACTTATTGTTAAGTAGGCAGAGGAATGGAGTAAGGAAACTTGCCCAAGAATTGCACCCGGGTCCTCTCGCTTGCAAGGCGCGTGCTCTAACCAATATGATACAGGAGTCCACACACCTTATACACAATAAGTTACCTGTGTGGGTTCTTAGATGTTTCTTGAGCTGAGCAGCATCCATGAATTTACGATGACAATACACACATTCAGGCATAGACTGACCTATTAAAATACATCATGGGAAAATATTTAATATTAGAAAACAAAGTTTGTAAACCTTTGCTGCATTTCCAATTTTCTGACTGAAATGGTAGTGGAATTACTGTACCACACAAGTGAATCAACACCAATACATTACTTAGGGATTGTGACAGCTTGTGGGAGTTTCAGGGAAAATCCTGGTGAGGGCAGACTTGCAACAAATTTGGAAGATCACACATTCAAGTTATAGATGCAGAACAATTATTTTGATATATAATCTTCCCCCAGCGAGATATGCTCAGCAATAAATAGGATTGATGTGACTTGATTTTATCTGAGGAGAAATTTAACTTGCAAAAGCAGAACTGATTGTGTATAATTTCAGTCCGGCCCAACATTCAAATACACAGGGCTCAAGCATCTTTTTCTCTGATATCATTCACTGATCTAACCAGCAGAACAGAAAGATTAAACTGTATTTTAGTATCATCTGCACAGCACCTCCAAACATGCATTACTGCACAGTAGTATCAGGCAAAATTATAAGATCAGCCCTCGTGATTAAAGAGAAAGTGGTACCAACTGAGCCAAAGTGGCATTGCAATGTTACTGTATCCTGTGAAAATATTACAATTAGATGTCAATAATCAATTATATTTTCAATAAAGTGATCACAGAAATTGAGGTGGCCAAAAACAGCACATACTACAAGAGCAAACTATAAGCAATGTCCAATGGTCATAAAAATGTCTTTATGCACACAAAGCTTTGTCACTCTAGCTATCAATTGCTAGAGTACTCCAACCAAATCCTTGATAATGCTCCAAAAACGAGAATCAATCATTGCAACATCATAATTCATCTGTTGAGAAATAATGACTGCATATTCTGTATGTGCAGCTTTAAGATCTTCAACATTAAACACATACTGTACTATATAAAATATTGCTTAAAGATCTATATCCCATTTCCTTTCCTCTGTCAAAAGGAACATGATGCACTAGGTTATAAGGCAGGTTCCACCACTATTGATGCTAGGGATGTTAAAAACTGTTTATTACACAAATTATGTGATTACATTACATCTGTGGTGCAGAATTCTCTGGTTGTGAACTTTGCTTGAACATCCTTCAGATGTTTAAGAATACAATACTAAAGGAACGCATGCCCGCTTACCAGTGTGCACTCTGTAATGGCTCTTCAGTTGTCTCTTCTGTGTAAAAAACTTTCCACATTGGTCACAACTAAAGGCCTTCTTTCCTTAAAAGAAGATAAATTTGATTTTTACCTTTTTTACCCCACAGACAGCATAAAGCATAATTCCCCAACATCAGATTAGCATGTGTATAGGAACAGACCTGCTCATGTAAGGTATTGTAAGACTTAGTTTNAAAAATATATTGAGTACTACAACCAAACAGAAAATTCATATATTTTTAAAAAGTACAATTGTTTATGATACATTAGTTAGAGTTAACTATTAATGGAGAGCATTTGCTTCTTTAAGATTCCAGTATAACTTCAAAACAAATTTAAAATACAGAATCATGACCAGTCTAATGAATGAACACGACTGAGGTCGAGTTACCACCACAGATCACTGGTATTTCTAGGCAATGTAAAAGAACCTCATAGCATCATGCATACAAAGAACTTGATCCAACAAACCTTAGTCGCACTTTGGACAGCTTCCAAGGACACACACATTTTTTTTAAAAATTGGAAAATAGTCCTTTACGTGTTATCTATTATTACATTCTCAACTAATAATAATAAATCTCTTCAGTTATTTCCCGGTTCTGAAGGTAGATGGGGAAACTGCCTGCAGCTGCCAATAACCGGAGATGCCAGACTGCAGGATTCTTCTCCATGGTAAGGAAAATACCCAGAGTAATTTGTATGTCCCATGCTTAAGAGTTCCCAGACTCTCCCATGTTGGCATCAGGCAGAAGGACAATCAAAAACCTCAGTGGTGCAGAGTGCTTGAGTGCTAACATGCTACACCACCTGTAAATAACTGCTATTAAAGCTAAACGTAAACACATAGTTTAAATGAAATACACAATAATGCTCCGCAAATTAACTGAATTAAGTAGTATCAGGATAAGCACTTCTCTCATCTCTGAGAATCTGTCACATCAAAAGATTAGTATGTGAAATGAAAGTTTCTGATCATTTCAAATACTGCTTATGATTATAATTTATTACAAGGAAACAATAATTTGCACTGATTTCACTTTTCACATAGGAGATTCACATAAGAGCTTTACACAGATTGAATGGGAGTCAAATGAGGGGTAGCGGTAGGGGTCGAAAGTGCAATTGAAGAGTGATTTTTAAGACAGATTTTGAAAGAAGAGAGGCAAACCAGGGAGATTTTGAAAGAGTTCCAAAGAGTGGGCAGAGAGGCTGAAAGCTCGCCTGCCAATAGTGGGCAGAGTGAGTGGGGAATTTAAGGATAGCCTATTGCAAAACTTCAAAGTTCCATTTTTAACAAATGCCAACCAGGAAGGCAGAATTTGAACCTGGTGAGATCAGTGAAATGGGGGGGGGGGGGAATTCAGAGGAGCAACAAACAGCAGAAGAGCATGGAATTGAGCTTTGGCGATTTATAGCTTCAAAAATGTCTATATAAAATAGGATACTTAATAGTCAAACTCACTGAAGCACGAACATAAAAGTGACACCCAAATGCGAGGCATATTTTTGTAGCAATACATTTACATATCAGTGTGATAAAACCACTGTACATTTTTGCTCTGAGACCTCAAACCAAGTGAAGGGTGCCATACAAATATAAGTCATTAGAGCATGGAATACATTGCCACAAGTAATAATGGCCTCTAATATTACTTGTACTTTACCAATTCAATCAATGAAGTAACGGAGTGCAATGTACGTACCTGTGTGCAAACTCATATGCTCCAAGAGAGAATGTTTGGTGGTCAGTGACTTCCCGCACACTGTGCAGTGGTACGGACGCTCTCCTGTGTGCATCCTCTCATGAACTTGCAACGTGTGCTTCTGTGAAAATCCTTTGCCGCATTCATAACATTTAAAAGGTCGTTCACCTGATGTGGAACAAGCCTTTTTAAAATTAATGTTAAAATGTTCCCTCATTCAATTGTTTTTCACATGTAATTATCTCAGCAACCTCACCCATACTCTCTTAAAGGTGCCTTTTGACTCTGGTACCTTAACTAAGTGACTACTCTTTATGATGGTAAGCGTTGGCCAGCTATTGAACTATGTGAGGCATTAAAAGCTAAAGCAGAAGTGTCAAACTCATTCAGCTTCAGGTGGATAAGCATCAAGTTACATAGCTGTTGCTTCCTATGGAAATGGCCACCTCCGATGTCATTTCCTGCATGCTGCATTGGGCCGGGTAGGCTGGTTTCCTATACAAAAAGGACACCACTGACGATATTTCCCGCATGCTGCAAATACACAGTGTGCAGAAAAGCTGCCAATTACCCTCCAAGGTGTTTGGGACACTCACATAAGTGGACTCGCTCAATAGAGAGATGTACTATATTGGATGATCCTAAATTTAGACGTTGAAGCATCAGATAACCGTCATCTCTTTGATGGTGTAACAGCATTATATGTCAGGCTTAAGCTGAGTTCAACTTTAGGAACAACAACAACAAAATTACATTTATACAATACCTTTACGTCGGGAGGATGTCCCAAGGCACTGGACAGTAAGGGGTCAGGACCAGAGCATGGGGGAGGGGTGGGGTAGGGGTGAGAGAAGGCAGAGAGGTGGGAGGACAACTGAAGGCATGATCGAAGAGGAGGGTCTTGAGACCGGCCTTGAAGGAGGCAAGGGAGGAAGCGAGGCAAAGGGACTGTGGGATGGAGTTCCAGAGTATGGAGGCAGAGAGGCTGAAAGCCCGGCCGCCGATGGTAGGGCAGATCGGGCGGGAACATGGAGCAGACCGGAGCCCGATGAACGGAGGGAGTGGGCAGATTGGTAGGGAGTCAGCAGGTCAGAGTGGTAGGAGGAGGCAAGGCCATGGATGGCCTTGAAAGTGAGGACAAGGATCTTGATCCTCTGAGGGATGGGAAGCCAGTGGAATCGGGCGAGGGTGGGAGTGATAGGGTCACAGAGCCTGGTGTGTGAGAGTACACGAGCTGCAGACTTTTGGATGATCTGCAGGTTGTGAAGGGAAGAGTTGGGAAGGCCGATGAGGAGGGAGTTCCCATAATCAGCCTTGATATGACGGACGCGTGGGTGAGGGTTTCGGCAGCCCGAGGGGTGAGGCAGTGTCGGAGTCTGGCAGTGTTGCGGAGGTGGTGGTAGGCAGTGCGTGAGGTTGAGTGTGCAGCCGTGGAGGCTGATGTTGCCAGCGCCCGAGATGTGGAGGCTCTGGTGAGAGCTAATCAGGAGGGCCTCGGTCTTGCTGACGTTGAGTTGGAGAAAGTTGTCCCTCGTCCAGGACTTGATGTCGGACAGGCACTCGGTCAGTTGAGGGTGGAGGCAGAGAGATAGAGTTGGGTGTCATCCGCATACATGGGGAAATGTACCCCATGTCTGCGGATGATGTCACCAAGAGGGAGCACGTAGAGGGTGAAGAGGAGGGGACCGAGGACAGAGTCCTGAGGAACGCCGTACGAGACAGTGCGGAGGCCGGAGGAAAAGCCGTTTGCAGAGACAAAGTGGAGACGGTGTGAAAGATAGAACCTGAACCAGTCAAGGACAGAACCTTGAAGGTTGAGGTGGGAGGAGAGGCGGTGGAGGAGGATTGAGTGGTCCACAGTATCAAAGGCGACGGAGAGGTCGAGGAGGCAGAGGGAGCCCTGGCCACACAGGTTCAGGTGCTCGGGTCAATGTAAATTAATGTTTGATATTCCTGCAATAAAGCCAGGCTTCATTCAATAATAATCATAAGCATAATAATCTTTACGTTTGATACAACGCTGAAACATCTCAAAGCACTTCACAAGTAATTGCTAGTAGCAACTGTATATTTGTAGGCAAAAAGCAGCAATTATTTCCCTTTTTTCAAATAGTGTTATGTAATCTTTAGTTCCCACCTGAACCTCAGTTTAAGGTCTCATCTGAAGGACGGCAACTCTGGCAGCATCTCCCCCAATATAGCACTGAAAAATCTGCAAAGACTATAAGCTTGTCTCAGTTTGGGGTTTCGACACACAACCTTCTGAGCCATGTCCTACTAACTGAGCCAAACGGACATCCTGATATAGGACTGAGGGTTCAACAATAAGTATTTTGCCTCAAACATTATAATTCTGATAATGGATTAATTTGCTGACAGAATAAGAGAATGCTTCTATCCTAGTGATTTATCTTATTGCTTTGTTGTTTGGAGTAAAACAGAGCAACCAGGGCTTTACTGCTCCTCTGCACCCTCTCTGCAGTGCTGGGGTCCTGTCTAAAGTAGCGTGACCTCGGCTATAGATCATCAGTATGGGTACTAGAAATTTTACATTATTGGTTTAGTGCTTTTCCAACCGTAAAAATGAAACAAATAATACATGCTCACCGGTATGTGTCCTCCGATGTATGGCCAAGAAGTGATGATTTTTAAACACTTTATCACAGTCCTCACATCGAGGCTCCACATCTGGATATTTCCTCTTTCGCCCACGTTTCCTTACTTCCTCCTGTTCCTCATCTTCCGTGCCAAGCCTGTAACCCATTAGTTTAATGGGTCTCTGAATTCTACGGTTGCTGTAGCGGCTCCGGCTCACAAGTGTGGCTATTTTATGTCCATAATCTTCTGCCTGAGAATCAGTGCCAAAATCTGCATCAAGATGGTCTTCTGCCTCTAACAACTTGTGGTTCTGCACTTCTTGCACTAGATTGTTCATTGGATCACTATTTTCCTCTGTAGGTTGCTTGAGGTTGGTTGTATTTTGCTGTTCGTGAACCAGGCTCTCACTAATAACCTCATCAGTGTCTGCTTGCACTTGTTCACATTTTCGAGGTCTCCCTCTCTTGCGTTTTGGCTTTGAAGGTTGTTGATTGCCAGTGCTAGGTTCCACAACAACTACGTTAATCCCATTGGAGGCCAGTGACATATTAACATCTAGATGGTTGTGCTGATAGTCTGAGTAAGCTTTTACCAAGTCATTCACTTTAAGCACCTGGGCAGTGCTCACTATGTGCTCAATGGACTTCTCAGTTACATTCAAACAACCTGTGTATATGAATTCCAGCACTATATGGAATGTGTCTGCAGCCATTCCATCAAGCATATAGATAGTTTGACCCAAATGGTGCTCATCTGCAAACATCAGGGAGAAATATTCACTGCTGGCAGCCAGCAGGGCTTTATGTGCTTTGAAGTGAACATTCTCAACAATTAAAGTGATATCACATAGAAAATCCCGCTTTCTTTGCTCTTCAAAGTTGGTCAGAATAGTGTCTTTGTGAGTCTTGGACTGGATTAACAGAGAAGAGGTAGTAGGGTCATTGGGCAATGTCTCAGCCATCTTGGTATCGCTCAATCAATCATACCTCTATCTGACACACCTGTCAAAAGGAAAACACACCTTAGTGAATTTAAAAGGTAAAACCTTTGCTCATTCTCAACAAAAGCACAAATTTGAGATGATCACGAATATATAACTCAAGGGAAAATTAAAACAAAAGATTTACAGAGCAGGAAGCTGGATTTTGGTGGTTTTTGCCACAGACTAGTTGAAACATAGTCTTCAACAACTTGCATTTAGATAGTACCCTTCACATAGGTTACTGTGGAATCCTGTAGCTCAGTGGTTAGAGCACTTGCCTCGCAAGCGAGAGCCCTGGATTCAATTCCCAGCAGGGCGAAACGTTGGGCATGTTTCCTCACTCCACACGCTTCTGTTTTACCTAGCAGAGAATACGAACCCGGTTGTTAGTCGATTGGCGGATTGTTTTTCCTAGGGTAATAATTTCTTTAAAAGAAAAGAAATTGGTCACTCAATCCATGATTGTTTGTGGGATACTGCTGTGTGCAATTGGCTGCTGCATTTCGCCCACAAAATATACAATCAATTCACTTTACAATATATTCTTTGAATTACCTTGAGACGGCTCAATGATGTGATAAGGCGCTGTATCAAATGCAAGGATGATTATTATTAATTATTAGGATTACTGTCTCAGAGAGCTTCACAGGGATGTTGTTAGATGCTGAACATGGGAGCGGGTCTATCTCTCTGTCACAGTTTACTGGCTCTCTCTGTCTGAGTCTTCCTCTCAGTTGTCTCAGTCTCACTAAGTCTCTCCGTGTCTTAATCTCTCTCTCTCTCTCAGTCTTTCTGTCCATCTCTCTCTCTGTCTCGGCCTCTCTCTCTCTGTCCCGGTCTCTGTCCCGGTCTCTCTCTGTCCCGGTCTCTCTCTGTCTCGGTCTCTCTCTGTCTCGGTCTCTCTCTGTCTCGGTCTCTCTCTGTCTCGGTCTCTCTCTGTCTCGGTCTCTCTCTGTCTCGGTCTCTCTCTCTCTGTCTCGGTCCCTCTCTCTCTCTGTCTCGGTCTCTCTTTCTCTCTCTGTCTGTCTCTCTCTCTCTGTCTCTCTCAGTCAAAAACAACATCCTTTCTATCTGTGACCAGGGCTCCCTCTGCCTCCTCATCCTACTGGATCTTTCGGCCGTGTTCAACAGAGTCGACCATGCCACCCTCCTTCACTGTTTCTCCTCCCTCATTCAAATTAGTGGCACTGTAATCACATAGTTCGAGTCCTACTTAACCAACCACCTCCATTTCATCCCGGCAAATGGTTTCTCCTCCCGACCCCGCCCGGTCACCTGCAGGATACCCCGTCCTTGGCCCTCTTCTTTTCCTTATCTATATGCTCTCACTGGGCGATGTCATCCACAGACACGGGGTAAACTTCCACATGTATGCGGATGACACACAAATCTACTTTGCCTCCTCCAGTACCAACTCCAGGTCCGTCGATGTTCTATCAGCTTGTCTGGCAGACATCTGGGCCTGGATGAGTGCAAACTTCCTGCAGCTGAATGTGGGCAAGACAGAAGCCATACTCCTTGGCTCCCATCAATGTCTTCACTCCAGCGGATCTAAATTCCTTAACCTCCCTGGGCTCTCACTCAGACTCACCGAACCAGTGCGCAATCTAGGCATCTGGTTCGACCCCCAGCTGTCCTTCCTCCCTCACATCTGGTCCCTGATCAGGACCGCCTTCCTCCACCTCCGCCACATTGCCCGCTTCTGACCGTACCTTATTCCAAATGCAGCCGAAACCCTCATACATGCGTTTGTCACCTCCCGCCTGGATTACTCAAACGCACTCCTCACCGGTCTCCCCAGCTCCACCATTCAAAATATCCAACTCATTCAGAACTCTGCCGCCTACATACTTACCCGAACCAAACCCCATACCCACATCTCACCAGTTCTGACCAGGCTCCACTGGCTCCCCATCACCAAACGGATCAACTTCAAGATCCTCACACTCATGTTCAAATCTCTTCACTCTCTGGCACCTCCCAATCTCTCCGACCTCCTCACTCCCCAATCCACCACCCAGCATCTCCGGTCGACTGTCACCGGCTTCCTGCTTGTCCCTCGCACCCTCGGCCCATCGGAGATCACGCTTTCAGCCACTGCGCCCCGAAACTCCAGAACACTCTGCCTCAATCCCTCTGCCTTGCCCCTTTCTCGCTTTTGTCAAGTCCCGCCTGAAAACCTTCTGCTTCGATCATGCTTACGGCCATCTCCCCACACACCTGCCGGCTCAGAGTCAGGCTCCACCACTGTTAAGAGCTCTGAGATACTACCATGTGTACTATTATAAGTGCCAGTTGTTGTTGTCTTTCTTTTAAAACCTCTCTCTGTCCCACTTTCTGTCTCAGTCTCTCTGTCTCTTTGTGTGTGTGTGTGCCTCTCTCTCTTTCTGTCCCTCTCTGTCTCGCTCTCTCTCTATATATATATATCCCTCTCTCTTTCTCTATCTGTCCCCCCCTCTCTCTGTCCCCCCCCTCTCTCTCTCTCTGTCCCCTCTTCTCTCTCTCTCTCTCTGTCTGCGTCTGTCTGCGTCTCTGCCTATCTGTCTCTCTGTCTCTCTCTGTGTCTCTGCCTCTCTGTGGGTCTGTCTCTCTGTCAGTCTCAGTCTCTCTGTCTGTCTCTGTCTGTCTGTGTCGGTCTGTGTCGGTCTGTGTCGGTCTGTGTCGGTCTGTGTCGGTCTGTCGGTCTCTCCGTCTGTGCCTATCTGTGAGTCTCTGTCTGTCTCTCTGTCTGTGTCTCCCTGTCTGTGTCTCCCTGTCTTTCTGTCTGTCTCCCTGTCTTTCTGTCTGTGTCTGTCTGCCTCCCTGTCTGTCTGTGTCTGTCTGCCTCCCTGTCTGTCTGTGTCTGTCTGTCTCCCTGTGTCTCCCATGCCTGTCTCCCTGTGCCTGTCTGTCTGTGTCTCTCTGTGCCTGTCTCCCTGTGCCTGTCTGTGTCTCTCTGTGTCGGTCTGTCTGTCTGTCTGTCTGTCTGTCTCTCTCTGTCTGTCTGTCTCTCTGTCTGTCTGTCTGTCTCTGTCTGTCTCTGTCTGTCTCTCTCTGTCTGTCTCTGTCTGTCTGTCTCTGTCTGTCTGTCTCTGTCTCTCTGTGCCTGTCTGTGTCTCTGTGCCTCTGTGTCTATCTGTCTGTGCCTGTCTGTGTCTGTCTGTCTCTGTCTGTCTGTCTCTGTCTGTCTGTCTCTGTCTGTCTGTCTGTCTCTGTCTGTCTCTCTCTGTCTGTCTCTGTCTGTCTGTCTCTGTCTGTCTGTCTCTGTCTGTCTGTCTCTGTCTGTCTGTGCCTGTCTCTCTGTGCCTGTCTGTGTCTCTGTGCCTCTGTGTCTATCTGTCTGTGCCTGTCTGTGTCTGTCTGTCTGGGTCTGTCTGTCTGTCTGTGTCTCGCTGGGTCTGTCTGTGTCTGTCTGTCTGTCTGTGTCTCGCTGGGTCTGTCTGTCTGTCTGTCTGTGTCTGTCTGTCTGAAGTTTGAATTCGGCTCCTTTTCTCCTCCGATGGTAAATAATGATTCAAACCACGTGTTTTAAATTCAAACTAAAGAATCCCGTGAAAAGACTAAAAAATAAAGCAGAACCGAGTGTTGGCCGCGCGGACACACAACAGAAAATCCTGAACAGAAGCAAAATGAAATGTGAAATATATAAACCTTCCGCCGCCACCAACTGCCAGAGCCGCCATCGGCCTCAGCAAACCTCGCGCGACTTCATCAGGAGCGAGAGCCCGAGACCCGCGTCACCACCAGGCGCCGTCACACAACGTCACCACCAGGCGCCGTCACACAACGTCACCACCAGGCGCCGTCACACAACGTCACCACCAGGAGCCGTCACACAACGTCACCACCAGGCGCCGTCACACAACGTCACCACCAGGAGCCGTCACACAACGTCACCACCAGGAGCAGAGACACAACGTCACCACCAGGAGCAGAGACACAACGTCACCACCAGGAGCAGAGACACAACGTCACCACCAGGAGCCGTGACGCAATGTCACCACCAGGAGCAGAGACACAACGTCACCACCAGGAGCCGTGACGCAATGTCGCCACCAGGAGCCGTGACGCAATGTCACCACCAGGAGCCGTGACGCAATGTCGCCACCAGGAGCCGTGACGCAATGTCGCCACCAGGAGCCGTGACGCAATGTCGCCACCAGGAGCAGAGACGCAACGTCACCACCAGGAGTCGTGACGCAACGTCGCCACCAGGAGCCGTGACGCAATGTCGCCACCAGGAGCAGAGACACAACGTCACCACCAGGAGTCGTGACGCAACGTCGCCACCAGGAGCCGTGACGCAATGTCGCCACCAGGAGTCGTGACGCAACGTCGCCACCTCTCCAAGGCCCTGGAATGAGCCGTCTGGTCCCAGCTTTGCTCTTTCCTCTCCTGCTATTCCCTCTCTGATCCCCTCCAATTGTGTTTCCGCGCTGCCCACAGCCCTGGTCAAAGTCACTTACGACATTCTGAACATCTGCAGCCAGGGCTCTGTCTGCCTCCTTGACCTCTCTGCTGCCTTCAACATTGTCAACCATTCTATCTTCCTACACCGCCTTTCATCTCAGCTCAGTCTTCACGGACCTGCCCTTCCCTGGTTTGAATCCTACCTCGTCCACCGTCTCCACTCTGTCGCCACTAACAGCTTCTTCTCCAGCTCCCGCACCACCACGTGTGGCGTCCCTCAGGGCTCTGTCCTTGGTTCCGCTCCTTTTCAATATCTATATGCTCCCTCTTGGTGACATCATCCGTAGACATGGGATCAACTTCCACATGTATGTGGATGACACCCAACTCTACTTCTCTGCTCCACCCTCGATTGCAGCACCACTACTGTCCTCGCAGACTGCCTGTCAGCCATCAAGACCTGGATGAAAGCTAACTTTTTGCAGTTGCAAGTGAACAAGACCAAGGCCCTCATGCTTGGCTCCCATCAGCGCCTCCATACTTCAGGCACTGGCAGCATCTCCCTCCATGGATGCACTCTACATCTCACAGAGCCAATACGGAATCTCAGTGTGCTGTTTGACCCTCAACTGTCCTTTATACCCCACATCCGTGCCATGACCTGCTCTGCCTTCCCCCAGGTCCGCAACATTGCTCGGCTCTGCCACTGTCTCACACCACAGGTCGCCGAAAACCTCATACACGCATTCTTTACATCCAGGCTCGACTACGCAAACTCCGTTTGTTGGCCTCCCCAATCCCTCCCTCCATAGGATGCAGATCCTTCAGAACTCTGCAGCCCATATCCTCTCCCGCACCAGGCTCTGCGATCCTATCCCGCCATCTGACTCCACTGGTTTCCCATCATACAGAGGATATAGTTCAAGATTCTGGTCCTCACCTTCAAAGCCCTCCATGGCCTTGCTCCCCTCCACCTCTGCAACCTCCTATCACCCTACCAACCTACCTGCGCCCTCCACTCAGTGGGCTCCGGCCTGCTTCACGTCCCCCACCTTGCCCGTCCCACCATTGACAGGCGGGCCTTCAGCCACTCTGCTCCCACCCTCTGGAACTCTATCCTGCAGTCCCTTCGCCTCGCCCCCTCCTTTGCCTCCTTCAAGACCTGCCTCAAGATCCTCCTCTTCGACCGTGCTTTCGATCACCCTCCTTCCCTCCGCCATCCCCAATCCAGACCCTCAGCTCGGGTCCGAAACACTGATTGTCCAGCGCCCGACATGAAAGGCACTATACAAATATAATTTTGTTGCTTTCAGTACAACAACAAGATTACATTTGTATAGCGCCTTTTATGTCGGGAGGACGTAACAAGGCGCTGGACAGTGTACAGCATTTCAGACCCGAGCTGGGGTTGGGGGGGGTAAGGAAGGGGGGTGGTCGATGGCATGATTGAAGAGGAGGGTCTTGAGTACAGCGTTTCAGACCCGCACAGGTAAAACCATAGGAGAGAACACATTGGCATAATCTGAGATTTTTCAATGTTCACTTGAAGGCTTATTTAGGACTTGATTATGACAGGCAGACTGTCAGAACCCAGGGTGGAGACAGAGAGGTAGAATTGGGCATCATCTGTTAGTGGAAGCAGATCCTATGTGCGCCATTAGTCTGAATCATCACTTATGAAGAATGTTGAGGTGTTACAATGTGATAAAGTGCTTTAAAAATTGAATGTCTTTATTTTGACAATTGTTTCTTAAACATCCATCGTCCTCTGATGATCTATTTTGTAAAGCTACTGCTTAATATTAAACTGCACTGTACAGATCTGGAAGGTTCCAGGTTAAATTCCTGGCAGTAGCAGGAGTACAATGGTTAGCCTGGCTAGGGAGGGAAAGATCAGCTCTGATTGTCACTCTGAACACTATTATGTATATGATGATGGGTGAAGATGGGATTAGGCTTGGCTGTGATGGTGCTTAGAGTTGAACAATCTGCTAACACGCACTGTTTTGGGTCTCACCTGCCTACCATTCTCCAAGGGTCTAGAGATATCAGAGGGTGACTTATTATATACTAACATGAATTTGTACCTTCAGAAAAGTGTTCAAAAATTTAAGAAAAAACAACAAATATTTTTCCTTCACACATTTTATTATCATCTCCATGTATAGTAAAGTCATAAACAAAAAGCAATTAATATTTTTCTAAACTTCTAAAGAAACATTAATTGTTAATCATAAATACAACTTATTTTCTAACAAGGTAGTAAATCAGACTGAAGCAGCAAAGTGTAATTGTTGGTACCTGAATGAAGGATTTTAAAACCAGTAAACATATTAGAGTTTATACTGGAGGCGATATTGTGGTGAAAGACACTGACATACTAATGTATTATCTTTGAAATGATAAAAAAATTGTGCATTGTAAATTTGGACCAGTCTAGCTAGGCTAGTCACTTCGGACCAGATCTTTGCTAGTGGTGATTGGCTACCTGCTTAGCAGAAGGGAGAGGGAAAAGAACAAAACTACCTCTTACTGCTTGTGTGTACTTAAATTTGTATTCATCAATGGCATTGACAAAAGTCTGGTTGCAGTTTACTATAAATTGGTGTGTGGCATGAGAACAATAAACAAAACAAAAATATTATTAAAAATTTCTTAACGTAAAACAGAATTCAATAATTAATAACATAACATTAACCATTGAATAATTTGTCAGAAATCTTAGAACTATGGCCTAAAAGAGAGTTCATTTAAAAAAATTGTGGTAGTTATACATTACAAATCTAAAAAATCGAAGGTTCAACATGTTTGAGAGATAGAAATTTTTGTAATTTGTAATCAAAGTCAATGGGTCTGTCTTTAGGTTCTCTATATTTTTGAGTCATCTTTGATCCCAAGTAAGCGATAAGTTCACAGTTTTCCTCATACTGCTCCAGCTTCTTTTTGTATTTGTTTCGCAGGAATTCAAAGCTTTTTGGGTTGTATGCTAGAAACAATAAATAATAATAAATAATCCTTATATATATATATGGGATAGTGCCTTTCATATCAGGAGGACGTCTCAAAGTGTTTCACAGAATACACAATAAAGTGCAGTGACTGTGTTTTGTGGCAAACAGAAAATAAATTTAAAACTATTGTTGTTCCAATCAAGCAAAATCAATAGGCAATAATTGTATGTTGGTATGTATCCATTGTGGTTTTGTTTTGCTTTCTACTGTCTCATATTTGAGCAATATTACTTACAGCTTTGATGAAAGTACCTATACAACAACAACAAGATTACATTTGTATAGTGCCTTTCACATCGGGAGGATGTCCCAAGGCGCTGTACTACTATGTTAGCAAATTAGTTTTGTTCTAGCATGACATATGGTCACAACAATGTATCCGAAGGATAGTGACTACAGATTAACTAATTCATGTAGATTTAGATAGCATGGCTTTAATAAGAAAACAACAAAGTAATGAAAGAACCCTAGATTTATAATTTTGATCAGAAAATCAATCATGAAAGTTAAATTAATCACAGCTTCCATAACTGACAAACACTGCACATTTTCAAATATGGCTAATTAAGTTTTTAACTGCTGAATTGACATACTTAACATACCTTTCAAATGAAAAGCAATATAGAGAAGTGCAGATCTCTTCACATTTAAGAACGGATACTTAGGCTTCAAACAGCCTACAGCGGTCAATGCTTTGATTATTGACACAGCTACACCCTTCAAAACATGAGATATGGATAAAAACATGAGAAATGGATAAACATTCTTTGATTTCTATTTATGCAGAATAAACGTTTCACTGAAGAGACTGCGGGATTGAAATTATTAGCCATATGGTGCTTGAGTAAATATGTTTAGTTGATGGACGTTAAATCATAGACGGCAGGTGGCTAGATCTAGAGGGGGTCCATGCCCAATCTACCCATAGCTCACCTCTTTAAGGAAGCTTGGAGGTGAAAGTCCTCAGCCCTAGGAGGACCACAGTCAGTCCTCTGAGGAGCCCCGACCCATGGCAACTGCTGGCCCCCTCTTGCTCCTCTCCCAACTCATCGGTGGCACCCGTTCACTTTCAGTCTGGTGGGCTGCTAATATCTTGCCTGTCTTAGAAGGGACTTAGAGGGGGCGTGTAACTGAGCTTTACTCACTCACCTAAAGAATATGTTCATCTGCTGCCCATGTGTATAATTTTTGTTTAAAAATGAGTAGAAGATAATAATAATAATCCTTGCATTTGATATAGCGCATTTCACGTCGGGAGGACGTTCCAAAGCGCTTCACAGAACACACTGTAAAGTGAATTGACTGTATTTTTGTGGGCGAACGCGGCAGACAATTGCGCACAGCAATGTCCCACAAACGGTCGTAGATTGAAAATGACCAATTTTTATTATTGTTTATGGTTTTGGAGGAATTATTATTAGGCGTGTGGAGTAAGGAAACTTGCCCAAGGTTTCGCCTGGAATTGAACCCAGGTCTCTCGCTTGCAAAGCGAGTGCTCTAACCACTGAGCTACAGGACTCCAAGATGTATTGTTTCCTTGTTACTCTCTGTTACTCAAGTGCTTCAGTGCTAGTCAAGGTCAAAATCTAATGACTAGACCACAGTCTATCAGAAGCTGTTTTCAGAAAGAGGTTCTGATCCCCAGGTAACAAGTACAGAGATATTGTTAAATCAGTTGAGATGTCTTTCTCAGGTTGTACAGTACTCTGGTTGGATCACACCTTGAGTACCTCACACAGTTTTTGTCACTTTGACGCAAGGGGATGCCTGGGCCTTAAGAGGCACTGCAGAAGTGAGCAACAAGGATGATCCCCAGCGGACTGAGCTATGAGCAACAATTAGAGAAGCTCAGGCACATCAGTCTTGAGAGAAGACTTCTGTGAGGTCTTAGAGGGGATCTCGTAGAGATGTATAAAATTTTAAATGGGACTGAAAAAGTAAACCCAGTTCAATATTTTAGAATGCACCAAGACTATAGAATGAGATGACCTAGACCTCAGAAATGTAAAGAACAATTTTAGGACAGGTACCAGGAAATTTTGTTTTATTTAGAGGATAATCAATGACTGGAACATGTTGCCAGGAAAGGTGGTAGAGGCCAGGATGTTGGAATCATTTAAAAAGCAGCTTGATGTATAATGGAGCGGATGGCAGGGTGGGTGTTGTGCAGGGATGAGATTGGCTGGGCTTCATCCAGACCAATCTTGTAATGTGGAATGCAGTAGGAGTCAGGTCAGTGAGCCCCACACAGCAGAGAAGGTAGGTGCAGAAGTAGGAAGTGTAAACATCCTATGTAGTGCACTGATGGCACATTGTCAGGGATTTAAATATGGAAAAATACTTTAGTTTTTCTGTTTTTATTAATAACATTTATTAATTTTAATTTATTAAACAAATAACTGCTGAGTATTTAGTTTAATCATATATTTAAATGAACTAGCTTTAACAGGCCTTACTTGTTCCATGTATCCAAGCATGGGAAGTGAAGTGAGAAGTATTGGCTCTTTCACTGGTGGAAGTTTATTTGGAAGCTTCAGGTCCCAGTATTTCTCAGGCAAACTGAAAGAGATTAAAATGTTAAGGCTTACTTTTAAATTCATAGATTCTGTACAATAATACAAATTTACATTTATAGAGCGTCTTTCACATCAGGAGGACCTCCCAAAGTGCTGGGCAGTCCAAGGTTTGCAACCAAGCTGGGGATGGGGGCACAGGGGGAAAGATGGCCGAAGGTGTGGTCAAAGATTTTGAAGGAGGCTAGATAAGGGGTAAGTAGAAGGACCTCTGGGATTTAGTTCCACAGGGTGGGGGCAGGAATGCTGAAAGCTTGATCATCGATGGTGGGGCAGGGGATGTGAAGCAGCCCACTAAGTGGAGGTTGCGACTGAGTTTGTATCTTAAAACGCATTAGATAATTTTGTATCTAGATATTCCAATACACTTATGGACAACAGTAGGAAAAGGCACTCAATTACCACCTATTTGTAATAACTACAGTCAAGCATCTAAATAAGCAATAAAGTTTATTACTATAGGTAATAAGCAAATCAAATGTTGGCCTTTCCCTCAAGGGGCCTGGAAAACAAAGGGGAAGAAATGATGCTTCAGCTTTATAGAGCCCATCTGCAGTATTGCGTTCAGTTTTGGGCACCACACCTCAGGAAAGATATATCGGCCCTGGAGGGGGTGCAGCGCAGGTTCACCAGAATGTTACCAGGCCTAAAAGGGATAAGTTATGAGGACAGGCTGAGTAAATATGGATTGTAATCCCTTGAGTTTAGAAGGTTGAGGGTGATTTGATTGAGGTATTTAAGATGATAAAGGGATTTGATACGGTAGATACAGAGAAGCTATTTCCTCTGGTGGGGGAATCCAAAACAAGGGGCATAGTCTTAAAATTAGAACCAGGCCATTTAAGAGTGAAATCAGGAAGCATTTTTTCACTCAAAGGATGGTAGAAATCTGGAATTCTCTCCCCAAAAAGACTGTGGATGATGGATCCATCCACACCTTCAAGAGTGAAGTTGATAGATTTTTGGTAGGTCAGGGTATTAAGGGATACGGGGAGAAAACGGGAAATTGGAATTGAAAGGATTAGTTGAGGTACAAATCAGCCATGATCTGATTAAATGATGGAATAGGCTCAAAGGGCTGAATGGCCTACTCCGGTTCTATATTCCTATATTCTTATGTAAGTATATTACAGCAGTACCAACAACAACTGATGGCAGCAGCACTGGAATAATAACAAAGTAATTTTGCTACCCTCGGAGGTAGCTACCAGTCCCTTCCCTGATAGGTCTTCATACAACCTCCAGATTCAGCAGCAAAGTGGCTTTTGTGGATGTCATATTGGCCCATAAGGAAGATCTGTTTGAGCAGATTGCAAAAAAAAAAAGAGACAAGAAATATGCTGACAAGAAAAAGGGTGTAGGGTAAGATTATGGACATGGCCACCACTCTGCCTGAAGATCAATGAAGGAGGGCAGGAAGAAGTGGCATGATTTAAATAGGAGTGCTCAGGTATCTAGTCAAAATTATACATTCACCTATGAAATAGTCAGTCGACTTTACAGTATGAAGTGGAGTGCTTTGAGATGTCCTCTTGATTCGAAAGATTCTTTATATCAAATGTAAGGATTATTATGCCATAAAGAGTGCAGTAGCACAAATTGTATGCAAATGGTTGTAAATGTCAGCATATATCCTTCAGACCTATTGCTCTTTTAGCAATAGGATAGCAATGTTTGTTCATGGGTTATTTTTTCTGTTATATGAAATGATCCATTTATTCTTTTTAATTTAAAATGAATGCAAAATATGTGGTCTAATTCTGGGAAAGCATCAGTGTTGCAGCAATGCGATACAATGTTAATACACTTGGAAAAGTCTTTGAGGAATGGAATTTGCGTACTGGAACCTGAAATGAAATGTTGTGCTAGACCCTGAAAGAAATGCTGCACTCATTTATTTGCAATGAATCTTGGCTTTGCATTTCTGGCCAAATTGACAATACCGTATAATAATTAAAACCTACCCAGATATCTAAATGTTTGTTCCGCCTGCTTGTTAAAAGCATATTTATGTAAGCATAAATATGTATGGGGGCATATGGCATATTACTGATTTCTCTTTAAGGAAATAATGCAATCAACTAATATAAATTCATCTCTTTACATACAGTCTTTATAATATCTGTGCAAAACCAGCTTCCAATAATAATAATCCTTGCGTTTGAAATGCTGCCTTTTGCATCCCCAAGACATCTTAAAGTGCTTCACAGGATATACTCTAAAGTGGATTGACTGTATATTTTGTGAGCGGCAACTAGTTGCACACAGCAATAGAATGGAATGAGTGACCAATTTAATTGGGAGATTGTTTCCCAGGACACAAATTGATTAGATTTGAGAGTTTTTGAAATTTCTGTACAAAATTTTAATTTTAAGACAAAGCTTAAAGCTAGAACTTTTTGTAAAAATTTAGGAAGTGCTCTATAATGCCACTGTGTAAAGGTTTCTAAATTTGTGGTTGGATACTGCAAAATTCTCTGTATTGCCAAGGTTGGAGGCATTCAGATGACTATAACAACAACAACAAATTGCATTTATATCGTGCCTTTATGGGGGAGGATACACCAAGGCACTGGACAGTCAAGGGTTTGCACTTGAGTTGGGGATTGGAATCAAGAGGAGTGGAGGGCAAGGGGAGTGGGAGGATAACCAAAGGCACAGTCAAAAAGGAACAACAACAAATCTCATTCATATAGCATCCTTCATGCTGGGTAGCATCCTGTAGGCGGAGTACGACTACGAGCCAGGGGGAGAGGGAGGGGGAAGGTGACCGTGAACACAATCAAAAGGGAAGGTCTTTAGGTAGGATTTGAAGATGGCGAGGGAGGGGACAAGGCAAAGGGATTGAGGGAGAGAATTCCAGAGTTTCGGGGCGTAGTAGCTGAAGGCACGGCCATCGATGGTGGAACAGAGGCCACGAGGGAGAAACAGGAGGCCAGAGCCAGGTGAGCAGAGGCAGTGGGTGGTGGTGTGGTGGGGGTAAGAAGATGGGAGGCCCTGAAGGGAATTGAAAACGAGTGAGAGGTTCTTGATATTGATCCGTTCGATGATTGGGAGCCAGTGCAGTCTGGTGTGATGGAGATACAGAGTTTTCTACTGGTGAATATCTGGGCAGCGGAAGGACTTTCCCACTCTTCTGCTCGCTTGTCTAGCGATGCTCATTTATCATAAGCAGTAAGCAATATCAATATTTAGTAAATTGAAGTGAGCTGGCTGGAGAACTTTACCATAATTCTAACAATAATCTGCACAATAGTTTACTTCCTCAATCATGGTTTCTCAATTTTCCCCTGGTAGGAGAATCTATAACCAGGGGTCACAGTCTTAAAATTAAGGGTCAGCCTTTTAGAACAGAGTTGAGAAAACGTTTCTTCACTCAGAAGGCTGTAGATGCTCAGTCTTTGAACATCTTCAAGGCTGAGACTGATAGATTTTTTTAAAATAGAGGGATTGGGGGGTATGGGGATAGGGTAGGTAATTAGAGTTAGGTCTGAAGATCAGCCATGATCTTACTGAATGACGGGGCAGGCTCGAGGGGCCGAATGGCCTACTCCTGCTCCTAATTCTTATGTTCTTATGTTCATTTCAAAGCTAATTATAACAAAGATAATAAAATACAAATAACATGACATGAAGGGAATTGTGAAAACAACTGTTACACTGAAAGCATCAATATCTATTGTTTAGAATAAGTTACCGCATGAATTTCTCAAGATGTTCCTCGTCCTGAAAAATATATATTTTCTCCTTGTATTCAACAGCAAAGTCAATGTTTCCTGGGATGAGGGCTTCATATCTGTTGAAAATAATCAGAAAAGAAATTTCAAAGCAAATTAGTCCTCAGTCTGTCTGTTCATTGGACTTGGTGTATCTTTTCCTGATCTTTCTGACAGGATTATGATGCTTCTGTTTGCGAACAGTATTATACTGTGGCAGACTCACCTGGGAGCCTTTTGTACTGCACCCACAATTGTTGATTCTTATCTGTACGTTGGAGTTGTGGTGGACCAATTTTTGCTTGGACACTGTCCTGAAGGATTGCACAGAGAGGAGGTGAAGACCACTCTGGTTCCAGGATACCAATGCAGGTCAAGCTTGCGGCATGTAAGACCTGTGTGCAAACCATCATTCTTTATGGACTCTGAGCTCTTTGGGATGCAGGGAGGGACTTTCTCTGACCCATTTCCAAATTCGAGGATTAAGCAGTGAGGCATCAAACATGGGCAGCAGGCAGCTGCAGGGAGGGAGGGCTCCGGCCTATACTGACATGTCATTCTGCACCCTAGCTGGCTTATTGGCGGGAATTGGAAGGGCAGATGAGTCACTGGGGGCAGGGACTCTTTCCATTCAACTCCCTTTAACCCTGCAAGCCAAAGCCCTAACAAGTAGGATGATCCCAGCTGGACAAGCAGCAGCAAAGCTTCAATAATAATAATAATCCTTGCATTTGATGTAGCAATTTTCACGTCTTCTAGATATCTCAAAATGCTTCACCAAATATACTGTAAAGTGAATTGACTGTATATTTTTGGGGTAAAACCCGGCCGCCAATTGCGCACAGCAGTGTCTCACAAACAACAAAAACAAGATTACATTTGTACAGCACCTTTCACCTTGGGAGGACCTCCCAAAGTGCTGGACAGTGTACAGCATTTCAGACCCGAGCTGGGGTCAGGGGGGGAGAAGGGAGGGGAGTGGAAAAGGGATGACCGATGGCATGGTCGAAAAGGAGGGTTTTGAGGTGGGACTTGAAGGAGGCTAAGGAGGAGGCGAGGCAGAGTGATTGGGGGATGGAATTCCAGAGGTTGGGGGTAGAGTGGCTGAAGGCTCTCCCGCCAATGGTGGGGCGGGTGAGTCCGGGGACATGCAGTAGGCCGGAGCTGGCTGAGCAGAGGGAGTGGGCGGGTTGGTAGGGGGTTAGGAGGTCGCAGAGATAGGGTGGGGCGAGGCCATGTAGGGCTTTGTGGGTGAGGACCAGGATCTTGAACTGGATCCTCTGAAGGATAGGAGCCAATGGAATTGGACGAGAATAGGACTCTCAGTTGTGGATTGAGTGAATAGAACCCAGGTCTCTGGCTTGCGAGGCGAGTGCTCTAACCAGAGCTACAGGACTCCCCAATAACGTCTCCTCTCACACATGGCAGCTTTGAAGTATTAGGAAAACCCGTAACCTGTAATTTAAGTTGAAATCTAAAAGTTCTATAGCCCTAGAGATAATTTTGCTTTACAATTGGTCATCAAACTACTGGTCAAGCAACGGAAAGTTTGCCAGATAGTACTTTCAATGGCAAGCTATGCAGGTTTAGCTGGTTAAACTCCAGCACACACTCTAGGGTCCCGAGCCTTGGCTTTTGCCAACCTGCACCTAATACTTTTCCAGAATTAGGTAAGCAGAATGCACATTCCAATAAACATCTCACAAATTTCCATGTATAGGTGGGATGCTTGGAACTCGGTTTAGATAGTCTGAAGCATGATGTTGGAATTCCGGTTGATCAACAAAAAACATCACTATCAAGATGCTTTCTTACACATTTATAAAGTCACTTTATCACCTAAAAACAGTTGATAGGTTGAATTTACCTCTGATTCCCTTCCAGGAATGTAACTGCACAGTAGCCCTTCATTTCTGCTTGTTGAGGAAACCTTGCCTTCACTTCAGCTACAGTAAGTTTCCGAGGTAACTCAAAAGGACTTGGAAGAATATTAGAAGCCAATGGAGCTACAAAAATCTCTGGTTCCTCTAGAAATTTCTGAAAAGAAATTGATAATAGTAAAATGAAGAAAATTATGGCATACATTGTGAGTCTTACTTTATGTGTTGTTAAAAGTTTCTATCAATACTAAAGTTTTCATTTGCACAGTTCTATATGTATTATTTTTACAACAACAAGTACATTTGGATACAACTAGACTCCCATATACTAGCCTGACCTTGCCATCTATCTATACTAATAAAGACAAAATGTCTGTCTGTCTGTCCGCCAAGAATGCAATAATCGATTGACGTAGGGGCATAATTTATATCTCATTGGAAAGGTCTTGCACGGGGAAGCGTCATAGGCATTTTTTTTTAGGGATCTCCTATCGTTTATGAGCTATATTAAAAAAATGCTTTAATTAAGCCTCCTAAAATGTATGCATGGTGTTCTGCAACAAAATAGTGACAGAAGTCACACACCCTTGAAGAGAGATACTAGAAGGACTTGTGGAGTCCTGTAGTTCAGTGGTTAGAGCACTCTCCTCACAAGCGAGAGATCTGGGTTCGATTCCCAGCAGGGCAAAACCTTGGGCAAGTTTCCTTACTCCACACACCTGATGATAATCCCTCAAGAAAAAAAAACAATAATAAATTGGTGGGGATTCCAACATCTGTAGTATTTTGTGCTTTGTTTAATAATAAATTGGTCACTTCTATCTATGACTGTTTGTGGGACACTGCGCAATTGGCTGCCATGTTTCACCCACAAATATAAGGTCAATTCACTTTACAGTATATTCTGTGAAGCGCTTTGAGACGTCTAGAAGACGTGAAAAGCGATATATCAAATGCAAGGATTATGTTTTAGATTAAGCCTTTCAAGGATAAATAAAATGCCAGACGAAAGCGAGAATGCTGATTAAATGAAGCTGGTTGCCTGCATAGCAGCAACGGGTACAGCTAGTTTTATATTTGTGTAAGTAGTGGTAGCAATTACTAAAGAAAAGAGATGCTGCCAAGAATATGGTTATGCTATGATTTTGTGGATAACTCCACCTAGTATTTACAATTGGAATCCAATTTGACATAGACTTAGGTTTTTTAATTTATTGAATTGTGCACTGAATAAAGTTGAATCTTTAGTGTTGAATTACATAATGCAACAATTATATAAAACATATATATTTCAACAACTTGCATTTATAGAGCATAATAATAATAATCCTTGCATTTGATATAGCGCTTTTCACGTCTTCTAGACGTCCCAAAGCGCTTCACAGATTATAATAATAATAATAATCCTTGCATTTGATATAGCGCTTTTCACGTCGGGAGGACGTCCCAAAGCGCTTCACAGAACACACTGTAAAGTGAATTGACTGTATATTTGTGGGTGAACGCGGCAGCCAATTGCGCACAGCAATGCCCCACAAACAGTCATGGATTGAAAACGACCAATTTATTATTGTTTTGTTTTTTGAAGGGATTATTATTAGGTGTGTGGAGTAAGGAAACTTGCCCAAGGTTTCGCCCTGCCTGGAATTGAACTCAGGTCTCTTACTTGCAAAGAGAGTGCTCTAACCACTGAGCTATCCTTCAGATAGGATAATATCATGGAGTGCTTCACAATTCAGACACCTAGCAACGGAGAAGACCACAGGTGAGGTTGAAGAGGTTGCTTTTTAGGAGGGATTTAAAGATTTAGGGAGGGGGTAAGGAAATGAGTTTCAGTATATTTGATTTATTTGTTCTGCCTCCCAAAATACATTACTTTGAACTATTCTGAACAATGGCTGCATACTGGACATCCTCCTGACTTGAAAGGCGCTATACAAATGTTAAGTTGTTGTTGTTTCCCAAACTTTATATTACATGCTGATGATAGGGGGTGATGTAGAAAAATTATTAAAGCACAAAAAACAAATATTCCCTCTAACATGACACCTGCAGGCAACATATATCTAGGAAGATAATACGCAATGGATGTAGCTACATGAAACATTAATATCTTCTTTCTAATGTATATTGAATGATAGTAAGATTGAACAAAGCTTCATAAATTTCTTTTGAGACATTTCAATGCAAGGCTGCCTTGAAGGAGATTAATTCTCAATATATACCTCATATATACCTAAACATTTGAGAATTTTTAGAGCATAATCAAATAAAAACAAATTTATATTGAGATGGTGGGTGCTGACAGCTTTGATTCAGAAGAGATACCATTCAAAATCAGCCCAAGTGGCTGGATCCATCATAGTATGTTATCTATTCTGTATCTCCTCCTAAACAATAATCTGCAATTTTAATGGCCTTCAGCAATGTAGTAGAAGCTCTCAATATGTGTTACTATAGTAGAACATAAAATATGATTTGTCATTAATTTCTATATTAGATAGCTTGCAATCATTTGATGAGATCAAGATGTCTTGTTTCTATCTTTTCACTATTCTATGCTTCTGGTCCTTTCACTATTCTATCGTGATTCATCACCATTTCTTAAAGAAGTGAAATAAAGTAATTGTATCCTTAAAGGAGGTCTGAATTTATACCCCAAAAACTTCTGAAAGAGAGTATTCAGGTCATTTAGGATTCTTAATTGATTAGCATGAATATCTTTGGGACGTCCTCCTAATATGAAAGGCGCTATACAAATGTAATTTGTTGTTATTGGAATATCAAAGTTTATTTACATCTAGGTCCTCCTTTGAAGCCATTTTATAGTAGTGTCCTCGGAACTCTGCTGCAAATTCAAGGGATGGATTGCCTGAGAGGTCTACAAGTTCCCCTCGTAATAACAAGCTGACAGGACAGTACTGCTGAAACTCTCCTAGCCGTGCCTGTAGCTCCTTGGGTGTGATACACAAGTTCGCAACACTGGCAGCTTTATCTGTATATAAGAAAATATATTTCACATGTTAAGCAAAGATGGCAAGACAGAAAGTACTCTATGAATTAATACCATAAAAAGTACCAAGTAAGCTATATATAAAAAAGTGCGTGCTGGAATAAGTATTGTGCTGTTCGCTACCACCACCACCAACTTGCAATTATATAGCAGGGTAGCGTCTCAGAGGCCAGTTTTGTGCCATCTGCTCTCGAGGGCCTGGTTTGGGATTTAAGGGAGAAGAGGTGGCTGTTATACCAGTGGGAGCAAGTGGGTTTGAGATGGTTCTTGATTTCAGGGGGTGGTTGGGTGGGGGGGGGGGACAAAGGAATTGAAAGTGGTGGAAAGACGAACATTTAGCACCTTGATGACTGCATCGGGATCGCTGCGGGTGGAGGGCCAGAGGGAGAGAAGGTCCAAGGATGATAGGATATTTGTAAGGGACTTGGGGGAGCTTTATTCAGGGGTGTTAAGAGATGGTGAAGGGCTTGGTGAAGACGAGGAGGATGCTAGAGGAGAGGGAGATGAGGAAATGGTTGGTTACAGGCTTTATGTAATGGAGAGCTTGGAGTTATCAAGACTATGGGTAATGATGAGACCACAGTTCTTAATTGGGCAGTTTATGCAGAATAACATGAGTAAAGTTTTCAGGCTGGTTGGTGAATAGAGGTGGTTTCTTTAATAGGTTTGACTGCAATTAAGAATAGTTTTTTGCATTCTGACTTTTCAATCAATACTTTAAAACGTTAACAGATTGATTATCAATTGATTTACACATTAAATTGGTATGAAAGATATTCTCAATGTTATAGACTCGAAATCTAATACAAAGATTATTCATTTGTTTGGTTATTTTAGTCAATTCTACTCTGTGATTTCCTCAGAAAATCAGTCAAGCATGACCTGTCCTTTATAAGTTTTTTCTGGCTCTACGTGTGAACCTCTCTTGTGATTTTATGATTACAGTTAACCTTTACCATTCATTTCACAATTCACGTTTAGGTGATCTTACCTTCTTTTATTTTCTCCAGATATGATTGAACATGTTTCACACTGGATCTAGATTCTTCTACAACTTTATTCCACACAGACCACTTGCTATTTTGGCCATAAATAATATGCCAGTTTTGATGCCTTTGATGGTAATATTCCCAGATTGCACTAATCTCATGACGATAAGATGAATTCCGAACAGTTAAAATTTGAGAACTGTCATGCAGGGGATAAGTTCTGACAAGTAAGAATAATAAGAAAGCAATTTATGAAGTGTAGGAAATAATGAATCATGGTCACAATATTGTTTAAGATGTCATAATACAGTAAACCTCAAATAAGTAATGTCAATTGGAACCATACATTTAATATGACTTATGCAAAGTATGATTTATGCCAAACTTGCTCAGAATATAAACTTTGAATGGGGGCAGAAGGGGGGAAAGAGAGGGGAACTGGGGGAAAGATGGAGAAAAGGGGAGAGGGAGGGAGAGAGGGGGAAGAGAGAGGGGAGTAGAGTGGGGAGTGGGAGAGAAGTTGATTGAGTGAGTGAGAAGAGTGTGAGAGAGGTAAGAAGGGGAATGAGAGAGAAATTGTATGACATGGAGGGACAGTGATTCACAGAGAGGGGGAGAGAGAGGCAGTGATGGAGAGAGGAAGGAGTGTGTGTGTGTATGCGTGTGATGAGTGAGAGGTGACAAGGAGATTGAGAGAGGGTGATTGGCAGAGCGGGAGAGAGAGTGATTGAGAGAGAGAGAGCAAATGTGAGAAAGAGGGGGAGAGAAAGAAACAGAGAGGGGGAGAGCAGAGTGAGAGAGATTGAGAGAGTGTGTGAGAGGAGAGAGAGAGGGCGAGAGGGGGAAAGAGCGTGCGTGCGAGAGAGTGCATGAGAGACAGTGATTGAGATAGAGGCGAGTGATTGTGGGACACTGCTCTACGCAATTGGTTGCCGCGTTTTGCCCACAAAATATATAGTCAATTCACTTTATGGTATATTTTGTGAAGCGCTTTGAGACATCTCAAAGATGTGATAAGGCGCTGTTTCAAATGCAAGGATTATTGTTATTATTAAATTTTGCTTTTCTCATGAGTCTCTTCAATGTAAAAATATCAATATGGTGATTTGAAGTTAATTTTCTATGTCCCCATTCTCTGCACAAACACTGAATTTGAAATTCTGCTGCAATTTTTGATCTACAGAAAGTATACAGTTCAATAAAAATTGCACTGGGGGACATTTTAAACCAATAGCAAACAAAAATTCTGTTTCGGTGATGTTACAGTGAGATTTTTTCTCAGTTTTAGTCTGTTAAATTAGACTGCATTCAGTGACCATTGAAATAAATAAGAATTAATTAGTCCACCATTTTCAATTTATATTGCTGTAAATCTCTTTTACATAATCATACAGAACTGTTAAAGAATAGGAGGAACTACAGGAAATATTGGTGAACATGTTCTAGTACAGAATATGGTAGTACAGTATCATTTATCCTCCAGTCTTAATTAGCTTGAAATGTATAGAGCCTTGAACAAAGTTATTGACTACTGCCTGAATTTTCTAAGACCTGAATTCTTACCTGTAAGGTGACTTCCTACTCAAAATTCCTCTCTTCAAAATCTCTCTTAAGTCGACTTGCAACTCTATAATTTTGAATGGTATTATATTTCGAGCTTCCAATAGTTCTACTTGTCGTCGGGTTACTGGGTACCCATCTAGAACATATCTGCAAACAGAAAATATATATAGAACATAAAAAAATGTATTAATACAAATCTTGCAATGTTAAACTCCATCTACCATAGTGCTGCCCACTTGCTTAGACTGCCTTTATCTCTCTGCATGTTTCACTTGTCCTCTTCACGATTTATAATACTTCCTAACTTATTGTCATCTGCAAATATTTAAAAACTAATCACATAAGTCAAGTCCAGTTGCAATGTTGGGAATTGTATCCACGATTGTGATTTTTCAATAGAGCAATTTTGTGAACTCCATATAGGTAAGTACAAGATTAGAGAGAGAGAGAGATGCATACAACAACAACAACTTGCATTTACATAGCGCCCCTCACACAGGGTAATGTCCCAGATAGTTAGAGAAGCAAGCAGAAAGATACACATACAAACACACTTAGGCAGTTGGAGAGGCAGAGAGAGAGATATATAATAATATATTAATTCTTGTATTCGATATAGAGCCTTATCACATCATCCAGACATTTCAAAGACTTCACAGCCTATACTATAAAGTGGATTGATTGTGTATTTTGTGGGATATGCACAAACATACAAATTCACAGGCCCCCATTGTCCACACTATTTCATGCCGTAATGCATATAGTGTGGATATGAAGCTCTCTACTGTACTTATCTAAAGTATATATGTACTCTCTACTGTACTCTTTTTCTTACACACATGTCTCAATTTGGTCATAGTGTTCTTGAATCCCTCTTCTATGTTAAAATATCACAAACCTTAATGTATCATATCTTACATTTTTACTGTAATGACTAGATTAATGTACTAACCCATTTCTTAGCATTTGAATTGAGGAATATTGTAAACGTACCCCCTAGTGTTGCACAAAATATCCATTAGGAGCACCTCTATGCACTGGACAACGAGTTCATCTGGCACAGTCAACCCTTTTTTGAGATGTTTATTAATCTGCAAAGCCAAGAATGTCTTCTTCTGAGTGACCAGGACTGTACGTACAGCTTCTCCCGCTGAAATGCGCTGCAATCCATATTCATTTGCAAGCCTTCTGGCAACTGGAAAACACACATTAAATGTGACTTTAGAATTCTTGTGATATAAATTCTTGTGTCTTAAATTTGTGAAAGAAAAGGTCTCATTATCATTGCAGGAATATGCTTTACACATTAAACGTCTTTTGTATTAATGATCTAGCTCGGTTTTTACATTAGTACATACAGGTATTCCACAAAATACAAATATAATTTAAATATAGGAAGAGTGTTACTTCTAGAAATTCTAATATACTCAAAACAAATTCAAGCTATTTCCATTAGGTAATAAAAGGCTGGGATCAAAAATATAAGACATTTAATATAGTCCTCCTTATTCTATGCATTTTATTTTCCATATACAGCACTTTACAAGAGATATTACACTTTCCCTGTCGGGATTTTTTTTTTTGACTCTCAATCCTCAATAAGGTTTGACACTCCGAATGTTGAAAACCCAAAAGTACATTACATTATGGAAACAGATATTCAGCCCAACTAGTCTACACCAGTGTTTTTACTCAACATGATCCTCCAGCTCTCCTATTCCCCTTTTCCATACCTCTCTATTCCCTTTTCTCTCATGTTTGCAAAAGTTGCAAACTATGTTAAATATGTTAATGCTTTCTGCTTCAAACACAGCTTCTGACAAGTGAGTTCCACATTCTCATCTCCCTCAGCAAAAAGAAGTTCCTCCGAAACTCTCTTTTAGATCTGTCCTTAGCACATGGTTAATTGTAGTTGTTAAATAGAATTTGAGTTTTGGTTGAAGATCATGTCTGCCTTCAATTACTAGTGCATGTGCCACTTGGACTATTCGACAATATACGGTCCAGGAATGAAGAAGCTCTTTGACTATTCTGAAGTCCTGTAATCTCCAATGCTAGATAAAAGAAAACTTACGGAGAATTTTATATCAAGCTTTGCCTTAGATAGCTCTTCTGTACCAGCTTCCAATGTTGTCCCTTTACACTCACCATCACTCCTTGGTCCTATCCTATATCTAAAGTTCCTGTGTAGATAATATCGTGTTGGTTGCTAAAGGTGGTGGTATTAAGACACTAAAACCACATTGCTTGTTGTCCCTAGTAAGTTTCCCATTGCTTGTCCAGCTTGGATTATCGTACAGTTTAGGAATTTTGACTTACAGGGTTAACTGGAACCCAGTAGGAAGAATCCCTGCCTGGTGTGATTGGTCTGCCTCTCTAAGCCCTGCTGACCAGCCAGGCTGGCTAGTCTGTTAACAGCAGTTCCTTGGAGTGCGGCAGACAGACCTGGCTCAGGAACCAGACGAATAAGACCACCACAGAGGGTTCTGGAATTCTGTTGCCAAGCGTAACATCTTGGAGCCAGTTCAGCTCCAAAGAATCCTCATTTGCACCCTGCTCAAGGAGGATAGTAATTTTTGATGGCCAAACCAATCTTTGAAGCCCAGCCTGAATATATTCAAGCCATCACATTATATTATAGATTTAAATAAATATTTGAAACATTTCTCAGAAACATTTCTTAGAATGTAATGATTTATTATTATCCCACAAATAAGCTAATTTGTGATGTATAATTACATAAGAGCATAAGAAATGCTGGACGAAAAACAGACCAAGGTCCATCTAGTTCGTCTTCCACCTTCCTGGCGGTCGTATGCACATAAGTCCGAACTACCTATGTACTTTATCGCATAATGTGTCTAATTTATCTATTTAAACTATCTAATCTGTGTTTGAAGGAATCAATATTTCCTGCACCATCTCCCTATGGAGCCTGTTCCACAGGTTTACTATTCACTCACTGAAATAGTGTTTTCGTAGATTCGTTCTGAATTTACCCCCTTTCAATTGCAGGCCATGTCCTCTGGTTTTATTATTCTGGACTAGTTGAAACAGCCTGTCATGATGTACATTGTCTAGCCCCTTTAGAATCTTAAAGACAGCAATCATACCTCAATCTTCTCTTTTCCAGCGTGAACATGCTGAATTTACTTAGTCATTCCTCATAGTCCAGTCTTAGGAACAGGAGAAGGCCATTCAGCCCTTCGAGACTGTTCCTCCATTTAATCAGATCATGGCTGATCTGTATCTCCACTAAACCTTTCAATTCCAATTTGCTGTTTTCTCCCCGTATTCCTTAATATCCTGACCTACCAAAAATCTATCAACTTCACTCTTGAAGTTGTGGATGGATCCATCATCCATGGGCTTTTGGGGGAGAGAATTCCAGATTTCTACACCCTTTGGGCGAACAGAATTGTACACATTACTCTAAGTACGGTGTCACCAATGATTTATATAGTGGCAGGATTACCCCACTATAACTGTTTGATTGTTTAAATAATTTTCCTTTTAATCATATTTCATAAATATAAAGAAATACATTTTCTACATATAATGGGGGAAATTTCAATAAAATATAGCCATACTCCCAAATTTCTATTAAGATACTCAAGGACTTGATATATTTTACATCATATCAGTTTTTCTTCGGCAATGAATTTATAGTGAACTATTGTGTTGTTTCTTCAATACTATCATTTAAAATCTTGTCGCTAGTAGAAGTCTAAATTTTCAGTAGAAATTTACCGTGGCTTTTATTAATAATAATAATCCTTGCATTTGATAAAGTGCCTTATCATGTCTTCGAGGCCCTCTCAAAGCTCTTCACAGAACATATTGTAAAGTGAATTGACTGTATATTTTGTGGACGAAAAGCAGCAGTAAAGTGCGCACAGTAGTGCGCAGTCAAGTGCGTACAAATAGTGGTGGATTGAGTGACCAAATTATTATTATTTTTGGGGAACGATTATTACCCACAGAAAAGCGATCCTTCACTCGACTAACAACTGGGTTACTACTTACTGATAGGTAAACGAAGGCAGGCGGTGGAGTAAGGAAACTTGCCCAACTTTTCACCCTGTCTGGGAATCGAACCCAGATCCTTTTGCTTTCAAAGCGAATGCTCTAAACACTAAGCTCCAGGACTCCACTTTATTAAAATGTTATGAATGTCTAAAATATACAAAATAACATGCTATAGCTAAAGGATTTCATTCCATCTCTGGGCCAGTTGACAATTTATACCATTTGAATTTGTGCCATTGCATTAGTCATCTGAATTTCTTGATTATTTAATACTTTGAAAATGCAGTTGGTACTAAATTCTTTACCTACCAGTGGACTTTCCAGACTTTGGTGGTCCTAGAACGGCAATCTTAAATGGAACAACGGGTTTGGGTTTAGACTGGGAGAGATACTTGAAAGGATTAGCAATAAATTTGTCTCTGGTCTGCTTGTTTGAAAAGAAATAAATGTACTTTCTGTGTAAAACAGAATAGATGCGTTTGTGAAGATCCTGCACAGGTTGAATTGCACTCCCTTCGCTTAACTGCAAAGGAAAAAGAAAATACAGTAAGATTTTTATAAATCGTATCTTTATATATTATATAATCGCCTAAATCATACATGCCCTCATGTCCCATTCAGTTTCCTGTCAAAACCACTTAGATTTCTTTGCACAACTCGTATTTACCATCTCCTAACTCATAATGCCACTCCCCTATCCTCCATTACTCCCACATTTACTGGCTGCATTGAATTGCGGGAAATGACATCCTGATCAGTTGATGCATGCACACTTACCGGCCAGCTGCAATGAATCACGGAAATGTCTTGATCAGTCAACACATGCACAGAAGAACTTAATTTTCCGTAAATCCAACGCTTGTAAGTTTGTATGTGATGATAGGTCAAGACGCTTTGAATCACATTGTCATGATCCATCACCACATGCACACTTACTGGCTGCAGCAATGAAGTACCGCATGCACATTACCGGCTGCATTGAATTATGGACGTGTGGTGCAGATTATTGATTAAATTGGATTTTATACGATTTATACAGTTTGCCTGTAATTTGGATTTTGTATAAATTATATTAAATGCTATGGTCGTGACTGATACGACTAATGTGAGTTTTACTCTAAATGGGTTTTCATACCTGTACTCAATTAACCAAGTAATATTTCAGCCTGGGAAATTGCTATATCCAAACTCGCTGTCGCATTTGCCTACACAATACTGTCACTACACTTAACAGTATATGCTGTGAAGGGCTTTGAAATGTTCACCCAACATAAAGTGCTATATCAAATGCAAGGATTATTATATTATTAGTCTAACTTTATGACAAAATAGGAGGCCATTTGGCCCATTTGTTTATGTCAGTATTTGTTTCTTGTGGAAGCTATCCATCATAATCCCAATTCTCTGCTCCTTCCTGTACCCTTTTTGTTCATAAGTTTTTGGATTTTATATTTACACATACCTATACTGCTGACAATGTTGTACCTTACCTCAACAACATCCCAGAGGCCAAAACTACTTAGTTTCTTGTATGATACATTTGCCATCTTGCGAGCAAGAGCTGTACTTATTGGGTAACATTTCTCAAACAGACTGAGACGATTTTCCACCATTGGTTTCACTTTATTATACAACTTGTAGTGTACAATATGAGGCTTACGAGCTCCATTTACACCAATGAATGGTATCAAAATCTCCTTTAGGTTTTCCTGATAAATAACAAATAATGAGAACGTAGTCATATTACAACAACAAAATTACATTTACTGAGCGCCTTTCATGTTGGAAGGAAATTCCAAGGTGCTGGACAGTCAGGGGTCAGGACCCGAGGATGGGGGAGGGTTGGGGTAGGGGTGAGGGAAGGCAGAGAGGTGGGACGGCGACCGAAGGCACGATCGAAGAGGAGGTTCTTGAGACTGGACTTGAAAGAGGCACAGGGAGGAAGCGAGGCAAAGGGACTGTGGGATGGAATTCCAGAGTGTGGGGCAGAGAGGCTGAGAGCCCGGCCAACGATGGTCGGGAAGGTTGGGTGGGAGACATGGAGCAGGCCAGAGCCCGCTGAACGGAGGGAGCGGGCAGGTTGGTAGGGAGTCAGCAGGTCAGAGAGGTAGGAGCGGGCAAGGCCATGGATAGCCTTGAAAGTGAGGACGAGGATCTTGAATTCGATCCTCTGCGGGATGGGGAGCCAGTGGAGTCGGGCGAGGATGGAAGTGATGAGGTCAAGGAACCTGGTGCGCGAGAGTACACAAGCTGCAGAGTTATTTATTATTTATTATTATTATATTATTTATTTACAAATTCAGATATTAGATGACAAACCAATATATTTCTTGCCCCCATTCTTATAAATTTGTATAGTTCTACCTTTAGTAGAATAAGCATAATATTTACAATAAAAAAATTCTTTAACTATCTAGACAATGATCATTTCAATTTATCTCAATTTACTCTGGTATAAAAGGTTAAAAAAGCTAAACAGGATCAACTAAATAGGTGTGAATGAATTTAAGTTCCAAGTACTGGTGCAAATGTTTTTATGTATCAGCTAGATTCTAAATATTGTTGTTATAGTGTGTTTTCATCTGGGGAGAAATCGAAGAGGGAAGGAGAGAGAACACAAAATATTACAAGGTAATATATATGAGGCTGATCGTTTTACTCTTTCTCTACTACAATATAACTGCTGCTACCCATGCTCTTCAGAAGAGAAAAAATGGAAAAATTATGAACCTATTTCCAAATTAAGACTAAATTTTAGAATTTTCCAGAATTCTTTATAATCTTAAATTTTTCAAACAAAATACGCTAAGTAGTCTTATAGGCAGACTAATTTCAGGCCTCAAGAGAATAGAACTAATTAGGAAGGCTGGTGAAGTGAGCATTGAAAAAATCTATCTTTATGCAATAAAGGCAATTAATAAAGGCATTATTGAGAGTGCGGTAAGAGTTCAGGATCAAGAAGACAGCCAAGGTTGCACGCCACTTAGTTCAACTTTTCTAATTAGTCAGTTAGACTAATGAATATGTTCCTGTAGGACAGGCAATTAGTCAGAACAGCATGAATTGGGGATAATGGCAACGTGGTAAAGTTGTTATCATCAACACACATACAAACGTTAACAGCATTCTTAAGGATAACATTTTCAAAAAACATGTAGAAAAGAAACTGGAGAGAAGTCTTGTGGTATACCAATGGTAATTGTGTGGGCACAGGAAGAGAGATGATGAGTGATATAATAATAGCCCTGGGCCAGGTAGTATGGATCCATGAAAGTGTAGTGCCCTCAGGTAGATCATGGAAGAAAAGATATGAAGAACAATAGAGGAGTCCACCATGTCAAAGACAGTGGAAGGACAGCAAGTCCTAAATGCAGTCAAGCAAGCCAACTTTTCCTTCTGGTTTTTTGGGGGGCGAATCTTAACGATTCCCATATGTCTACAATGTTGCTTCAATTATCAACCAGAAATATCATGTTTTTGATTAATAGTTTGCCGGTTGGTCTATCTATATTATCACTATAATATTTGCTTTAAAATGCGCAGTCATTACATTCCCAGAAAACGCAAGCAGTTTGAAATGTTTCAGTGAAATAAGGTGCTATATAAAATGAAAAAATTATCTGTGAATTCTAAACAGTCAATTTTGAACTTCCTCAATAGAAAAAATTAAGTTAAAGAGTTACAAATTCATCAAGGTTTTCAAAATATTCATACCTTAACTGACTCTATCTTTTCCTCATCTGCTTCAAATTTTTCTCCAATTTCAGTCTGCAGTCGGTCAGTGGCATCATGCTCATCTTCATCTTCTTCCTCCAACTCCTCTTCCTCCTCTGCAAACTCCTCTGCTAGTAAAAGCTCAATATTGTCGTCTTCATCATCCTCATCTTCGTCACTTATATCACTTTCATCTGATTTTCGTACCTATAAAATTAATAATATTACAAGGTACAGTAGAAATGTATAAAACATAAATTACATAGGACCAGATTATAATGGCATTTTCTTTGCTCATGTTTTTTTTTAACTCACAAAACTCATTTAATTATTTTTGAGGCAACTCAAAATAAATACTCATTTCCAATACATTCTCATGGTATCAAAGATCCCTGATTGTCATTCAGGATAGTAAAGTTGAAATGATTGATATTTTTATTGGTTATATAAAGGATGTGTATAATACAAAACTATATTTGTAAAGTGTCTTTCATGTCGGGAGGACATCCCAAGGCATTAAGACCCGAACGGGGTGGGGGGGGAAGTTGAGATCAGGGAGGGTGGTCGAAAGCACAGTCAAAGAGGAGGGTCTTGAGGTATGCCTTGAAGGAGGCAAGGGAGGGAGCGAGGCAAAGGGAATGTGGGATGGAGTTCCAGAGGGTGGGGGCAGAGAGGCTGAAGGCCCGTCCGCTGATGGTGGGGCGGGCCGGGCGGTTCATAGAGAAGGAGCGGAGGGAGTGGACAGTTTGATAAGCGGTTAGTAGGTTGGAGAGGTAGGAGGGGAAAGGCCATGGACGGCCTTGATAGTGAGGATGACAATTTTGAACTCAATCCTCTGAGGGATGGGGAGACGGTGGAGCCCGGCGAGGGTGGGTGTGATGGGGTCAGAAAGTCTATAAGAAGTCAGAAGTAGGGCAGAAGTCTTATTATATTGTACCATTCAAGCTTGACTCTTGGTATATTGACAGCAAAATCTGTAGCTTCAGGCCTACCATTCAGGTCAGAGTGTGTGTGAGGGGAGGGGTTGGAAACTAAGAAGGGAAAAATAGTAATGAAACATTTACAAAAATAGCTGATCAAATTTCACAACATGGTTTGGAATTTACTTATAAGTCATCATAGTTTAAGTTAGATTAAAACATTCAGTAAAAATGTTTTATCTGTGATAAAGTCAGGATTTTGGAACTCCTATAGTCGAGGCTGACACTCTAATAAATGCAGTGCTGGATGTGTGCTTTATTGTTTAATGTGTCTTTCGGATGTGATGTTAAACCAAGGCCCATCTGCCTGTTCAGGTGGATATTAAATATTCCTTGGCATAATTTGAAAAGAGAAGAGAGTTTCTCCCGTTGTCCTGGCCAACAATCCTGAAATAAATTGGTTATTAATTTCATGACTGTTTATGGGACATTATTGTGTGCAACCTGGCTGCTGCATTCACCTACAAAACACAATCACTCCACTTTACAGTATATCCTGTGAACTGCTTTGAAATGTGATTTGAAAGGGTTTAAATTAATTTTATTTTGAGAGCCATATCTGTGATATTTTGGATCTGGATAAATTATAATGACAAATGTTTAATGAAAATGTGTCAATTCACTGGGATTAGAATAAATGACATATCGTTGTAGGATTCTTAAAGGCTCTGTAAATTTTGCTAAGATTTTGTGTCAAATTCAATTCAATTGTTTTCAAATGTACAATTGATATAGTTAAATCGAAAACAGGGCTATTAAGAGTATATTTCTCTTAGATATATATAGTTAGTATATAGTTAGAATCTTGAACACAGTACTCCTAAACTATGGGTAATATGACAAATTAGTTGAGTCTTGTATACGGGTGTTGCGGAGGTAAAAATCTACTTCAGTCAGCCAACCAATCTTAACCACAACTAAGTAATGGGTAGCAAACTCTTGTTATGTGCGTCATGAGACAGCTCCTCTCCAGATGCAGTATTTAGTGGGAATGTTTGCAGGAATGCTCCTCATAGTCTGTGGAGAGAACTGAGCTATCGGCTGATTGGTCGATATGGATACATACTCTTCCTGGCTCAGCCATCCAAAGGCTCTCAGCTGGCACCCAGCCATGATAATGCATTGCCAGGACTCTCTGCTATCTGACTGGGTATCTCTCATCTGAGTCAGCTTTACCCTGGATCCAAGGCCACTTGACTCACCCTTATATTGGGTCTTCTGAGCTGCCTGATCCCATCATACTTTGCAATATTATAACTATACCTGTTTCTGTTTTTTCCTTTCTAGTCGTTCTTCCAAAAGTTGTTCTCTTCTTTTAGCAATCTGCTCATTCTAATTTGTAAAGAAACAGAATGGCTTAAAATATTCTACAGATCTTTAAAACTGAAATCAGAATAATGCAATTACTAGAAAGTAAGGATACATTTGAGTCTATAATTCCTTAATCATTAAAAGTGGCTTTTTGTAATAGATTTATAATGGCCAATTCCATTTTATCTCTAGAAAACAATTAATCTTTTAAAAAATGTATCTCACAACAAAGATAGAATCATAGAAAGTTACAAAGCAGAAGGAGGCCATTAGGCCCATTGAGGCTGGATTAGCTCTCAGAACTAGCCGTTGTATCAATCCCAATGCCTAGAGCCATCTCCACACCCGTTCAAGCCTCTAGCTTTCATATATATGCCTACTTCCAAAATGAACTCTATTTCTACTACCTAACTTGGTAGGGCATTCCACATCACAGCACTACTGTGTGAAAAAAAATTCTCCTAAGCTCTCCTTTCACTCTTTTATATCATATCTGTGTTCTCTCATGATTGACTTACCTACCAGTGGAAATAGCTTCTCCCTATTTATCCTGTCAAAACCTCTCATAATTTTGTTCACCTCTATCACGTTCACTCTCACCCTTCTGTGTTCCAATCAAAACAGACCAAACCTCTCCAATCTTTCCTCATAACTTCCTCACTCTTATAAGCATCCTCTGAACCCCTTCCAAGTCCATAAAATGCTTCCTGAGATCAGGTGCCCAAAACAAGAGTACCTTGGTTGTAGCCCGACCAATGATTTGTACAAACTTACCATTATTGCTTTTTTTTTGTACGCTCTGTGCCCCTATGTATAAAACCCAGAATATTGTACCTTTTGTAATATCTAAGTATTCTTATTTAAAATTAATTGTTCTGTGAGTAATATCAAAATAAAAACTGCTACAACATAAAATAAAATTCCATTTAGTGCTAACCTTGATATTCTTGTATATTTCACCAAGTATTTTTATTCAATAAATACAAGATATTTTCCCTATCTGGTATATATGTAAATGGAAACCAATTAAAAGTAATTAATTAAAATATTGTATTAAAACATACACATGTATGTTTTAAGATCATATTTAGGTCAGGCCTAAATAAGCTATTTCCATTGTGCACCATCTCCACCAGTGGAAAAAGCATGAAGCATGAAATAGCTGGGTTATTGTTCATTAGGATACCCCAAAAAATCCCTTCTCTTTCGAATGGGGTCATGGGATCTTTACTGTCTACTTGAATAAACAGATGAGACCTTGATTTAACATCTCATCTGAAGAATGGTACCTCCAATGCAGCACAGTCCCAGCAATGCCCTCTGTCTCTCCATCCAGGAATCAATCCACCTTGTCCCCTTCTCTTTCACACCTTTAAAGTCAACTTTAAAACTTTTATTTACTGTGTTTTTAGTCACCTTTCCCCCAAACTTCCCCAGCTCCCTCCACTCCACCTCAGGCTCCCAGTCAGTTCTGTGATTTGTCCTCCTGACATGAAAGGTCTGCTGAAGCCTTTGGTCACCTTCCCACCCCTCCCCCTGGCTCGGTCCCGGGATCCTAAACTGTAAAGCGCTCTGAGACGCCGTCCAGCGTGGAGGGTGCTATATAAATCCAAGTTGTTGTTGTATAAATATAATATTATTTTTATTGTTATTGATAATGCTAAGAGTTCCTGCTTATCATGGTATAACTGTTATTACTAGTAGGGATCATTATTGTTTGTCCATTTTATGGTGAATATATATATTTTATTTAACAATAGTTGATTATTAAAGGGGCTATACAAATGTAATTTTGTATTGTAGTATGAATCCTATATCTGGAAGGCCCTGCTGGAGAAGTTTTCACAGGATGAGCTTCTGGTTTACAACTAAAAAAATCGAGCAGCTTAATGGGAAGAGGCATAATAATAATATTAATAATGATAATCCTTGCATTTGATAGAGCACCTTATTATGTCTCAATATCTATGTTCTCAATTGTAAAGTAAGTATAAAAAGATTTTATACAATAAAATAAATATTTTACATACAAAAAGATTTTATACAAGCAGAGGCACAGTGTCATCTTCTATTGAATTATAAGGTCTATGAATAAGAAATCTTTAATGCTTACCCTTAATTTTTTCTTCAGTTCTTTTATTTTTTTCTTGCGCGTAAGCTTTATATTCCTCTTTTCTTTCCATTTCACTAGTTGTGGTGGAAAAAGCCGATGTATTACATCATTATCATGAACCTTTATTTGGATCGTTGCATCTGGGAACAAGCCACGCTCTGCCAGATACTGAACATCGTCAGCTGTATGGAAGAAACCATCCAGTACAAATCCTTTGGATCTATGAAAGAGCAATACTCTTCAGTAAGACTTTATAATTTATTATCATAATGTAAACTCGTTTACAATGAAGTCGAAGCAATGTTCAAAATAGCTACTATATACATTACTTTCATTATTTAAGTGAAAGCATCCTCTCCGTATCAATCATTTCACCTTTTCTCCATCAAAACTGGATTTGCCTGACCCTATCGGTGATAATAATAATAGTCCTTGCATTTGATATAGCGCTTTTCACGTCGGGAGGACGTCCCAAAGCGCTTCACAGAACACATGGTAAAGTGAATTGACTGTATATTTGTGGGCGAACGCAACAGCCAATTGCGCACAGCAATGTCCCACAAACAGTGGGATCTAGGTTGATGACAATCCAGGTAATTCAGAGCCTATTTGCTTCTATGAGCTGAAAATCACACTTATAACATTTTATTCAACAAAAAGTATGTCTTATAGTTTCAATGAGGATATAATTCTGACTGTTCAAAAACAAATAACAAGAATGGCCTGAACCAGATTCACTTTACTAGATCTCTGACCTGTGTTGAGTGACCATGGGCCTTGGAACTGCAGTAGGTGAATCTGGAGGTGGATTTAACCTTTGCCTGAAATATTTATTTTCTTAATCTGGATATAATTTGTGGAGTCCAGTAGCTCAATGGTTAGAGCATTTGCTTTGCAAGCGAGAGACCTGAGTTCAATTCCAGGCAGGGCGAAACCTTGGGCAAGTTTCCTTACTCCACACAGAGCCTAATAATAATTCCTCCAAAAACCAAAAACAATAATAAATTAGTCATTTTCAATCTACGACTGTTTGTGGGACATTGCTGTGCTCAAATGGCTGCCGCGTTCGCCCACAAATATACAGTCAATTCACTTTAGTGTTCTGTGAAGCGCTTTGGGACGTCCTTCCGACGTGAAAAGCGCTATATCAAATGCAAGGATTATTATTATTATTATTATTATTCATGCTCTGTTTAATATAGAAGCTTCTCCAACCCACCCATTCCATTTCTGATGAAGGGATGTACGAAAAGTAATATCCTTCAGATGCTGATTAACCCACTGTGAATTTCCAGGATGTTCTGTTCTTTTATCAAAACTGTTGCTACCTGCTTAAAATATTTAACATATAATAATAACGTTTTCCAATGCTAAAAATCCAGTATATTAAAAATAAAAGTTTGGACTTGGCATATATTTAGAGATTCCTCCTCCTTAGAATTCGTACAATTGGTGTTTTAACATTTCTTCAAACTGTATTAAAATAAAGGTTTAACCAAATGCCCAGAACTGTTCAAATTGGACTTACGTTTGTCTGAAACAATCACTAATACAATATCAAATATCTAAGGCTGGAATAGCTGAAACTCACTTGAAAGGTTCTTCATTCCACCATTTTGGAATGATGCTGTCAAGCACCTCTGATGGCAGTGGTTCATCTTCAGTTAGGAATAATTTGATTGCTTCCTCCTCAATGGTAAATATTTCTTCCTGAAGAATATCATACAGTTTTGTTGGCAGAGCACAAACTATATCTGATAAATTTACATTCTGATGTTATTTGAGGATTATAGAAAGAATATTAAATAAGTAGGCTGAAGTTTTTTTCAGTCATCTAAATGTTTGGGACAGAAGAAACCCATTGTCATACTTAAAGCGTATCTAGATCAAACTTAGAGTTCTAAATATGGATGCTACCTTCACATGGAAATTTCTAATTTGTCTAGAATAGTGTGTTCTTTTCGTGACCCTACTTATCTCTACTGAAGAAAGATAGTCATCAGTTGGTAATTTTACATCTGACAAGTGCAGGCTTGAACCCTCACTTGGTGGCTGACAGCTACCAGGGATTGTCTGCGAGCTTTCATACTTTCACTCAACATGAAATATGTGAGAGCACTGTCACCATCCTCCAACTTGCAGCTTCAACACCCCTCATATCCACTGATAAATGGTTCCACCAATAGGAAAAGCTGAGCTTGAACAGCAACTGCTTATCACAATGCAAACCAACCAAAGTTGACACCAAACCTCGGATATATGAATGTTTTCATGAACCCAAACTTCTGGTTATGTCTTTCAACAGCTGTTGTCTCAAACCTCAGCTACTTGACAAACATAATTTTAGCATGATGGAAAGACCTACACAGGAAAGCTTGTGATGTGCCAGCCACCTTGATGTTCTAGCAATGCTGCATATTAGTCTTATTCAACACCAACTGCTTAATCCAGGCGCCTGTGGGAGGTAATTACTTAAAGGGAGCCCTTTACAAATGTTAAAACTTGGCATTTGCTTGGACCTACAACTGCAGAAGGTGTTAACTGTGGCCAACTAATCAGAATAGAGTTCAAGAGTAACTATATCAATAGAAAACAGAAACAAAAACTATGGAGATCTAACTACAAACTACGACTAAACATGAACAATTTCAGTAACCTAAAAAAAGTATCCCTGCCAACCAAAAGACTACAAAAAGAGAATATGAAATCTTTGGTTGCAAACAGTGAACCAGTAAATGGTGAACTGACTTATCAAGCACAAACTAAAGAAGACACACAGCAGATTACAGAAGAATGTCTTGATTACTCAAAACATGAAAACAATTTATAAATTAATATTATTATTGTACATTTGATTCAAGAGGTTGAATTAAATGAATTTGAAGCTGTTTCATAACATTTAGGTAGGTTCTACCTTTTCTACTTCTGGTTCCTCAGTAGATTTTTCAGGTAGTTCTCCCTTTTCAAGAGCCTTGATGGTTTCTATCTCAGCCATCTCTTCTTCTGTTGGTTCTTCCTCATATTCTGGTCCTATTTTTCTTTTAGTTTTAGAAAAAATAAGCTCCTGTAGATGATCTTTGAACTGAATATGAAAGATCCCTAATTTGTCTGCTAGCCATCTACTATTCATTGTTTTGCCAGAACCTCGAGCACCAATTACAATCAACCTCAGTGGAGGTATCTGTTTGAAAACAGAAAACAGACTTTTATAGCTAGAATTTAAGAATACATTTCTTAGTTATTTTGTTTGAGATTATCCTTACTTATTTTTTTGAAAACCTGTGCACATCACATGAAGGAGAATAAAGAAATAGAACATTCTTTAGAGTTTTTTTTAACAACACAATTAAAGCATACATTTATAATACATATTTTTACTCTAATAAAATTAAGCTAGTTGAGTGATAGGTAGATGTTCAACAATTGGTAACAAGTTATAACTATCCAAACTTTCAGATTATTACCTTTAAAGGTTCTTTATTACATGTATATTTCTCTGGATCTTTTACAAATGTCTCTCTGGCATCTTGATTGGAAAAATAATAGTATTTTTCTCGATATTTAGCACTACAATCTTTGTTGCCAGGGAAAAGAACAAATTTTTCCTTTAAAGCCACAGGGCAGTAATGTTTGCAGTCTCCCATTTGTCTTTTCTTTTCACGAGCTAACCCTTCCGTCTGAAATAAATTTGAAGTATTTTAGTTTTACATCATACAACAACAAAAACAGCAACTTTACATTTTGCCCTTCAAGTGGGTTATCCTCTTATATATTATATCAATTATATATACATAGGAAAAAAATACTATTAATACTGTAAAATAAAATTACTGTGAAATAATAAAATATATAGCTTCTTGGCACATTACCTTGCATAAAAGGCCCTATGTAAAGTTGAAACACAATGTTCAACCATGATAAGTTCAGCATGGACTATTTTATCAATATATGCACGAAACAAATAATAATACATAAAACATATTTTTATTATTTCACAGTAATTTTATCTACAGTATTAACAGTGTTTTGTTCCTTTGCCCTCGGTCAATATAACTTTAAACCAGTGTAACGATGTGTGTGAAAATAGTTCACGGATACTCAGCTCACTCCATTTTTCCCATCCTTTTCTTGGGAGCATCTCTCTACAGTTAACACTCTTCGAAAATTAGCATTTTTGTGCATTGTACTTCAAAGCAGTTCAACGTTATATAATCATAATCCTTGCATTTGATATGGCGCCTTTTTACGTCTTCTAGACATCTCAAAGCGTCCCACACAATATACTGGAAACTGAATTGACTGCATGCTTTTGTGGGCGAAATGTTCAGCTAGCCTCCCTATTTAAGTTAAGTTTGCACCAATAAACATTTGTCGCATTTTTCTGGAACTTTTAGAATGGTGTCACAGATTTTAATTACATTTTTAAAAGTCATTTTACTTAATCTTGTTTAAATCATTTAATGGTTCCCATCTTAAAACAAATAATCAATGCTCTCATGAGGAAATCCCAATGCACTAATAGCATGCTGTACAAGTAACTATCTGTTGCAAAATGATCTGCAGTGGTTCTATTGATGTAATAAGAGAGAGCTCCTTTAACATCATTCAGCACTAAACTCTAAAAAAAGGAAAATCACTCAATAGTAATCTGCTGTTGTAGGTTAAATCTGAAAACCACATTTGACAGGAACATAAACTGAAATTTAAGAATTCCTTGTATATCATAATAAACAGAGCTGATCGTCACATTCCTGGAGTAAACCAGCTAGGGTCTGTTTAACTACTTTAAACAGATCGTAGAAAGAGGCTTGTTGTCTGCTTAAAAAAGTATAACTTGTAACAACCGTAAAGCTTCAAAAGGAGGTTGCTCGAGTTTATAAAGTACTAAATTAAAATCTTTTTGGGGGTGAGTCAAATATGGTTGTTTCCTTTTCTGTTATTGGGGTGAGTAGAAATGATAGGAATGGTAATTAAAAGAGTAAAAAAATGTGTAAAGGTGCTTGAAAGACACAGGAATTATTGCCATTGCTTGGAATAAAGAACTTTCTACTAGCAGGTGCCAGAAATACACCATGAATTGACATAAACAGGGTCGGAAAGCTAAAATTCCAGTCAATATTTCTAGACCAAAATTGACAAAATTAGCCTCTAATCTGATCTCCCTAACGTAATCACACATCATCAAAGTCACAACATAATGCAAATGTCATATTTCTAGTACGAGAACAAGTTACATTTTTAGATTGTTCTTACGTCTTCTTCCTCCTCCTCCTCCCCTTCCTCTTCTTCCACAGTTTCTTCCTCTTCATCTTCCTCTTCCTCTGCTTCTGCTTCTGCATCTTCATCTTCTTCATCAAGATCCAATGCAGTCACTTCCCATCCATTGTACTTGAAAGATTCTGTAAGGGTTAATGAACAAGATGGATTTTAGATTTAAAATGTTTGGATGAGATTATCCATCCTACCATCCTTCCATTATAACATCAATATGTCAGCATAAAATCCCAAGGTGAGTCTGCCAGCAGCTCTTTTGATTTGCACTTTGCTTTCTTCCCTATACCCAGTTACTAATTTACATTCATGTCTTATCTATGATACCCATTGCCATTAGTGTGTAAAACAGTTTTCATGTGGTACTTTTTCAAAAGCCTTTTGAAAGACCAGGTCAAATTCATTCATGTTGAATGATGCTTTTGAGAAGGAGACAATTCAAAATATATTTCTCATATATTTCTCACGACTGCCCGCAAACTCAAACCCACCACCTGTTCCCTCGATCCCATCCCCACCTCTCTCCTCATCTCCCAGCTCCACTTTCTGGCCCCTCTCCTGTCTAATGTCATCAACCTCTCCTTGTCCACCGGATCAGTTCCCACCCCCTTAGAAACAGCCGTCATCATCCCCATCTTGAAAAAACCTTCCCTGGACCCATCCCTATTCTCCAGCTACCGCTCCATCTCTAAACTCCCATTCCTCTCCAAGGTCCTGGAACGAGTCATCGCGTCCCAGCTCCGCTCCTTTCTTTCTCACCATTCTCTCTTTGAACCCCTCCAATCCGGCTTCCGCACTGCCCACAGCATGGAAACAGCCCTGGTCGAAGTCACTAATGACATTCTGAACATCTGTGATCAGGGCTCCCTCTGCCTTCTTGTCCTCCTCGACCTCTCTGCCGCCTTCGACATTGTCGACCATTCCATCCTCATACACCGCCTCTCCTCTTTACTAATCGTCGCAGACCTGCCCTTGCCTGGTTCGATTCCTATCTCTCTCACCGTCTCCACTTTGTTGCCTCTAACGGTTTCTCCTCCAGCCCCCGCACTGTCACTTCTGGCGTCCCCCAGGCTCTGTCCTTGGCCCTCTCCTCTTTAATATCTACATGCTCCCCCTTGGTGACATCATCCGCAGACATGGGGTCAACTTCCATATGTATGCGGATGACACCCAACTCTATCTTTCTGCCTCAACCCTCAACTCCAGGACCACTGCTGTCCTGACAGACTGCCTGTCGGACATCAAGTCCTGGATGAGGGCAAATTTCCTACAGTTGAATGTGAACAAGACTGAGGCCCTCCTGATTGGCTCACCCAGTGCCTCAGCACCTCAGGCTCTGGCAGCATCAACCTCCATGGTTGCACACTTCAACTCACCAAACCAGTCAGGAACCAAGGTGTCTTGTTCGACCCTCAACTGTCTTTTCTTCCCCACATCCAAGCCATGACCCGCTCTGCCTTTCCTCACCTCCGTAACATCGCCCGACTCCACCACTACCTCACCCCTCAGGCTGTTGAAACTCTTGTTCATGCCTTCATCACCTCCAGGCGTGACTATGAAAACTCTCTGCTTGTCGGCCTTCCCAACTCCTCTCTCCACAGGCTGCAAATAATCCAGAACTCTGCAGCCCATGTCCTCTCCTGCACCAAACTCCTTGACCCTATCTACCCCATTCTTGCCCGACTCCATTGGCTCCCAATCCTTCAGAGGATCCAGTTCAAGATCCTGGTCCTCACCTACGAAGCCCTCCAGTCTCGCCCCACCCTACCTCTGCGACCTCCTAACCTCGTACCAACCTGCCCGCTCCGTTCACTCAGCCGGCTCCAGCCTGCTGCACGTCTCCCTATCCACCCGCCCCACCATTGGTGGGAGAGCCTTCAGCCACTCTGCCCCCAACCTCTTGAATTCCATCCCCCAGTCACTCCGCCTCGCCCCCTCCTTAGCCTCCTTCAAGTCCCGCCTCAAGACCCTCCTCTTCGACCATGCCATTGGCCAACCCCTTCCCCTCCCCTCCCTTCTCCCTCCCTGACCCCAGCTCTGTCTGAAATGCTGTACACTGTCCAGCGCCTTGGGACGTCCTCCCGACGTGAAAGGCGCTATATAAATGTAATCTTGTTGTTGTTGTATAAAACGAAATGTACACCATTTTCCTTGAAATAAAATGTCATGGAGGTGGCGGAAAAGTATGATTCATCAAGATATCATTTATTCTTTATTTTAGAAAATACTCTTCTGAAATCATTACTTACTCGCTATTTGTATTACTAACTTCATTGTCACTCAGTGATGATTTTGTGACCTCAGAGTGAGATCAACAACCACAAAATAGTTTAACCAATTAAGGTATACTTTCCGCAACATTGTTTTGTTAATTGGAAACTAAATTAATTGTAAAATTAAAATCAGTTTGAGAATGTAACAGGAATATTGCATTTTTGAATCTCATTTGATGTCACATTTGAATGTCACCTGAACAAAACTAATGATAGTGCTCTGGCTTGTAAATGAATAGGATAAAAAGGCTTTCTTGTGGCACAAAGGCAACTTTACTTACTCTCCATAGTACCAACAGCTTCTTCCAGCAAGGCTTCCGGAGTCTTTCCAGCAATCTCTAGTGCTGAATATTTTGTTGCGGCAAACCCTGAAATTGATGATTCCAATGTACGCCACTCAAGCATGTAACTTGAGATCCTTTTGCTATATTGATCCATTTCTGGGGCATCTGGATAACCTCCTTCTGGAACCACAGGCAATGTGATTTCTAGGTTTAATGAAAACAAATAATTAAATATACGATGATACATGTTTAGCAATAATAATCCTTACATTTCTTTCATGATTTTCATTGCTTTACAGAGTTTACAATAAAAAGTAGTGACTATATTTTGTTAGTGAAAATCACAGCTAATTTGCACACAGGAATGTTCCACAAATAGCCATGAAGTGAATAACTATTTTTTACTTGAGGAATTGTTGGCTAGGATACTGGGAGAAACTCCTCTTTTTAATAGTGCCAAATGCCTTCTCACTGGACTTCCCAATTCTTCCCTTCACAAGCTGCACATTATTCAGAATTCTGCAGCTCGTGTCCTCTCCTGCATCACACTCTGGGAAACTATCACCCCTGCTCTTCCCGGGCTTCACTGGCTCTCCATTCCTCAGAGAATTAAGTACAAAACACTCGTTCTTACCTTCAAGACCCTCCATGGTCTTGCCCCACTCCCAACTTCATAACCCCATACCAGCCTGTCCGCTCCCTCCGCTCGGCGAACACCGAGCCTGCTTCAGGTCCCCCGCACTTCCCACACCACCATTGCGGTCAAGCATTCAGCATCTCTATCTCCACACTCTGGAACTCTATCCCACAATCTACTTCACCCCCTCTCTTGTCTCCTTCAAGTCCCATCTGAAGACCTTCCTCTTCAATCGTGCCTTCGGCCAGTCTTAGCCTTAGGCAATGTAAAAATGCGTACATATTTTAAAACAATACAACAACAACAAGATTCCATTTATAGAGCGCCTTTCACGTCGGGAGGATGTCCCAAGGCGCTGGACAGTTGGGTCAGGACCCGAGCAGGGGGAAATGGTCAGAGTGAGGGGAGGGAAGAGAGGGAGCGAGGAGTGGGTAGAGAGTCGAGAGGGGAGCTGAAGGCACGGTCAAAGAGAAAGGTCTTGAGACCGGCCTTGAAGGAGGAAAGGGAGAAAGCCAGTGACCAGGTATCTCTCTCTCTATATCGGTGTGTGTATCTCTCTGTATCTGTCTTTCTCTTTCTGCCTGTGTGTGTCTCTGTATCTCTGTCTGTCTCTATATCTCTCTGTCTGTGTGTATATATCTCTGTCTGTATCTGTCTCTCTTTCAATCTGAAAGTGTTTGATAACCCCTCCCACTCACAATTTTCTTGAAAGAATCACTGAACATTTATATTATATTATGGTTTGCGGGCCGGATTAAATCATCCCCAGGGCTGGATGTGGCCTGCGTGCCGCCAGTTGGAGAACCCTGGTTTAGACTATGTGGAATATGTTCCCGATGTGGAACTTGAACCCACAACCTTTCAACTCAAAGTGCTACCAACTGAGCCAGGTTGACTGTAAACACTTCTCAGCAAATATATAAGCTTTTTGATCAATGAGGCATATATGTATGTAGAACGAAAGTCAAGGGAAACAGATAGCAAAAAAGGTGAGTCGTGTAAAAAGGAAGAACGAAAGTCAGGGGGTTGACTATATATATATATATATATAGGTATATCATTGCATCTCAGTTTTCCATAGAAAGAGTACTAAAAATAGTTTTGAAATGTCACACATTAAACTAACCTGGTTCAGGTTCAGGCGCAGGTTCAGGCTCAGGTTCAGGCTCAGGTTCAGGCTCAGGTTCAGGCTCAGGTTCAGTTTTTGCTTCAGATTCTGGATCATGTTCTCCTTCTGCTTCAGTTTCAGCTTCAATTTCAACTTCCGCTTTAGTTTCAGAATCTAGTTCTAGTTGCCCCTCGGGTTTTGATTCAGCTTCTGATTTCACTTCTGCTTCTGGTGTTAACTCTGGCTCTGCTTCAGCTTTGGATTGTACTTCCGATTCAGTTTTGGATTCGGCTCCTGTTTTTGTTTCAGGTATTACCTCAGATTTTGCTTCGGCTTCAGATTCAGTTTCAACTTCAGATTCAGATTCGGTTTCAAATTCAGTTTCAGCTTCTTCTTCAGGCGTATTTTCCTGACCAGACAGTGTTTCAGCTATGTTCTGTGAATCAGGCATTTGTAGTTCTGTTTTAGATTGACTCTCTTCATCCATTTCTTCTTCCATTGCAGCTGAAATGTAAGAGTTAAGAGCAATAATTACATATAGCATTAACAAAGAATAAATATACTTTTTTAAGATTGCAAAACTTGACAAGCAACTATGAAGATTAGGAAAATTATGTATATTAATATTTTAATATGTCAAATTCTTAAAATTCTCAAGGTGTCAGTACAGGTTTTTTTAATTTTAACTTCCAATGTACACTATAGTTCTTTTTTGGGGGGGCTCCATTTGCCATACATTGTACTTGTTTTGGTGGAGAGGAGGAAAGGCTTTGGCAGATAGGAATGAATTTGAGATGATCAAGAGATAAATGGGATATATTGAAATTTGGGATTAAGTGAGAAAACAAAATTCAACAATATTTGAAGTAGAGCAATAGGGAATATGTTATATTAAATTTAGAGATGTTGGGAATCTTACAATTTGCAGATGACATCAATTACAAGGTCATAGGGCTAAACAAAAGCAGATTGTAAACAGAAGCATGAAAAGTTTTAACTAATGTTAGCAGTTTGCAATGAGATGGCCAAAATTCCACCCTGTCTTGGTTTGTAAAACCATTTTCTTAAAATTTATAATGGTGGAGAATTTATTCTTAATTTGGAAGCCATGGTTTTGCTTAAAACGAAGCAGCTTCCAAATGGAAGATATTTCTACAATTATTCCCATCTTAAATTTTATGACATTGTGGTAAATCTGCAGGTGTTTTTTTCAGGTCCCAGCATCCGCCATTATTTTTGATTTTTTAAATTAGGTGATTTTTGCATTGTAAGCTGTAGGCCCCCAAGAGGCTTCTAAGTTTATTTTGTATAATATTTGTATTCCAATGTTGATCTGCTAAGAAGGGATGAAATTTCAAGCTCTCTAGCCACAATTTGTTTTTCTATTGATCGCACTTCATACCTTGCTAAAATTTGATCATTTGTTCTTTTCTATTTATACAATTTAGTCAAAGAGAACACTAGCTTTGCACATATATTTTACATTATATAATACTCTTGCATCACTTTTATAAACAAACATACCTTCAGCGTACTCCAACATGGCCCTCTCTTGTTCTTGTTTTAGCCTTAAAGCTTCTAACTGGGCTTGCCTGTGAAAAATGTACCATCATAAAGCATTAAAAATAAGATTGTAAATTTGCTGAAAAATTTCTCAAAGCAGTCTTGAATTGGGGACTATAAAAGTAGCTGCTGCCAATCAACGATACAAAATAATGTCAGGCTGTCACTTCAGCCCCTCACAAAGAGGGAGGTAAATGGATGAGGAGACATTGCCTAAGGTGACCTGAAAAGTCATCTCCTGCTGTGGCACTGATTGACACTTTAAATTGATGACAAAGCCAAGTTCAACACCCTTCTCTTTAACTGTGCTTTTGGTGTCCCTCCTGCTCCACTCTCCCTTACCCTCCACCTCTCCTGACCCCAACCCCCAGCTCAGGTGCAAATCCTAGACTCTCCAGGGACTTGGGACGTCTTCCTGACATGAAAGACACTATACAAATATAATTTGCTGTTGTTGACAACTCATAGGCATTTCTTGAACACCATGGAGACAAAAGCATGGCCAAAAGGGCCTTGTTCTGATAACAGTGCCCCGCTTATCAGAGAAGGTATTAAGATTCTGCAATTTTTTCCAGACCCTGGATGATGTCAAACAAGCTCACGGTCTTGAACTCCTGGGGCAATGAAACAGGAGCACTGCACAGACTTCTGATCTCCTACTAAATATGTAGAAGATAGTGGCGACTGAACCAACAATGGTAGGCAGTGTCACCACAGTGAAAATATGGTACTTGGTACTGGTTCTATCGGTGTTGGAATCACTACAGACAATCTCATCGGCATGGAAGGATATGGAGTGACTGTGTATGTTGAGGGCGAACGCAGCAACCCATTTCTAGATGCTGAGGATTCCAGAATTCAACCAGTAATTGGGGCAGAACAGGGCCCAACCTTAGCCCAACAGATGGAAAGAGTGAATCTGATTTGGATACCTGCCCCCTCTATGTATCTGCCTCACCTGCCTGAGCACTGAGACGGAAGCCAATTATACCCTCCAAATGTGAGCCAAAAATTATAGACAAAAACAGCATGACGACATATCATGCATGAATGATAGGCAGGAGAAGATGTGGGGATGTGACGGTGTCCATCCAGCTTGAAATTGATCATTTACATTGAGCAGAATATAAAGCCATCAGAGTTCTCTGGGCTCTATTCTGAAAATTAAAATAATTTAAAAATAAACTACTCCTGTAAAAATGAATAAATCAAATCTACAGGAGTATTGAATCAGTGCAGGGGAAAAAACAAAACAGCTGAGTGGCAATGGAGTGTTTCTTTTGCTATTGCCATTGCTGACATTTTCACTTTTGCTACCTTATTAAAAAAAATGAAAATAAACAGCTTCTGGTTGACTATACAGTAGTAAAAAACTACAAAGTGGAGTGACTGTGTATGTTGTGGGCGACCACAGTAGACCATTTGCACACAGCAATATTCCACAAAACGACAACAACAAAATCAGATTTATATTGTGCCTTTCACGTCAGGAGAACGTCCCAAGGCCCTGGACAGTCAGTGTTTCAGACCCGAGCTGGGGATCGGGATCGAAGAGGGTGGAGGACATGGAGGGTAGGAGGGTGGACGAAGATGCAGTTGAAGAGGAAGGTCTTGAGACGTGCCTTGAAAGGGGCAAGGGAGGGAGCACGGCAAAGGGACTGTGTTCTAAAGGGTGGGGGCAGAGAGGCTGAAGGCCCGACCGACAATGATGGAGCGGGCCGGGTGGGGAATGTGGAGCAGGCCACAGGCTGCTGAGCGGAGGGAGCAGACAGGTTGATATGGGATTAGCAGGTCACAGAGTTAGGAAGGAGCAAGATGGTGGAGGGCTTTAAGGCGAGGTCGAGAAGCCGAGTGTGGGAGAGGACACAAACTGCAGAGTTCTGGATGATCTGCAGCTTGTGGAGGGAAGAGTTGGGAAGGTCACAAGCAGGGAGTTGGCGTAGTCAAGCCTAGATGATGAATGCGTGGATGAGGGTTTCAGCGGCATGAGGGATGAGGCAGTGGCGGAGCAGGTGATGTTGCGGAGGTGGGAGAAGGCGGAGCAGGTCATGGCATGGGTGTGGGGTAGAAAGCACAGTTGAGAATCAAACAAGACGCCAAATTTCTGGACCGGCTCAGTGAGGTGAAGTGTGCTGCCAGTGCCTGAGGTGTGGAAGCTCTGACGGGAGCCAATCAGGAGGGCATCGGTCTTGTTGACGTTCAACTGGAGAAAGTTAGCCCTCATCCAGGACTTGATGTCTGACAGACATTCTATCAGGACAATAGTGGCCCTTGAGTCAAGGGTGGAGGCAGTCAGATAGAGTTGGGTGTCATCCGTGTACATGTGAAAGTTGACCCCACGTCTACAGATGATGTCAGCAAGAGGGAGCATGTACATGTTGAACAGAGGAGGACCAAGGACAGAGCCCTGAGGAACACTTACGGGGACTGGAGAAGAAGCCATTTGTGGAGACAAAGTGGACAGTGTGAGAGGTAAGATCTGAATCACTTAAGGACAGAACTATGAAGGTTGAGGTGAGAGGAGAAACGGTGGAGGATAATAGAGTGGTCAACGATATCAAAAGCAGCAGAGAGGTCAAGGAGGATGAGGAGACAGAGGGAGCCCTGGTCACAGATGTACAAAATGTCATTTGTCACTTTGACCAAGGCTGTTTCTACGCTGACCAATTTTATTTGGGGATTGCTCGCCAGGACACCAGGAGAAACTTGGAATGTCATGGGATCGTTAACATCCACTTTTTAATGACCAGGCAGACAGGACCTTGGTTTAACAGACATTTCTAAGATGCTCTCAAACAGTTGGTGGATAATTGAAGAATGGTCTTAGTAGATGCCAATCTCTGTAATTTTTTCTGAAGATGAGAACATTTAATGTTATAAGGCAGAGTGTCCATGCACAGTATTTATATAGTTTTAAATACTTTACTCACCTTATCTCCTCTTGTTCACGTTTCTTTCGATCTCGTTCTTCTTGAAGTCTTTGTAGAATCTTGGTATCAATATCAACTTTATTTAAATTGTACATTCTGGATAGGAGGAATTTTCCTGAGGACATTAATACAAGTATAAAGCATTAGAATTCCATTTTTGAATAGTTTGCATATCAATTGTATAACATTTAATTTCAAAATTCAACCTATGGTGTTTTTGGGTTACAGATGTATTTCCGTTATAAAATGTACGTTCCTCATCACTTCTTCTCTACCATTGGCAGCATGCCTTCAGCCACTATGCCCCAAAATTCTGGACCTCACTTCCTCAATCCCTCCACCTTGCCCCTTCTTTCCCCATCTTCATACCTCACCTGAAGACCTTGCTCTTCGACCATGCCTACGGTCACTTCCTCTCTCTCCCTGGCTCGATGTCAAACTCCACCACTATTAAGCACTCTGAGACACTACCCTGCATGACGCTATATGAATACAAGTTGTTGTTTAGATCCCTGTCGCTATCTTTTATTTGTGTCCTCTGGTAATGGACTCCAAACCAGTGGAAACAGCCTATTTGTGTTAACCTTATTGAACCCTTAACCGTCTCTTCTCTAATGGAAAAAGGCCCAACTTATTCAGTATATCCTGATAGTAGTAACCTGCCAGCCCTGGTATCATCCTTCTGCATGCAGAAACCTTAGTTCCATGTAGATCCCTGTAAAATAAAATGAGCAGGTTCCCGCGCATGTTTTGCACTCAAGTTTTTCCAGCTCCAATTTATTGTTTTTGAGACTGTCAGTGAATGCGGTGGAGCATAAGATTCATAAACACAAGCTGTTAAGGCCCTCCGTTGCTAGTCCAGCATAAGGTGTTTGTCTTATGGATTAGGACCAATATCAGTTGTTGTGAGATATAATAATAATAATCCTTGCATTTGATATAGCGCTTTTTACGTCTTCTAGACGTCCCAAAGCGCTTCACAGAAGACACTGTAAAGTGAATTGACTGTATATTTGTGGGCGAACGCGGCAGCCAATTGCGCACAGCAATGTCCCACAAACAGTTGTGGATTGAAATGACCAATTTATTATTGCTTTGTTTTTTGGAGGGATTATTATTAGGCGTGTGGAGCAAGGAAACTTGCCCAAGGTTTCGTCCTGCCTGGAATTGAACTCAGGTCTCTCACTTGCAAAGCGAGTGCTGAGCTACAGGACTCCACCATAAGGGCCTTACCTGGTGTGAAACTGTGATATTTGTGCTCCTTCAGATCCCACTAAATGTGGCATTTATCAAGGACAGTCGGATAGCGCACTTTGCATCCTGTCCAACTCACTGCATGGCCTGCCTCACAGTTAACATTTTAGAAATTTCAAAGTAGGCCCAAACATTATACTGTCTAATCTGAAAATGGATGGTAACAAACTGAATGCATAGGTATGACCAGAGTAAAGCAGTCAGAAGGAATGAAAGTCTCGTTGAGATTAGGAAGACATTTTAGGGAGGATTTTAATAATAATCTTTGCGTTTGGTATAGCGCCTTATCACATCTTTGAGACGACTCAAAGCGCTTCACAGAATATACTGTAAATTGTCTACACTGTGGGGCGAAATACGGCAGCTAATTGTACACAGTGTCCCACAAATCATGGATTGATGACCAACATTTTTAATTAACTTTAGAGAGAAGTATGAAATTTTAAAAGAGATTGAAAAAGTAAACCCAGAACAATACCTTTGGGACAGGATATTTCCTAACTCAGAGGGTAATTAATGCCCAGAATAGGTTGCCAGGAATCTGGATTCATTAAAAAATGATGTGATGGGAAGATGGTAGGGTGGATATTCTGGAATTATGAGAACAAATGAGCTAGAGGGCCTTTCTTCATTCAAACCAATCTTGTGAAGCAGCTGGTTTTCAAACTTCAAATATCAATTTGTACAAATTTTAAAGTTTAAAAAATGTTTCTGTTTTCCAACATCCTTTGTATTCACATTGTGTATGCGTTTAAAACTATGTAAAAGACTGTTTATAAACAACTATACACAGTAGGTATCAAAAAGTCAGTTGATGTAAAGCATTATTTGGGTAACAGGATCACACCTCCACAAATCAGATTGGGATTTATCTCAAGAATATAATCTTAAGCGAAATGGAATTCAATGGCTGAGCAGTATCTTTCCTTAACTCAAATGATCAGNAAAAAAAGAGTCTGGGCCTCAGGTATCCTCCTTCATCTTAAGTCATAGAAATGGTCTGTGTTTCTTTGCGGTGTTAAATAATGTTTGAGTTTTATATAGTATAAACAATTATACACATTAAGCGCTCTGAGACACTGCCTCAGGTGAAGGGTGTTGTTGTTGTTGTTATGTGGGAAAAGACAGGTATAAATGTGTTATTACTCTAATGCATTGTGTTGAAACTGAGGGCAACTGAGTAATCTTTTAAAATATCTTACATAATTTTATTACTAAAATAAATAGTAATTAATTCACTCACCTTCCTCCTCATTGTTATTTAAGAAGAAAATAGTATCAGGGCCAAAACCCAAGTGTAGCAAAGTTCTACATTCATCTATTGTTTGTGGAAAATTTTCCAGCACCCAGCCGCCTGCTTCAGGAGCTTGCGTGTTTGTTTTTTTACGTTCCTCAGAAATCTGTGAAACAGAAAATAAAGAACAAGATTTCACTACGGTTCTCCTGGTACCTGTATATTTTTCATTTTACACCAGTTGATGGAAGACAAATGTGATAGGAATTTTAAGACCAAAAGAGCCAATACCTTCGAATGGGATAATATAATAATAATAATCCTTGCTTTTGATATAGCGCTTTTCACGTCGGGAGGACGTCCCAAAGTGCTTCACAGAACACACTGTAAAGTGAATTGACTGTATATTTGTGGGCGAACGCGGCAGCCAATTGCGCACAGCAATGTCCCACAAACAGTCATGGATTGAAAATGACCAATTTATTATTTTTTGTTGTTTTGGAGGGATTATTATTAGGCGTGTGGAGTAAGGAAACTTGCCCAAGGCTTCGCCCTGCCTGGAATTGAACTCAGGTCTCTCGCTTGCAAAGCGAGTGCTCTAACCACTGAGCTACAGGACTCCACAATATGCATATGCATATGTTGATGAAAAACTAGATTTAGATCTCAAGGAATAACCACCAGAAGACGATCAAACTTTTACATCTTTTCATGATAATCACGATGCAATCAAGATGGGATGTAGCATGAAAAACTGCTACATGAACTAGCTTAGGCTATGATTTTAATCAAAGGGATACAAAATGTTAAAGCAGTAAATAACAGGTAGCTAGACTCCTTAATGAAGAGCAATTTGTAATTATGACATATTTTCCAGATACCAGCAGGACAGAGATGGGAAAGCCTGATTTTGGAAATGTCTCCTCTTAACCACATGGCTGTTAACTGGAACTTTTCTGGGTTGGTATACAGAATTTTCTTTGCCGATGAAGATTGAGATAGGAAAGGTGCAAGAACCTTGATTAAAGAATCTAGTGTGGGATTACCAGAATCACAACAACCAAAATAATCAGAATCAGTTTAGTGGAATCACCATCATCAATTCAGCTCAAATTTTCTGAAAAGCACCGTAGATCAAAAAAAATGAAGGCACAAACTAGAGACATATATGTTTTCATAAGAGAATACCCTCCAAACTCTATTCTGGCTTGTCTATGTTCTTAAGTTGTTTTGGACCTCTCTTGTCTTAAATGAACCTGGTATCTCTACTACTGCTGCAAAGATACATTCAAAAGTTCTGATAAGGCACAGTACACTCGATAGGTTACCCTAATTTGGCTCCATTTCAGATTTATTTTGTTGAGAAAAGATCCAAGATCTTGGAAGATGATGAAGACCTGCTGTATTGTAATCCAACCCAAAGTAGACAGCAACAATTGGGTCCATTCTTACTTACTTGCATCTCAACAACATGATAAGGCGCTATATCAAATGCAAGGATGATTATTATTATCATTGCAAACTTTGTGCATACCCTGAATGAAGAAGCCTTCAAGTGACTCCCCCACCCCCATTGATGTTCTTTCTCAATGTTGAGTTACAGCTGACTTCACAAGACACCACCTTCATAGCACACTAACTACTTATTTTTAAATACCTTCATGCCAATTATAAACAAAACTGTCCCTATAAGATTAACAAAAACAGAAGTCACTGAGAACACTCAGCAGGTCAGGCAGCACCTATGGAGAAAGGAAAGTGAGTCAACGTTTCGGATCTACGACCCTTCATCAGAACTGGGGCATGTTGGGAGGGAGAGGCTTTTAAGAACTAACAGAAAGGGGGGAGGCAGGGTCCACAACCCTTCGTCAGTTCGAGTTTGAGGCTGAAGAGTTTGTCAGTTCTGACGAAGGGTCGTGAACCCAAAATGTTGACTCACTTTACTTTCTCCATAGATTCTCCCTGACCTGCTGAGTGTTCCCAGCGACTTCTGTTTCTGTTTTCGAGTACTTGAAGAGAGAATCCAGCAGCTTGAGGAGGGAACCGAGTGAGGTGGAACAGAATGAGAGTTCTGTTCAGGAATTTGTTGAGAGTGGGAATTTGGTGCAAAGAGGGAAAGAAGTACATAATTATAAAATATATAATAGTTAAATTAAAATAATAAAACATGTCTGGAAATATGGTAGGACAGCTGAGACCAGTTGCATTCACAATGTGTGCCATGTGGGAACTCCAGGATGTGTTGTGTGCCCTGGACAAACACTTGTAGGAAGTGCCTCCGGCTGGTCGAGCTTGAGAACAGAGTTTCTGAGCTCGAGGAGAGGCTAGTGTCACTATATAGCATACGAGAGGCTGAAGAGTTCATGGATCGAACATTTCAGGAGATGGTCACCCCACAGCCACAGAGGGTTCAGAAGGAGAGTGAGTGGGTGACCACCTGGCATGGTAGGAAGAGGGTCAGACAATGCAGAAGTTCACTGAGAGCGTGGCACTCACAAACGGTTCTGTACTGAATACCGGTCAAGGTGATGACATCTCTGGGAAGGAGAGTCAAAAGCAAATGGATACACTGGGGAACACAGGGAAGAGTGTCAATGCAATTGTCATTGGGGACACAATGGTGAAAGATATTTCTGCAATCAAAGACATGACTCTCGCATGGTATGTTGCCTCCCTGAAGACATCTCCTTGAAGACATCACGGAACGGGTGCAAAACATTCTACAGAGGGAAGGGGAACATGTTGGAATCCATGACATACAGGNAAAAAAGGGCTGTGTTCCTACAGGGAGAGTATCAGAAGCTAGGGAAAAACCTAAAGAGTAGGACTTGAAAGGTGGTGATCTCTGGATTACTCACAGTGCCTTGTGCAAGTGAGTATCAAAACAGCAGGTTGAAACACATGAATGCATGGCTGGAGAAATGGTGTAGAAAGGAAGGCTTCAGATTCTTGGATCATTGGGACCAGTTCTGGGGCAGGTGGGTCCTGTACAAGGTGGATGGGTTAACCCTCAGCAGGGCTGGGATCAATGTCCTCACAGGTTAACTAGTGCTGTGGGGAAGGGTTTAAACAATTTTTGAGGGGGGAAGGGAATCAGGATGTAGCATTAGAGAGGACAAACAAGTTACATAGAGAGCTGAGTGAGATGAATAGCAATGTAATAAGGAGTGATCCAGAAAAAGGAGGGATTCGACAGGGGAGAAATGCAGAACAGACTAAGTCGTTCTTGGAGTGTATGTGAGTGTGACAAATAAGATTGATGAGCTACAGGCTCAAGTTTGCTACATGGGGTTATGATGTAGTGGTAATAACGGAGACCTGGCTCAAACAAGGGCAGGAATGGGAGCTGAATATTCCTGGCTACAGTGTATTCAGCAGGGATTGGCAAGGAAAAAAAGGAAGGGGGTGGTGACAATATTGATTAAAGACACGGTTACGGCCCTGGAAAGGGACGATGTGCCAGAGGGTCCAAAAACAGAATTTATTTGGTTAGAGTTAAGGAGCACAAAAGGTGCTGTTACTCTGTTAGGTGTATACTATAGACCATCAAATAGTGGGAAGGAGATAGGCGAGCAAATCTGCAAGCAGATTTCAGAAAGATGCAAAACCAATAGAGTAGTCATAATGGGGGACTTCAATTATCATAGACTGGCAAAATAACAGTGTAAAGGGCAAAGAGGGGGAAGAATTCCTGAAATGTGTGCACAATAACTTTCTGGATCTGTATATTTCCAGCCCAATGAGGAAGGAAGCAGTGCTGGATCTAGTTCTGGGGAATGAAGAGGAGCAGGTTTCAGTAGGAGAGTATCTGGACAACAGTGATCACAACATCATTGGGTGTAGAGTACTTATGGAAAGGGACAAGGAACAATCAAAGGTGAAGATACTCAACTGGACGAGGGCTAATTTCAATGAGTTAAAAAGGGACCTAGCCAAGGTGGACTGGAAAGAAAGATTGGCAGCTAAAACAGATAACGAGCAATGGGAAGCCTTCAAGGAGGAGATAGTTAGGGGACAGAACAAATACAATCCCACACAGGGGAAAGAATAGGGCATTCAAACCTCCCTGAATGAATAAGGAAATTGGGATTAAAATATAACAGAAAAAGGAGACTTATGATAAATATCAGGTCCAAAATACAGAAGATAATAAGAGACTTGTAAGCAAAATAGAAGCCCATGGTATTAAAGGGACAGTGGCAGCATCGATACAGAACTGGCTGGGAGACAGAAAGCATAGAGTGGTGGTAAACAGTTGCTTTTCTAACTGGAGGGAAGTGTGCAGTGGTGTCCCCCAGGGGTCAGTATTGTGACCACTGCTGTCTTTGATCTATATAAATGACCTGGACTTGGGTACAGGGAGTACAATTTCGAAGTTTCCAGGTGATACTAAGTTAAGAAAAGTATTAAATAGTGAGGAGGATAGTAACAGACTGCAAATGGACATAGACAGACTGGTGAAATGGGCAGACACATGGCAGATGAAGTTTAATGGGGAGAAATACGAAGTGATGCATTTTGGCAGGAAGAATGAGGAGAGGCAATATAAGCTAAAAGGTAGAATCTTAAAGGGGGTGAAGGAACAGAGAGACCTGGGGTTCATATAAGTAAATCTTTGAAGGTGGCAGTACAGGTAGATAAAGCTGTTAAAAAAGCACATGGGATACTAGACTTTATAAATAGGGGCATAGAATACAAAAGTCAGGAAGTTATGATGAACCTTTATAAAACACTGGTTATGCCTCAGCGAGAGACTGTGTTCAGTTCTGGACACCACACTTTAGGAAGGATGTCAAGGCATTGGGCAGGGTGCAAAGGAGATTTACCAGGAGTGAGGGACTTCAGTTATCAGGAGAGGCTACAGAAGCAAGGATTATTTTCCTTGGAGCAGAGAAGGTTAAGAGGAGACTTAATAGAAGTTACAAAATTATGAGGGGATTCGATAGAGTGAACAAGGAGAAACTATTTCCACTGGCGGGTGGGTCGGTAACCCGAGGACATGATTTAAAATAGTTGTTAAAAGAAACAGAGGAGAGGTGAGGAGAAAACTTTTCACACAGCGAGTTGTTCGGATCTGGGATGCATTGCCTGAAGGGGTGGTGGAAGCCAATTCGATAACAACTTTTAAGAGAGAAGTAGATAATTATTTGGGGAGGACAAGTTTACAGGGCTATGGAGAGAGAGCGGGGAAGTGGGATTGAATTGGATAGTTCTTTTCAAAGAGCCGGCAGGGTGGGCCGAGTGGCCTCCTTCTATGCTGTGTAATTCTATGATTGCAGCATCTGCTACCATAAAGCTACCATATGTCTTGTTCAACCTTTTCCATTTCTCACATTTTGGGGAATATTGGTTCAGTAGAACTTGGGATCCATAAAATCCCAACCTAAAGTGAGGAGCAACCTAAAATCCCAAACTAAAATGTGTAGCCGGCTGGCCGATTTGCGGCAATGGGGTATGCTGGCTCCCGCACTAAAAGTAAAAATGGCCAATTCAATGTCATCATCAACATGACCACCATGATGCTGGCAACGATCTATGAGCCAGAATTCTCCTCTACTGACACATGGCAATCGAGCAGGTTTTCTGTGTGTTTTTGTGCAGTGAATGGAGTCTACATTGCAACTGTGTTACAATCAAATCCATACTATAAGTGTATGCTTCAGCAATGTCAATATTATGTTTTACCTCTGATATAGCTTTTTCCAATACTTCAGTGTAGGTATCAGTTGGAAACACAATAGGAATTAGCAATGCAGCTTGGATAGCTTCTTCCACTATTTCTTGTACCCGAGAGTCATCCTCAAACACCTCTGGTACTATTATATTTGCTTTTATAGCTTCTAAATAACAAAACAAATTGTACATATTAGTTGATTCTAGTATGCAATATAGGTTATTATTGAAATCCTTTTTTTTAGGTATATGTTCTATATTCAAATATACAGAATGGTTGGGCATTACAGCGACTGCCCCTTCAACAAGACCTTTTATTATCTATAATACTCGGTACTGTTGTTGATTCTATCAACAGCAAGGAAAAGAGAAGCAAAAATAATGATGTAATTTAGAGGTGAAAGAAGTTAGCAAAGATTCAGATCTTCAAACATAAAGGAAATTTAAAGGAATTTAAAAATTTAGGAGGAATTACTTCATGCAGAGGATATTGAGATTGTGGAACTTGCTGCCTACTAGAGCAGTGGTTGACTCAGATAGTGTAGATGCATTCAAGGGGAGGTTACCCCTTGCTAGGAATTAGCAATGCAGGAAGATTGGAATAGAAAGGTGTGGGATGCAGTAAAGAACAGTGGGGAATCATGGACAAGTTGGCTCAGTGGCATGTTGCCATGCTTTACATTCTGTGTAAATGTTTGGAAGTGAGGTGTAATGAGTATTGTATGTTGCATTTTGGCTCTTGTTGGGAATAGTAGCAGATATAAATAGTGGAGTTATGAAGATGGATAAATATTCTTGAGTTTTACCTAAATTACCACATGAATCACATATTTTCACCAGAACATTAAATGGGAAGAGTTGCGTCCTTGATGATATGAAAACAGTGGAGATCCCTATAATCATCAACTTATTCTCTAAACATAAGATGTATGGCTCAAAATAACAAAGGCATAAAAGAGGGACAAATTAAAAACATTTAGAGGAGTTTGGAAGATTTACAGAGATTCATCTGTAGGACCTGCATTCAAGACTGATGTGTAGAAAGTACAGTAAAACTTGCATAAGTCTGTCTGATCTGTATAAATTATATAATCTCCTAAATTGTACATCTTCCCAAATCTCATTCAAGAGTTTATATTCTTTGCAAGTTTGATATAACTCATACTTTGCATAAATCATATTAAATGTGTAGTCACAACTAATTTGGCCTATGTTAGGTTTACTGTATTGCATCCAAGTTTGCTAATGACACTAAATTGGTGGATTATACAACATTTCAGCAATGGAACATTGATAACTAGAAAAGTGGTTGGGTGTAATTTAATGTAATTTAACCTTGATAAATCTGAATTTATTTATATAATATAACCTTGATAAATAATATTCAGAAAAGGAATACGAAGTGGAATGATAATCTGAAGGATAAAAGTGGAGGGGAGGATCTGAGGGATGTGGAAGTGAAAATACTACAAAAATGACTAAAACTGGGGTGACAACTGCAAAAGGCTATCAAGAAAGCGAATTAGTTCTTGAATTTATAAATGTTGGAATTGTAAAGGAAACCGGGTGGCTGCAGTTAAGAGTATTAGGCTCCCTATTGCAGGAAAGATGTCATAAAAACAATTTACATTTGTATAGAGTCTTTCATGTCAGGAGGATATCCCAAGATGCTGGACAGTCGAGGAGATAAGGATGGAGGAATGCGAGGATGATATCAGGTATGACAAAATATAAGTAGGAAGAAAGGTTAGCAAAATGTTTTTACACACTGGAGTAGAGGACATTAAGTGCACAGAGGTGTTTAAAAGACTGAAGGAACAAAGTAAATCGGAAAATATTATATCCTATACTTAGGAAATCAGTGACAAATGAGCATGGTCTCAGGATAGTTCTAGAGAAATTCAGGGACAAGGTTAGAGGGAATTTGTTCACTCAGAGGATTGCTGTAGTGTTTCCTGACCAGAAATAGCCTAAGGCCTCATTCTTTGCTGAAATGTCTACTTATATATAACAATCCTTGCATTTGGTAAAGTACTTTAGTATATCATTAAGACTTCTCAAAGTGTTCCATAGGATTTTACTGTAAAGTGTAGTGATTGTATTTCCTTATTTATTGCACCCCCAAGCTCTCCCCCACCTTTATCCCCGACATATCCACCCTCCTATCTTCCCTCTCCCTCTGCTCAGAACGCCTCCTCATCCTAAGCAACTTCAACCTTCACTTCACTCCTCCACTCTATCTCTGCTGACTTCTCCTCTATCTCCTCCCACAAATTCTCCCTCCACATCCATTCCTCCACCCACGTCCGCGGTCGCCCCCTCGACCTGGTGATCACTCGGGGCGTCACTGTCTCGGACTTCATCATCATCATCAACAAAGCGATCTCGGACCATCACTTCATCTCCCTTAACTTCTCAATCCCTCTCCCCACCACCACCCAACCCACCTCCATCTCCTACCGCCCTGGAAAAAATCTCCCCCCAACCCTCCCTCTCGGCTGCCTTTGAGTCATCTGATCTCCTTCCCCTCTGGGCTTCCTTCCACAATGACTATCCTCCTTAGTCACTCTTCTCCACAGCTCCCTCTCCTCCACTCTTGATTCCCTTACTCCCCTCTCTTCCTGAACTGTCTCCTACTCACGTAAGTCACCATGGTACACCAGCAATCTCTGCTCCCTTAAAGCACAGATGCATAACGCTGAACGCACCTGGCTTAAATCAAACTTAACGGTACATCGGCAGATTTGGCTGGATCTTATCAAATCCTACTGCTCTGCCCTCGCCTCCACTAAATCATCATTCTACTTCAAGACAATCTTGGAGGCCAAGGACAATCCCAGGCTCCTCTTCAACCGGCTCCTCTGCCCACCCTCTCACGCCTCGCCCATCCTCACCTCCAATGCCAATTGCGAGGTGATGCTGGACTTTCTCGAATCAAAAGTTGAGGAGATCCGCTCAGCAGCCTCTGCTTTTCCATCAACCCCATCTCCTCCTCCCACCCTGGCCCCTACCCATCCCTCCTTCCCTAACATTCAATGAATTGTTTAATCTGAAAGATTTCATTACCTATCTCTTGAAGTGATGGTTTATATGGTTTCTTTTGCACTTGCTGATCTTCACTAATTTCCTCTTCTGCACCTTTTGCTTCTGCGTCTTGACCTTCAACAGCTTCACCTTCAACAGCTTCAATGGCTTCTAAATCATAAAAATAAATGTTTCTTAAATTGAGACACACATATAAAGGAACAATCTCTTGAACTAACCTCTTAAAAGGCCATTTAAGAGTGAAATCAGAAAGCATTTTTTCCATTCAAAGGGTGGTAGAAATCTGGAATTCTCTCCCCCAAAAGGCCGTGGATGCTGGATCAATCCACACCTTCAAGAGTGAGGTTGATAGATTTATTAAGGGATATGGGAAGAAAGTGAGAAACTGGAATTGAAAGGAGGTACAGATCAGCCATGATCTAATTAAATGGCGGAACAGGCTCGAAAGGCTGAATGGCCTATTCCTGTTCCTACATTTCTATGTAACCAACCAACTAACTAATTCCCGTGAATGTCTCCTCACCGCTCCTGTACTGAAACTTTTTGTGTTAAGAACCAGTGCGTAACTTCAATTTGATTCTCAGCTGTCCTTCATGCCCCACATTTGTTTCCTGACCTTCTCTCACTACAATGCTGTCAAAGCCCCCAATCACGCCTTTGTCACCTTGCGTCTTGATTTCTCAATGCACTCCTTGCTGGTTTCCCCAATTCCATCATTGATAAAGTCTAGCTAATACAAGACTCTGCACCCTTATTCTCAACTGTCCCAAACTCTGCATGCCCATCATCCCAACCTTTACCAGGCTTCACTGGCTCCCTGTCTCCAAAGAGATGAACTTCAAGTAATTCACCTTCACATACAAATCTCTTTGTTTCCTTGTACCGCCCCTACTTGTCTGACCTATTAGAACCACTCCTCTGCCCAAATCCTTCACTCAGCTAACACAGGCCCGTTGTTAGTTCCCTGAGCCCTCTGCACCACCATTAGTGGCTGTACCTTTAGACACTACGACCATAATATGTGGCACCCCCTGCAGTGTTATAAATGGACATAATTACTGATCAGCAATTCTGCATTCACTGCACATATACACAAAAAGCCAGCCAACATACTACAAATTGAGTATGTAGTAGACATACATATTAAGAAATCTCAATGACATGATAAGGCACTATATCAATGGCAAGGATTATTATTAATATTATTAAAGTATCTGATTTCTAATCACTGGGTCATTGTTGATGACACTTCCTGTGCATGCACAGTGCGCAGAACGTCATGTCAGTGACAACCCAATGACCCAGAGTTGTCTTTTTTTAAGGGTATGAGAAACAAATTGGTTGGCTTTCAAGATTCACAAGCTGAAGGGCATTATAAAGGGCTTCCACTGTCGTTTGAAAAAAATCATTCAAAATCCACAAAAAGAGTGAATTTTAACCTTATTACACCTTATTAATACAGAAAAACAGAGATAAAACCCATTACCTATGTCAGATGGTGTTAATTCTCCTTCTGTCTTCTGTATTTGCTGCTCTTCTGCAACATTATGCTTCTCGACGGTTTTTGACTGACTGTCTTGTTCTTCAACTTCTAAATTGAATTGAAAAGTTACAGTTAGACATAAGGATTAGGCAACTTTGATTTTTGTTATAAAAAACAAAATGCATTAAAAAACATTGTGTCTGACACATGCAGAAATCCATTACCATGCTTAAGAATATCCATATTAGAATCAGAGTTTTTCAAGTGTATGTTACCTGCATCTGGAAATGTCACTGTGTCTGTAATGGAGGGACACACATTGCTTACTTAACAATGGATAGTACAAGTTGGTGAGAACCAAGACTTGGGGCTCTCAAAAGAGTGTGCACTGGGAACTGCTAGAATTTAACCAACTAAAACCAAACAGCCTGACATTGAGAGCACTGCTTAGTAAGGTTCCTGTTGCTTTTCCAGCAAGGATCACTCCACCCTTCAATACTCTGGCTGTGGAGTTAACAGGAACTAAGTGGAAACAATCCCTACCTCCAGTCACTTGTCTGTATCTCTAAATACTGCTGAGAAGCTAGATAGTGGTATTTGTCAACAGTGCCTTGGAGGCCCCATCTGGATCAGGACCAGACAACAGAGACCTCCACCGAGGGTTGACTCGATTTTAACATTCCATTGCCAACCATGTCACCTTGAACCCAGCTAAGCCGATGGAGAAACTCACCACACATCTTTCTTCCTTAGGAATGATATGAGAAGTGGTCATGAGGTTTTTATAAACTTTCAGTTAATTTAAATTTATACCACAAATTTGGAGCACTGGTTTAAATTAAAATTATATTTTTATTCATTTTCCAGAAAATTTGATAATATTAACCAAGTGTTGTTCCTAGCATGGTCTGCATCAGGCTTCATAATAAATAATTATGAAGTATTTGATTGTATTTGATACAGTGCCTTATCACAATAATAATAATAATAACTAGATAGTATGGTTGCATATATCAAGTCCTCTTCTTGTTTTCATTATCCAACCATGAATTAGTTTTGTTTCTGCTCTCTTTAACATTCTATTGCTGACTTGTGGCGGGATATATTTATATTGGTATATTTAACGATCCTCTGAGACTTTGCTTAAGTAGCCTTTCTTCATTAACGAGTCTTGATACTGAGTGCCGGCAAGCTATGTGAGCTATCACAGTTGATCCAGTTTCCATATTCACTGAATGTATCTACTTTACATCAAGGGTTACTGGGTAGCAATCAGAGCAACAACAACAAATTACATTTGTATAGCGCCTTTCGCATCAGGAGGACGTCCCAAGGGGCTGGATAGTCAGGGATCCGGACCTGAGCTGGTGGTTGGGATCAGGAGGGGTGGAGGACAGGGAGGGTAAGAGTAGGAGGGTGTTCGAAGGCACAGTCGAAGAGGAGGGTCTTAAGAAGGTCTTGAACGAGGAAAAGGAGGTTTGAGGCGGATGGTCTGTGGGATGGAGTTCCAGAGGGTGTGGGCAGAGAGGCTGAAGGCCCATCCGACACAGAGGTAAGGAGAGCAAGGCCATTGAGGGCTTTGAGGGTGAGAACCGGGATCTTGAACTGTATCCTCTGAGTGATGGGAAGCCAGTGGAGTTGGGCAAGGATTCGGATGATAGGGTCACGGAGCCTGGTGCAGGAGAGGACACAGACTGCAGAGTTCTGGATGATCTGCAGCAAACTCCCTGCTTGTCGACCTCCCCAACTCCTCCCTCCACAGGCTGCAGAGTTCTGGATGATCTGCAGCCTGTGGAGGGAGGAGTTGGGGAGGTCGACAAGCAGGGAGTTTGCGTAGTCAAGCCTGGATATGATGAACGTGTGGGATGAGGGTCTCAGCGGCCTGTGGTGGAAGACAGCGGCGAACTGGGCAATGTTGCGGAGGTGGGGAAAGCCGGAGAGGGTCATGGCACAGACGTGGAGGATAAAGGACTGTTGAGGGTCGAACAGGATGCCGAGGTTCCGTACTCGCTCCCCTGCTCCCATTCTAATTCAACCAGTTTTCCAGTTCTTGGTGCAAACGGGTGCCACTCTCCTCCAGCTCCTGTTGTTACTGAGCCTAACTCCACTGTGAGTGGGTTGACTCAGGATCTAAAATTTTTCCCGGGTCCCTCACAAATCCTGGTAGGCACCTCAACAAAAACTTCACCTTTACTCTCAGCTTCTATCTGGTCTACTTCAGTTTCATCTTCTTCAGGTATATCCAGATTCAAGAGAGCTTCGTCTCGAATTGCTTGAGTTTCCAATTCAGCTAGAAAGATGTATGGAGTGAGAATTTTTAACTATTGTAAAATGAGGCTGCAGACAAGGATTATTATAATTTTCTTAAACAAAAGGATTATAATAATAAAATAATCTTGCATTGGTTTTACTTATCAAAAAAATTGAAAAACTGAGGCTGTTTTCTCCATAGGTTAAAGGAGACCCGATAATGATAATAATAATAATAATAATTATCCTTGCATGGGAGGGTTTTAAAATTATAAGGGGATTTTGCCATTCATAAATCCTGTCTAACTAACTGTCTCTAATCAGTTTTTAATTTCCAAATGCTTATCAATTTTTTCTCATATAACAGACTCCCAATATTTTCCTACCATTCAGGCGAGACTAACTAGCCTACAATATTTATCCAGCTTCTTTTTGTAGGAGTTAACTAACATAGCAGCAACAACAAAAACAACAACTTGCACTTATATAGCACCCCTCACGCAGGGTAGAGTCCCAGAGCCCTTCCCTTGATTATTATTACTATCATTCCACTGCTCATGAATGGACTGTCACATCTATTCAGAATTCACAATATTAATCAATCTGAGGCTCCACTGTGCACCAGCTGAAGCCGTACAGTATGTGGGAATGGAACAGCAACTACTTGTGCTGTTGGTCATTACACAAGCTATATATATTGACACATTACTACAGCCTTTGAGCTATTTTTGACAAATTCTGTATGCATTCACAAAATATACTTAGTTACTATTTGTTATATTATAGTTTTTTATTACTCATCTCAACTGAAGCTATACTTTGCTATTTAATAAAATAAAATTTCTTCAAATTACTGCAGTTGAAAGACATTAAAGAATTAAAATGTTAAGAGTAAAACAAACATAATAACAACAATTTGCATTCATATAGTGCTCTTCACACAGAATAAAACAAAGATATCCAATTACTAAAAATCTAAATGTTTTTAACATATTAAAAACAGGATTAAAGAAATCATTTTAGAAACAAATTACCTATTCCTTGTTCCAACAATTCTTGTTCCAATTTCAATTTAATGCTGACTATTGCTGATTCCGTCGCCTCTCTCTGAACCTTTTCAATTGTTTTTTCCTTCTGTTCTACTATTTTTGGCTGAATAAGTTTGGACATGTCTAGAACCTGAGTGTGAAATATATATAAACTTTACTTAAAACAGTTAGTATCTCCACCGAAAGCATTGATTGAACTCTAAAACTCACAGAAATATTCCTTTGCACAAAGTGAAGAATTTACAATAACTCAGCCCCCAGCTTTTAAAACATTTCAAAGCTTAAAGACCTACTATAGCAATTATCTTCATCAGTTGAAAAAAAATCATCCTCTCCAAATGTCCACTTTTTTTACATCTCTAATCTTAATACTCTACATTAAACAAAACACTTAAACAACAGAAAACACTTCAACTTAAAAAATACAAGTTAAGAAATCAATTTAATGTTATTTTGCTTCATTCATAGTGTGATAGTGAAACGCACAGCCTGAAGCAGTTGTTGAATCAGATACGCATTCAAGAGAAAGGTAGACCTTCACATAGGGAGAGGGGAATAGAAGAATATGGTAGGGAACAAAGGAATAGGTGTAGACTTGTGTGGAGTATAAATACCGACACTGACTGGTTGTGCCAAATGGCCTGTTTCCAGGCTGTTTATTCTGTAACATTTCATAAACTCACCACACTCTGCTCAGGTTGCAAACCCACCCAAAACAATTCACACCTCCTCTACTTTCTGCATGACATGGGAAGTGGAGGAGCACTGTGTTTGTCATGAGATGTAATTCCTGGTTGATTTAAAATTCTAAATTGCTTTGCAAGGGAGTATGGAAGCAAAATGGCAGCCTTAAATTCAAAGATGACAACACAAAACTTTTACTAAGGCTATGAAATAACATCCATTTTTTCCCACAGACTTGTACAGTATCAGGGACAGAGAAAGTCATCACATTTATTACCAACATTGCATAATAGCAGTTTTCAAATTCTTAATCTATAAAATCATTTCATCTTAACATAAAATTGTGAGAAATTCTTTAAGTCAGTCTTAATTTCAAAACCAGTTTTACATAGTATTTAAATACTATGTAAAACTGGTTTTGAAATTAAATATTAAATATTTATTTAAATACTATGTAAAATACTAGAAACAGATAGCAAATTAAGACTGAATGACTGTGACATGTTAAAATTTAAGGCAAAATAGCCTTACAGGCTAAAACAAGGTGAAATTTTGGGACATATATCCCATGAAACCGAGCTTTACAATCATTTTACCTTTCCGTCATATTTCTGAGCAATTAGATGGGCGAGAGTGGTCTTCCCTGAAGACGGTGGACCTAAAACTAAAACTTTACAAGGTGGACGAGGTTGTGGAGCGCTAAGATATGGACGAGGGTTGGTGAGAAATGCCTGTAGTGCGTCTTCAGTTGAAAGCACGTACATTTTATCCAAAAATCTATACGGTAGAAAAATTGCAAAAGAATTTAAATATTCTTGAAGCTTAAACATTCCAAACAAACATCTAGTATTCATAACAATTACAAGAAATTAAGATTGCAGCAATCCACAAAGCTAAATCATTTTCTATATACACAGATCAAAATACAATTGTGAATTGGTTAACTTCATGAAGTTGGCAGAAAACATTGTTTTGAAAATAGCTTCTAAAATTTTAAAAACTATGTAATAGTCAGACATTGTACAATGGGAATTTTATTAAACGTATACCTAACAGCAAATTGTGATTTTCCCATCACGACGTTGCCTTGAGATAAAGCAACAGGACAGGCTCGACCCCATTTGCTTCTGCGCCAGCGGTATCTAGGTGCTACACGTTGCATTGCTGAAAGGCCTCTGAACAGATCATCCTGTTTAGGAATAGTTAAGAAGCAGAATAATGTTAATTATATGGTTACAGCATTCCTCGATTCAGATGAAAACAGAGGAAGTACATTCTGTAGAAATGCATTCCCAGTGGAAAGACTGCTTAAAAGACTACTCACCAGAAGTCAACCAATTTAGGCTGACGATTTTCATCAATTGAAACATTTAAGAAAGAGGTAGATAAATATTGGTTAGGGGTGTCAAGCGATATGCTGAAGGGCACGGATATGATATGAAGTTGTTTGATCTAATATAATGATAGATCAGCTTAAGGGGTGAATGGTCTACTCTTAGTCCTATCTTGTTATGTTCTTACCAATACCATGACAATAATGTTATATCTGCAGAACGCTCCCTCTGACCGAGCCTTTAAATCCTATAAACTCCCACTGTCAAAAAAAAAGTGAAAAGGATCTTCCTTCTGGCAGCTAAATAAAAGGTGAAAACAGATGTCAGAATGGTAGTTTGTTCTGATGCAACTAATTTAAAACTAGTAGACTTGTTAAGACATCAAAAACGAGTCATCGACTGCGTGCTTCAGGAGCCTTATGTGCAGAATAAAATAAAATTGATTCATGGATTACTAATTAATCTATATTTATAAAATATAAACTAACCTGTCTCATGATGATCTAAACCCAGTTCACGTTCCCTATTAGTGGGTAACAATCTAATGCTTGGTGAATTCTGCTTCACTGTGATAGGAAAAGCCGACATCATTTCAGTGCCTTGGGTATCCTCCTGACAGGCACTATATAAATGCAATTTGTTGTTGTTGACGTCAAAGGATCCATTAAAAAATTAATAAATATAAATTAATAATTTAACAGGAACAGGAGGCCATTCAGTCCGTTGAGACTTCTCAATTAGTTTATTAACTAATAATAATCATTGCATTTGATATAGTGTCTTATCACATCAAGATGTCTAAAAGCACTTCACAGAATATAATGTAAAGTGAATTGATTGTATATTTTGTGTGCAAAACTTATCTTGGAAGATCTTTCCAGTCCAATGCACTGCCATTTCGCCATATCCCTTAATACATCTACTACCCAAGTTTCTGCCTGTCTTTTGAACATCTCCATTGATTTCACCTCCACAGCTTTCTGGGCTAGAGCCTTCCAAATCTTTACAACCCTCTATGTGAAGAAAATCTTGCCAACCTCAGTTCTATCTTGGGTCTGATTTTAATGGATCCCTCTCCCAAAGGAAATCATCTTAGGCTGCTTTTGCACACATCATTAAAACGAACTCACACAGAGCACTAGCACTGATCTACGATTAGGTTACTTCTTTATTTTCTCAAGCAGAAAATACGAGTTTGAGGCATTGGAAAGGGTTAACAACGGAAGAAATTAACTAAAGCAACTGGCAATTCAAAATAGAATAAAAAATGTAGTAAATTAAAATAATGAGAATGTCTCTGATAAAACATGATTCATAGTTTTAAAACAGATTACTATCAGTCTCACATCTTCAGCTTCTATTATTTCTTCTTCCTCTTGAACGTCGTGTAGCAAAACTGGTACGGCCGTAGGCTGTAGACCCATGAACTCCAATCGACTCTTCAATGACTAAAAAATAGACCAAATGCTGTGACAAAATGTCTAACCAGAATATATATAAAAAATATCTAGTTTGCCCCAGTGACCCAGTGTATAAAGGTTCTACTCAGTGAGGCAAAAACGCCATATTGACCAGAAAGTCACAAGTTTGACTTTCCATCTATATTGAATCAATTTAACTCACCCATAGCTGGTATTGGAAAGCTAAAATTGCCCTTAGCACCCCTAGAAGTATTAATAATAATAATAATAATCCTTGCATTTGATATAGCGCTTTTCACGTCGGGAGGACGTCCCAAAGCGCTTCACAGAACACACTGTAAAGTGAATTGACTGTATATTTGTGGGCGAACGCGGCAGCCAATTGCGCACAGCAATGTCCCACAAACAGTCGTAGATTGAAAATGACCAATTTATTATTGTTTTTGGTTTTGGAGGGATTATTATTAGGCGTGTGGAGTAAGGAAACTTGCCCAAGGTTTCGCCCTCTGCCTGGAATTGAACTCAGGTCTCTCACTTGCAAAGCGAGTGCTCTAACCACTGAGCTACAGGACTCCACAAATCTTTAGTCCCCACCTGAATAATTAATGCCGGTTTCTTCCACTGGAGTATAATTTTACATGCACCATGCCCAGATAGCCATTATTCATAATATTCATTTATGATAATACATAATAATAATTCTTGCATTTGATATAGCGCCTTATGTTTTGTCCACAAGATATACAGTCAATCTACTTTACAATATGTTCTGTGAAGCATTTTGAGTTGTCTCAACGATGTGATAAAGCTCTGTATCAAATGCAAGGATTATTATTATCATAACGTAGTTGAAATGTCTCAAAGAGCTTCATTGTAAAATGGATTGACTGTGAACATGAAACAAAAACAGATACTTTCATGGTGAGGACCCTGGTGATGTATGCATGTATCCTGTGTAGTAAAGTGACTGGACAAACCAGCTTTGAACTACGATTGAACAAACCAACTTCAAACTCTACCTCTGCACACATTATTCACGTGCAGAGACTTTTTGGGTAAAAGTAAAGGAAGTTTAGCTCGTATCCGCGGTAGAGAGATCTCACATAGAAGCTAGCAACACATACAGCCGGACTTTCCCAGAGAAATGTAACTGATCACCATCCTCTTCTCGACTTACTTGCTGCTTTACCTGGTAGATATTGTTTTAAAGTTGTGTTATTATTTAACAATCTGAATAAATTCATTAGTGATTCAGATTTATATTTGATGTTGACATTCGATTTATTAACTGTCCTGTATAAACCTTACAGGCACCAAACGGGTAACCCTTTTCGAGGGCTTGTACAGGAATGATGGGCCAAATTGTGCCCTCTGTACATTTCTATTGTTCTGTCAATAAAGTTACTTTGTTAGTGAATCACTTTAACATTGCCAAGCAACGAAAGTATACATAGGTAAAGTCTACAAACTAATGAATAAAGTACATTGTACACACAAACACACATAAATATACATACCTGTTTTTATTTATATATATAATATATATTTATATGTGTTCTTAAATTCTTTTCAAAAAAGTAGCACTTTCTTACCAGAAATAGCTCCCTTGGTTTTTTGTTTCCATCCAATTCTATCAGATGATGAGGATCTTGATCTGCCATATAATCCTGAATAATTTGTAATGAGAGAAAAACATTCAAATACTCAGCATTATATAATAGGAACATTTCTGGGAAAACAAAAAGTGTTGACATTGTTGTGAAAATAACAACAGTAATATCAATACAGTTGTAAATTATGTTCATTGGCTTTCTAATCATATAAGAGCAAGTAATTTAAATAAAATAGTTCCATACCTCTAACAGCCTCAACATATTGTTTTTGTAGAATGCTACATCATTATCAACACTTCCTGGAAAATCTTCGGGTCTCATCACTAAACGATTTAGGGTATCCTCATTTAAATCCAATTCTTCCTCCTTTTTTTAACAAAACAGATTTATCACGTGGAGAATTATGAAAAAAAATTCTACAACAGCCTTGTTTTGTATAGTTTTTGCAGATAATTCTATTTAATTAACAAAATAAAAAATAATTGACTTTGCTTTTAGAAATGTAATATTTCACAGCAATTCTTTAGAATTTAAAGTAAAGCTTCAGCAATCTAAATATTGACAGAGAAATATATTTAGTTAAAAAGCCTAATACCCCCTCCCTCCCTAATTTTTTTGGTCAGCTGGGTGTTTGACACATGCAGAAACCCATCACCACGCTTAAGAGTATCCAAACCAAACTGAGAATTCCATGGATCCCATCTACACATGGAAATTCGAGTGATAAGATTATTGGAATGGAATGAGCACTCTCTCCCTGGAGGGACGCATCCTGCTTACCCAATTCCGGAAAGTATTAGGTGCAGGTTGGCAAGAGCCAAGGCTTGGGGACTACAGAGTGAGCATTGGAGTACCTGCTGGAGTCTGACCAGCTACAATCACATAACTTGCCATTGATATCACTGCATCCTGCAAGCTTTCCCGCTGCTTGTCCAGCTAGAACCACCCTTCCTGTGGCTTGCACAGTTAACAGGAGCTGAGTGGGATGATTCCCTGGCCCTAGTGACTGGTCTGCCCTTCCAGGTCCAGCCGATGAGCCAGGCTGGGTTATGTCATGGTGACCTCAAGGTTAATCAGTACTTTTTTATTACAGTCAGACAAAGAGACCACAAGCAACTTGTATTTATATAGTTCTTGGAAGAAAAACTGCAGGGTCAATGAAGTGTTAATGCTTGAAATGTAAAGCACATCTTCTGCAGGGAGTTCATAGAAATGTATGACACAGTCGAAGGCCATCCTGCCTTTTTTCATGTCAGTGTATACTCCTCCAAGAAGCATTCATCATAATCCAATTTCTGCTCTTTCCTGACGCCCTCTACCAATAGCCTTTCTTTGCATTTGCTTGTTCAATTTTAAATTCCCCAGTTGACTGCTCTGACAGCCACCCCAGGTAAATCATTCCATATCATGACAAGCCTCTAAGAGTATAAGTTTTTATCCAAACCTTACCTTTCACTCCTCTAGTCACGATCTTTAATTCATGCCCGTTTGTCCTTGAATCTCCAGCGGAAAGAGTTTTTCAAGATGAATTCTCTCAAACGCTTTCACCTACTCAAACCCTTCTATCATTTCACTTCAATTTTCAATCAATCTATTATGTTGTGATTGGTAATTTATAATAGCAATTCATATTCAAATGTAATTACATTTTTAATCCAACATTGCAATCATATAGTAATTTTGTTTGGTCAGCTGACACATGTGAAAACCCATCACCATGCTCAAGAGTATTCTGACCAAATTGAGAATTCCATGTATTCTACACATAAATGGAATTAATGTAGTCTGCAATGGTATACGCATTCTCCCCCCAGAGAGTCACACCTGGAATTATAATTTTAATCCAACATTGCAATATTGTAGTAATATAAATAAAGGACATTTTTACCTCTTCAATAACTTCAATTTCTTCTTCCTCTTCCTCCTCTCCATAAATAATATCTTCTTTTTTCTTTTTTTTCTCCTTATCTGGATTCCATTGTTCTTTCTGTAACAAACGTCCATGGATAGGGTCTTGACGTTGTCCAGAAATTCGTTCACGCAAATCATAATCTGGGCACTATTAACAAGTATAAGAGAATAATTTTTAATGTTTTCTCAAAGAGTATGTTGTTTATCATCAAAAATCACCCAGCCAGCATATCTCTTGGGGGAACCCTAAAACGGTTCAGTCAGCTCTTTCATTAAATTCTGGGGGATTAAAAATGTTTAATATTTTAAAAGCAGTGTTTAAATGTTTACTTTACAAAATGAAAGTGCGTTACTCTACCCTTCCTTCATTCAAACATCTGCAAATACATATTGGATTTTACATTCACATTAATTACAATTTACATTTAAATAGCAGCTTTCGGGTGGAATGATTCCATGGAGGCATCTGAAAGTGAGAATGAAGATCAGTTGGGATCCACTAGAGCTAAGCGATGATGAGGAGTGATGGGATCACAGAAAATGGTGCAGGAGAGAACATGGGTTGCAGAGTTCTGAATGGTCTGCAGCCTGTGTAATAAATCCTTATATTTTGATCTCTAGAGGGAGGAACTGAGCAGTTGGAATAACCGAGCCTGAATGTGATACAAGTGTGAATTGAGGGATGATCAAAACTGGAGACAATACTCTAATACACTTTATACAAGCATCAAATTCATTGGTTTTATATTCAGCGCCCATATTTATAAACCGTAGAATTAATTTAGCTTTCTTCACAACTTGGTTCACCTGATCACCTTAATGTCTGTTAACCCATAGGTCTCTGCTCTACTCTTTTAAAAATTGCCATTTTGCATATTCTTGCTCTCCTTATTCTATCTCTCAAAATGTAAAACCTCACACTTTTCTGCATGAATTTCATCTCCCATCTCTGCCCAATCTGCTAGTCTGTGTCCTGTGTAGTTGCTTATAATCTTCTTAATTGTTCAGCTTCACTCCCTACTTTTTGTCAGCAAAAAACTTTNAAAAAAAATTTTCATTTATTTTTGAAACAGTGAATCAACATATCCTCCACTTATGACTGTCTCCGTTTGGATGCAATATTGACAGATCATAACACTTCGGCTTCCTAACCTCATTATTTGAAGGTCAGCATTTGCGAATCATAAATTCTTATAATAATAATACATTCTTGGCTTGCTTTCATGTGACCATGAATCTCCAACATAAATGACCTCGTGAACAGATCACTGAGTTCTTTACAACTCCCATTCCTGATTGGTGCCTTCATGACACTGCCACATAGACAAGACACTATGGGATTTCTCAGCCAAACATTCTTTGTATGTGTCTGTTACTCAAATAAGTAAATATTTCTTCTAGTANTTTTTTTCAGAAAAGATAGAATAGTTTAACTAGTTGCATTAGACTGGAAAAAGTAAATTGAGGGAAATGAGAGAGAGAGAGAGAGAATAGAAAATGGAAAGAAAAGGATTGCCAAGCAAAAATAAACTGTTTATTTTTTAATTTAAATTTGATTTTAAGTATTTTAGTTGTAGGTATTAGCATTTCTGTAGTTGTATTACTGTATTTTAAAAAGTAAATGGTTTCAGTAATCAAACTCTCAAATGACACAAATATAATTATTGTGTACAAGTGATTCAGAATCAATATATTGGTTTCAGAAAATTTACCCACAAGATTCAGCTATTTAACAAACAAGATTCAGTAATATGATTTAATGGTAGTTTGACACATAAGAATGCAGTTTGACTGATTTGGAGAAAGTAATAACACTTTAATCAAAATGCATCTTACCTTAATATTGATGATGAAGTCAGGATTTAATTTCAGATTTTTTATGAGCTCTATTTGTTCAGCAATTGTCAGGTACTCCTCAGATGCAGAAGGGATTCCAGACATAACATACCCTAAATAGGATTTATTGATTTTCATTTATCTTCAACACATTTCAGTTGCATGTGATATAGCGACTTTCAGATCAGGAAGACACCTTAAAGCATTTCACAGAATTTTATTTTATAGGTGAATGTGGCAGTTCATTTATATGCAGCAATGTCGTGCAAACAGCCATGTGAATAAAGTGAATACCCAATTTTATCTGGGGGATTGGTGGTCAGTACACTGGGTCTCCCTTTTGGAAATTCCCTTCTCTTTTCAAATTGTGCCATGGAATCTTTAATATCTAACTGACTTTGGTTTAATGTCTCATCTGAAGGACGGAACCTCTAACAATGCAGCATATCCCAGGATTGCATTTAAATGTCCACCTAAAGTATATGAGTTCAAAGACCCAATGTGCCACTTCAACCCACAACTTTCTGACTCAGTGGCAAGAGTGCTACCAATTATGATAGGATGACGCCAAAGACGACAAATTTGCACTGATATAAAAATTTACAGTTGATGTTCATTGTTCTTGTTTAACAATTTCACACACCTGTCAATCTCCTTGCAAGTCTAGACTGAGAATATGACTTGGCTAACGATTTGTGTTACTCTTTGTAACAACACACAAATCGTCAAGCAATGTTGATTTAAGACAGACACAGTTAAACAGAAACAATATAGTACTTTCTAACTTCATTTTAAAAAGTAGCTCTGGTTTCTTTCTTAGATGGAATAAACTGCTTCTTTGTTCTGAGCTGGAATCCTGCATCCAGGTTTCCCTACAGTGCTTAATTGTATTGACCACCAGCCCTATATTTATTATCAAAGAGACTATGCGCTCAAAATTCCAGGGAAGAAAAAAAGTTAACGAGCAAAGTGAAATTAACTTTTTTGGGCAAAGAGTCATTAACTACATGAATTCCGTGGAATATGCAAAGAGTCTATAACAATATCCTGCAAAGCAGGAAGGTCACAACCAGCCACTACCTCGCATGGAAAAAGTTCTTTGACAAGGTTCTTAAGGAGATTAACAGGGCTGATTCACATAGCAACATGATAGTGGGAGGGTATCTCCTGTAAGTATGTGGCAATGTACGCCATTGCCTCTGCTGTCCTGGGAAAGCCACAGCTGTCACTTAATGCTACATTGGTACTTGTTGCACAGGATACCCATCTTATTGAGGGAGGGTGATTATCTTCATCAACCAGGGGATGCTCAGGTATACTTATGCTCCCTCCACAAACCATAGGTAATAAACACCAGGGGGCATGGTGTCAAATAGTTATGGCTATACACCCATTTCTAACCATATAATTCCAACTTATTGAAGGAAATTTTGAAGACATTCTTCAAATCCCAACATTGAAGTTAATATGTCTACCTTTACCATAAGAATATCTACAAGCAAATGTTCAGCTGGTCCTTGTTCTGGCTTTGTAGCAACAAATTGTTAACTTGGGGCTACTTGTGGGACATTTGTGTGCAAATGGGCATTTGCCTACAAATATACAGTCACTCCACTTTACATTAAATCCCGTAAAGCGCTTTGAGACATCCTCCCGTTATGAAAAGCGCAATATAAATTAAATCTGCTATTTATCTTCTTCAAAAATAGTCAGCCATCAACAATCACTTAATTAATTCAATTGGTGGTTTTTACAGGATTAATGTTTTTATTCAACACAAACAAGAAAAATCTTTTGATATATATTATATATATACATAAAATATCTCTACTCCCCAAATTTCAACACACATCATATTTTTGGGGGGATGACTGGGTGCCTCATACTTAAGGCCAACAATAACTCCAAAATCCTATTCTCCACTGCCCACCATCTCCCTAGTGTGCCACCTCAAGCACCCTTAATCAACAACAACAAGATTACATTTGTATAGTATCACATCTAACACCAAGTGAGAAGAGGTCATGGACTTCCTTACCTCTAAAATTGACAACATACGCCTGGCAGCTTCAACCCTCTGACCTGTGTCGCCTATCACCATTCCATCTGCCTCACCCACCCCGCCCTCAGCTCCTACCATGGCCCTATCCTAAATTAATTTGCCCCCATCTCCCCTTTCTCCCTCTCATCCAGCATCACCACAATGAAATCCACCACCTGCTGCCTTGACCACCTTCCCACTGAACTGCTGATCACTCAGCTTCCCCTCTTCTGCCCACTGCTGGCAGACACTATTAACCAGTCTCTCTCCTCAGGATCAATCCCACTCGCCCTCAAACCCGCGGTCATCACCCACCTCCTTAAAAAATCTACCTTTGATCCCTCCAACCTCGGCCACTACCGCCCTATCTCAAACCTGCTGTTCCTTGCCAAAGCTCTGGAACGTGTTGTTGCCAACCAACTTCGTGCACACCTCTCCCTCCACACCCTGCTTGAAACCCTCCAGTCCGTTCTCCGCTCAGCCCACAGTACGGAGACAGCCCTCGTGAAAGTCACAAATGATATCCTCTCTATCTGTGACCAGGGCTCCCTCTGCCTCCTCGTCCTCTTGAACCTTTGCACTGCGTTCGACACAGTCAATCACGCCAACATCCTCCACCGCCTGTCCTCCATCATCCACCTCAGTGGCACCACATTCGCTTGGTTCGAGTCCTACCTTATAAACCGCCAGCACTACATTTCTGCAAATGGCTTTCCTTCGCGCTTCCACCCAGTCACCTGCGGGATACCCCAAGGATCCATCCTTGGCCCCTTTCTCTTCCTCATCTATATGCTCCTTCTCGGTGATGTCATCCGCAGACACGGGGTTAACTTCCACATGTTTGCGGATGACAATCAACTCTACTTTTCCACCTCCAGCTGCGAACCCCAGTCCCCTGATGTTCTGTCAGCTCGTCTGTTGGACATCAGGAGCTGGATGAGCACTAATTTCCTGCAGTTAAATGTCAACAAGATGGAAGCAATACCCTTTAGCTCCGCTGACGTCTTCTGTCCCATGGTTCTGACCTCCTCAACCTACCCGAGCTGTCCTTAAAACTCTCTAAACCCGTGTGCAATTTAGGCGTCAGGTTCGATCCAAAGTTATCCTTCCTTCCCCACATCGAGTCCCTGACTAGCACGGCTTTCTTCCACCTCCACCACATTGCCCATCTCCGACAATACCTCACCCCAAAAGCTGCCGAAACCCTTGTTCATGCCTTTGTCACCTCTCGGCTGGACTACTCTAACGCCCTCCTCGCCGGTTCCCCCCTCCCCCACTATTCACAAAATCCAGCTCATTCAAAACTTTGCCGCTCGCATTCTCACCCGCACCAAACTCCGCACCCCGATTACTCCAATCCTTGCCAAACTCCACTGGCTCCCTGTCACAGAGCGGATCAAGATCCTCACTCTAGTATTTAAATCCCTCCATTCCTTGGCACCACCTTATCTCTCTGTTCTCCTTTCCTCCCACAGCAGTACCTGTTGCCTCCGCTCTACTGGGTCCGGCCTCCTCCGCATCCCCTGAATCCTCCTCTCCACCATCGGGCAGCTGTGCCTTCAGCCACTACGCCCAGAAACTTTCGAACTCCCTCCCTCAACCCCTTCACCTCGCCCCTCCTTCTCCATCTTCAGGTCGCACCTGAAGACCTTCCTTTTCGACCGTTCCTACGGTCACCTTCCCCCTCCCCCTGGCTCGGCCTCCACCATTGTTAAGTGCTCTGAGATGCCGCCCGGTGTGGAGGGCACCTATATAAGTGCAAGTTATTGTTGTCTGACAGTTGTCTGACAGATGGGAAAACATATCACCATGCTTAAAGTGATTCCAAAGTAGACAGAGTTCCACATATGTATACCTACACATGGAAATTTATGCGTGTCTGGAATGGGATGTGCACTCTCCCTCTGGAGAATCGTACCTTACTTACATAATTCTGGAGAGTACTACTTACAGGTTGGCAAGAGCCAAGGTTTTGAAACCCCAGACTGTGTTGGTGTACCACTGGATTTTAAACAGTTAAAACCATATAGCTTGTCATTGAGAGGACTGTCTGACAAGCCTTGTGTTGCTTGTCCAGCTAGTACCAACCTACCTATTAAGGCTTTGGCTTGCAGGCGCTATATAAATAAGTAAGGCAAACAGAATGCTTGGCTATATTGCTAAATCAGTTGAGTTTAGATCACCATATACATACTCAGGCTGTATAATGCTCTAATCAGATCTATCAATACTGTATACAGTTCCGGTCACCGCGACATAAGGGGTTAGCTGCCCAGACAATGCAGAGAAGAGCATTAATGTTAGAGGAATAAGCAGTGAGAAATAACTAGACTAACTAGGCATCCTCAGCCTTGAGAGAGAACAATTCAAAAGGGATCTCATGGAAGTGTACAAAATTTTAAATGGGATTAAAAAATTAAAACCAGATCAATATGCATCATGACAGTGGAACAAGAGGTCATAGGTTTAGGGGTGTAGAGATTCTGGAGGATTAGATCAGATAGATGGAAGGGCCTTCTTTATCCAAAATATTTTTTTTGTAATACAGTTTTTTTAAAACAAGCAATGGCCATGGTAGGATTAACTATACCCAAGATAATAACAATAATCCTTACATTCGTATCTATATTTGTTTTGTATCTACTTACCATAATGATCAATTTCTTCAGAGTTGAGTTTATCTAAAATTAAATTTATCATAATTTCCTCAGAAATGCGTCCACCCATATTTAGTATCTTCTGAAGCTGAAGGATAAATTATAACATTATAAAATTTTCTAAAATAATCACTTATGATTAATTTATTTTAAAAGTTGAAATTGATTCTGCAGATTCCAATGTTTAATGCAATAAAAGATGCAAAATCTATTCATGTTTACTGAGACGCCATCCGGCGTAGAGGGCGCTATATAAATTCAAGTTGTTGTTGTTGCTGAATAATTAGAAATAGTTTGTATGAGTATTAGTACATAAAGAATAACTTTTAAGTTGAATTATTGAGTTTTTTATTCCTGGATTCCAAGTCCCAATTAAAGAAAATGCCCCTCCCCATTTTTAGGGAAGCATCTATTACCAAAATGAAAGTTAGCAAAGAGTTCCCTAATATTCTTTTAAAATATTCCAATCGATTCCACATCTGCAGTCTTCTCGTTGGTGCTTTCCATATTCTCACAATCCTTTGTGAGAAGAAATAATAATGGTAATCTTTAATAATAATCTTTGCATTTGGTATAATAATAATAATAATAATAGGACATCCCAAAGTGCTTCATAGAACCGGAGTGATAGTGCATTTGTAGGTGAACGCAACAGCCCAATTTCACACAGCAATGTCCCACAAACAGCCATGAAATGAATGACCAATTTTATTTGGTGAATTATTGACCAGGACACCAGGAGAAACTCCATTCTCTTTTCAAATAATGTCATGGGATCGTCCACCTGAACGTCCATCTGAACAGGCTGACAGGACCTCTGTTTAACTTCTCATCCGAAGGACGGCACCTCCTACAATGCAAGAGATCCCCACTACTGCAACTGGAGTGTCCGTTTAGACTATGTCAGGACTAGAGTCCTGAGGTTGGTTTTGAACCCACAACCTTCTGACTCAGAGGCGAAAGTGCTACCGACTGAGCTAGGCTGACAATGTTCTAATTGGAGTAGTTCTAATTTTAATATTATAATACTTTTAATACTATCTGTTTTGAATCCTTCTTGTTAATTCCCCTCATTATTTCAAACATTTCAATCATGTCATCCCGTAATCTGCTCAACTCTTGGCAATACAGTATGAACCAAATATACTCAAGCTCTCATCATAGCTAAGTCCTTTTATCCTGATATTAATTTGATGAATTATTCTGTGGACATCTCCATGGTCAGTATGTATCCTTCCTAAAGTTGGATGCCTAAAACTGAACATAGTTCTCCAGCATTCTTTCTGAAACTGCTGGAGCACTTCCTTGCTTTTATAGAGTGATTTTACTGGCTGAGAATGCAGATTTCAGCCTAACTCTGGAAACAAGCAATTTAAAAAAAACTTAAAGCCCCATACAGGCCATAAAATTTATAAAATATAAAGGACTGTTTTTTTTTCTTGCTTCAAGTTTTGAATTGATCTCTAGATACTACATAGAAATGAAGAACTATATTGAGGACTTGCTGAAAGGAACACGGCACCTGGACTTTAATGACCAGATCTATGTAATTCTAGTGTTAAAGGGAAGGATGTAAGGCAGGGCAGTGGGATTGACATTGAAAAACAAGATTAAATTTCCACCCTATTGAAAATGTATAACCAAATACTGCACTTAACACAAAAGAAACATTTGCTTACCTTCCGTCCAAGTTCTGTGTTTGAATAGAGAGTCTCTTGTAAAATTTGACTAGCTGTAAGCAAAATATCAGAACATATTTTAAACTAAAATATGAAAAAATATGTAAGAGTATTACTATAAAATGAAATCCAATCTAACGCTTACCTTCAATTAATTTACATCCCCATGCTTTTGCTATGCTTTTAGCTAGAACAGATTTTCCAACACTCTGTAACAAAATATAAAACAAACATTGTTTTTGTGTGTTTTTTTAGATCCTAATAAAAATTCTTAATAATAATAATCCTTGCATTTGATATACAGCTTTTCACGTCGGGAGGACGTCCCAAAGTGCTTCACAGAACACACTGTAAAGTGAATTGACTGTATATTTGTGGGCGAACGCAGCAGCCAATTGCGCACAGCAATGTCCCACAAACAGTCGTAGATTGAAAATGACCAATTTATTATTGTTTTTGGTTTTGGAGGGATTATTATTAGGCTCTGTGTGGAGTAAGGAAACTTGCCCAAGGTTTCGCCCTGCCTGGAATTGAACTCAGGTCTCTCACTTGCAAAGCGAGTGCGCTAACCACTGAGCTACAGGACTCCAGATTCAAGGGTTTATGAAAAATAATATGAAAAGTAATATTGTTACATTAACGCAATACAACAATAACAAATTGCATTTATATAGCGCTTTTCACATCGGAAGGACCTCCAAGGTACTGGACAGTCAAAGGTTTGCTCTTGAGTTGCAGGCTGGAGTCACAAGGGGTGGAGGCCAAGGGTGGTGGTGGTGGGAAGATGACCGAAGGTGCACCCAAAGAGGAAGGTCTTGAGACAGGCCTTGAAGGAGGCAAGGGAGGGGGCAAGATGGATGGGCTCTGGGATAGAGTTCCAGAGGGTGGGTGTAGAAAGGCTAAAATCCCAACCTCCAATAGTGGAGCCAGCAGAGCGGGGGCATGGAGAAGGCCAGTACGCCGCTGAGCGGAGGGAGTAGACAGGTTCTATGATTCCGCGAACAGTAGAATATCAGGAGGTCACAGAGGTAGGGCAATCCACTTTACAGAATATCGTGTGAAGCGCTATGAGATGTCTCAATGATATGATGATGTGCTATGGCGATCAAATGCAAGGATTATGCAACTATATATAGTAAACTTCTGAAATATCTTCAGTCCAATGGAAAAGAGAGTAGTGACTCTATATCTGAGATAATTGTAGGCATGAGTCCTCTCCCGGCATGCGGCCGGGAGACCTAGTGCCGAGCTAGCAGCTGTCACTATGATGGAACTGCCCTGTCTTCACAGCTGTCAGTTTATTTACTAAAGCTTGTTTAAGTTAAATAGAAGTATAAGTTTATGTATAGACATGTGTCTATAAAAAACGTTTTATTCATTTTGCTCATTTTATCAAAGTGTATCACTTAGACTTTAATAATCAGGCAGAACTTCACAGAAGGTAAATCTAAAATGTGTCCTCACATAGATCTTGCCACAACAATCAAAACAGCCTGCCACGTGGCTGGCTGAGGGTGAGGGTGAACTATTCCCACGGTGCCAGGCTGCTCATCCCGAGAGTTTGCTAAGCAGCACTAGCCATCAGTGCAGCTGACCAGCGCAGGTAAGTTCATTCCAATGATATATCAGATATTTTATTTCCTGGGATTTATAGAATGTGACTTTATATATTACTAGCTGTACTCGTTGCAGCTACGCTTGCAACCAGTTTCATTTAATTGTCCTTCTCTTTTGTCTGGGATTTTTATTTGTCCTTGAAAGACTTGATCTTCGCTTCTTCGGCTTAAGATTAAGAAAATGTGCTACTGAACTCGTTAGCATCCCTTGTACCTTTGCACACATTTCGTTTGGGAGGACTCAGTGGGAAGACTCAGTGGGAGGACTTCTATTGGAAGGACTCAGTGTGAGGCCTCAGTGCGAGGCCTCCTGTTGGAGGACTCCCGGTTGGGAGGACTCCCGGTTGGGAGGATTCCTGTGGAAGTACTCGTGTTGGGAGAACTCCTCGTTGGAGTCCATACATATGTGATGAGCTTGTATAGGTCACAAAAGGAGATCCCCCCAAAAAATGTCCATGACACTCCCCCACGCAAGACCTTTCCGATGTCTCTACATCAATCGGTTATTACGTTCTTGGCGGACACACAGACACACACATACACACAGACATTTTGTCTTTATTATTATAGAAAAGAGTGTATTTAAATAAAGTGAGGGTCCCTCATTCACATTTTGCATGGGAAATGGACGGGATACTGACAGTATGATGATATAAGATATGTGATGATATAATCTTGGGTCTTATTATCAGGAGTTCACTGTACCTTATTTGTCCATCCCAAAATATTTTAATCTGTTTTTTGACCTTTGTTGTGGTAAAATTACATTGTAAAAGAATTACTGGAAATATTTATAATAAAAACAAGAATTCTTTCAACTATAGAGCATATCACACTTTGAGGATGTCTAAAGTGCCTCAAAGGAAGTGCCTACTAACATCATTTTTTTCAAATACAAAACTGCATTAAAATATATAAAAGCTTACTGGTTTTCCCACAATGATGAAACACTCAGGTTTTGACAAGAGAAGGTCTTGCTCAGCATCATCTTCTTCAAACCTGTCTGTAAAGTTCCACTGTGGTTGCTTGGAGTCATCTGATAGCATTTCTGGATCAATAATCTTTCATTGTACAAAAGAAAGAAAAACCATGACTTTTTTTTCCAGTTTTCTTTTTCCTTTCTTTCAAAGGTTGAGGTTCCAAGTTCTCGCTTGTAACTCATAACAAAGAACTTGGGACTTAAACCTCTGATATACATAGCATTGCGAGCAAAACAGTTTAACACTACATCCTCGTGGGAGGGGATAGGCAACTGGGATCTCTTTGGAGCTGAGCTGGTTCCAAGGTCACGTCTTTAGCAATGAAATCTCAGAATCAAGTCAATCCTCTGTGGAGGTCCCAGGTGTTGGGTTTCTAGGCCAGAACACTGCTGATGAAAGACTGGTCAGACTGGCACAACAGCAGAGCTTGGGAGGGCAGACCAGTCACTGGACGCAGGGATCCTTTCCCACTCAGCTTGTATTAGAACAATCCTTGAATCTGATGTAGCGGCTCATCACGTCTTCAAGACGTCTCAAAGCGTTTCACAGAATACACCGTGAAGTGAATTGACTGTATATATATATTTTGTGGGTGAAATGTTAACACTGTTTAAAAAAATTTAATTCGGGGGGGGATTTTTGTTTGCAACTTCCTGTAATATTTTGTTGGAATCTCATGAAAGTATTTCATTTACAGCCTGAAATTAAAGCACATCTTAAGTTCCTTTAAATTAAACTGCTTTTCAGATTAATTTTTACATCCCAATCCCCAGCTGGGTTGTAAAATCCAAACAGGTAATCAGATTAGACCTGCCCTTAGACCTGCTCATTTCATAAAAACTGAGGGCGAAATCTTGGGCAAGTTTCCTTACTCCACACAGAGCCTAATAATAATCCCTTCAAAACCAAAAACAATAATAAATTGGTCATTTTCAATCTACGACTGTTTGTGGGACATTGCTGTGCGCAATTGGCTGCCGCGTTCGCCCACAAATATACAGTCAATTCACTTTACACTGTGTTCTGTGAAGCGCACGTGAAAAGCGCTATATCAAATGCAAGGAATGTTATTATTATTATAAATGAAGTGTTAATTTTCTATCAACTAAGTAACAATTAAATAGTGCGTACTATTTTTTCCTTTGTTTTATGTTAACTCACGGTTTGTGGATCAATTCTCTTCGGTTGTGCCAGTTGCACTGATTTTGTTGTCACTCAGTAACCACAGAAACGCCAGGGGGCGTGGGGTGAGGGAAACAGGTCGCCAACGGGTAGCAATCAGTGGTGGCCGACAGCTTTGGTTGCCCACAAAATAACTTAAATGTTTTCTGTTGGAACCTATGCTATTTTGTTGCTTCTTTGCTATTTTGTTGACCGTCACTGCCAGTGCCGGTCCCACACTGCGCTCTGGGAGTTGCAGTTTCTCAGGAGCGGCGGATGGACTACAAGACCCAGAGTGCACACACTGGATCTCCTCTCGTTTGCCGTTTCCTGTCGGGAAGCGGTACTCCTCGCAATGGGTTAGTCCGCGCGGGGCCCTCGCGAGTGCTACTATAGAGAGAGCGATGAGGAGGTCTTTATCAGTTTGTGGACGCCTCTGAGGGAATAGAGAGCAGGTGTCGGTGTAGGTGTCGGGGTCGGCCGGTGCCGGGGGGTACCTTGCAGGCATCTGAGTCTTCGCGGCTCCGTCCGGGCAGCAGCTGAGTGTCACTGGACTGGGCGGTGGGGGAAGGGTTGGGAGGTGAAGGTGGGGCTGACGAGGACATGTCCGTCGTTGACATTGTGTGGTATTTGGGGCTTTATTAAATTTAATTAAATGAAATTACAACGAGAAATCCTGAAGAGAGGCCCTCGAGTGCCAAAGGAAGCGGTAGTTGTGAGGTGTGTGGGCGCTGGTGTCCGGGCGGCCTCTCCCTGCGCGGCGCTGCGCGGCGCTGCTCTGCTCCGGCCTCGCGCCCTGTCCGTTAGGAGCAGTTGGAGCGCGGATTCCAGAAGCCCCGCGCGAGGCTCCTCCAACCGCCGTTCGAGAGCTGTGGCTCTGCCGCGGCAATGTGGTCAGGTTGGGCGGGTTCACGCCCGATGGGGCGGGTTTGTGCTGTGCGACGGAAAACCGCTTCAGGCGGGTGGCAAACTTTTTAACTGTTTCATTTAAACCGTGGAGTCCTGTAGCTCAGTGGTTAGAGCACTCGCTTTGCAAGCGAGAGACCTGGGTTCAATTCCAGGCAGAGGGCGAAACCTTGGGCAAGTTTCCTTACTCCACACAGAGCCTAATAATAATCCCTCCCAAACCAAAAACAATAATAAAATTGGCATTTTCAATCTACAACTGTTTGTGGGACATTGCTGTGCGCAATTGGCTGCCGCGTTCGCCCACAAATTTACCGTCAATTCACTTTACAGTGTGTTCTGTGAAGCGCTTTGGGACGTCCTTCCGACGTGAAAAGCGCTATATGAAATGCAAGGATTATTATTATTATTATTAAACCGCAAAACGTTTGTTGTCTTTCCCGTTTCTCATACAGTTTCAAAAGCATTAACTGAGTTGGCCACGTTGCTGCCCGCAAGCAGACGAGGCCTACTATTGGGCTACTTTGGGCTACAAACGTATTGCAGTCAGTCAGTCAGTCAGTCAACAACTTGCACTTCCATAGCGCCCTCCACTCAGTGTAGCGTCTCAGAGCGCCTAACAGTGCTGGAGCCTGACTCCGAGCCGGGGGGGAGGGGGGCGTAAGCCCGGCCCAACAGGAAAGTTTTCAGCCGGGACTTGAGAGAGGGGGCGCAAGGCGGGGGATTGAGGAGAGTGTCCCCGAGTTTCAGGGCGTAGTGGCTGAAAGCACAACCTCCGATGGTGGAGCAGATTGTGCTCTGAGGGACGAGCAGGAAGGCCGGTGCCAGTCCGGCAGAGGCGCTGGCAATGGTGGATTGGGGAGTGAGGAGGTAGGGAGGTGCCGGGAGTGAATGGATTTGAACGTGAGTGTGAGGATCTTGAAGTCGATTATTATTGATAATAGTTTATTATTATTTATAGATAGAGTAGGATTAAAATCTTTCACTTTTTGGTTCAAGAGTTCAATATGGAATCATTTGAGCCATAGACTGAAGGGCGTCCCAAAGCGCCATTCACATCAGTAGAAGGATGGGAGCTGAAGAGAGTAGGGAAATGACGGAAAATGCAGTCAAAGTAATAAGTCTTCAGTAGGCTTTGAAAGTGGAGAAGGAGGCAATTCGGATGAAAATCAAGTGGAAATATTGGGATAATTTTTTCAAAAGTGACTCCTATTAACCCTGCAATTCAGCTTTCCAAAATCTGCAGTGTTTTGGCCTTTCCCTAATCGGAGGGTCGTCTCGATAAACAGTCACCAGAAAACTTGCCTGACAGTGCTCACGGTGGCAAGCTCTGCGTTTTTAGCTGCTTGAACTCCATCAGTAACATGACACACACAAACTAGGTGGCTAAATCGTAGTGTTTGCCAACCTGTGCCTATTACTCTTTGGAATTAAATAAACAGGATGTGTCCCTCCAGGAGAATTGTTCATTTCATTCAAGAAATAGGGACATTTTCCTGCATAGATGGCATACGCACGTGGAACTCTCAGACTGGATTGTTGTAAGTGTTGTAAGTACTGTTTGTAAGCGCTCTGGGATGCGACCCTCCGTGAGGGACGCAGGTGTGATAGAGGTGATACAAGAATATGTTACAAGTAATATAATTTAGCTGCAACATATGTGTTTGTATTAAAAAAAGTGTAGCACTCAGGGATGATTACTAAAAAGAATTGGGGAAAACTGGCTTTTCAAATTAACATTGAATGTAAGAATTTTCCAAAATGTGTGATATTATACATTTCAAACATTCCAATGTTTATAATAACAATATTCTTGATGGAATATCTCTCCTCTCTTTGTAACTTTTTGGTGGTGATAAATTACATTTGGCCTAATTACTTTCTGAAGATGAATGAAGTTATTTCCGCTGTGCCTGTCAACTAATAACTGGAAGAACCAATCAAATAACATTAATATGCTCACCCAGTGTGGTCAAGTTATAGTGGTGGCCAAGCAGTGATGGCCAGCCACAAGGTACACACCACGCCCTTGCTAGTGGCATGCAACACAGTAAAAATAACTCCAAAAACAGCAACAGTTACTGGATCCTGCACTCCCTCACCTCTCACCCAAAGCTGCAGCCTTTGAAGTCAAGTGTGTTGACGTTTAATTGTTTAATCTTGCAAGTGTTTGGATTTTACCCCCAAACATGTCGCTTAGTAAGTCCTGTTTGTCAAAAAGAAATATGAAGAGGTCATCGCGTTGAGAAAGTTTAATCCAGTTTGGGAAGAACAGTTCTTGTTTACACAAGGGAGCGCTTCAAAACCATTGGGCTTGGTTTGTGGTGCTACAATTGCTGTGCCTAAATAAATTTATTTACAGTCACATTTTACGCAAAACATACTGATGGAGGTATTTTCTACCTCCATCAGTAAGTACTTTTCATTAATATTGGATGAAAGTTGTGATTCAAGTGACACGACCCAGCTCTGTCTTTGTTAGGTATGAAATTTTTTATATTATTGAGGAACTTTTTGGTTTATGTCAGCTTGCTTAAACCACGGGACCGGATATTTTTGAAGAATTAAAAAAAGTATTTAAAAACAATAAGCTTGACTGGTCCAAATTGGTGAGCATTTGTACAGATGGGGCACCTGCTATGACTGGAAAGAAGAATGAATGGTTGTGTTGCTTTGTTGGACAAGTTTTTGGAACGCAAGTTATTCAAGTATCTTTGTATTATTGATCAGGAGGTCCTTCACGCCGAAGACTTGAACTTCTCTTGTGTACTTGATCCTGTGGTGAGTTGCATAAACAAAATTTGTGCGTGCTCCTCCAAGACAAAGACTGGTTCGGTGCCCTGCCTTCCTAACGGACAGTAGCGGTCATCTTAACAACCTCAATGCACGCTTGCAAGGAGAGGATTGCTTTTTTCCAACTCTGTTTATTTTAATTTCAGCTTTCAATGCCAAACGGAACCTTTTTTTGTCTTATCTCAAAAAAAACTGGATCATTTCATTTACTTGCAACAGTTAGTGACAGTAACATCATCATCAATTTTGAAAAATATCTGAACGTGANTTTTTCACTAATTAATTCCTTTGATGCCAGTTTTCAAGATTTTAAAGAAGAGAAAGACAATAAAGCACTTTTCACCAACCGTTTCTCTCTTTCGGAGGTTGTACACTAACCACCAGAAATTCAGTTGGAAATTTTGGAACTTAAAAATCATTCAGACCTACATAACAAATTCAAAGAACTGTGTGCTTCTCCAGTAAACCAGGACTTGAAGTCATTTGGGAAATTAGTCCTCAAGAGTGATTTTTCTAAATTGCATGGCCATGCTCTTCGACGTGTTCCGATTTGGATCAACCTACAGCAGTCCTTTCCTACCAAGAACTTCATAAAAATAATATAGTTCCACATGAACAGATAATCACATTATTAATCGTCTAGTGACGTGCGCAAAGCTGAACCCAAATATTGAAGACGCCATGAACAAAAAACAAATTCATTAAGTAACTTGTTTGAAATTTTATTGTGAATTTTTAATACATCTTTTACAATAATATTTTTGTTTTCTTTTAGTGGCCCGGCGATATGTCTTGGCTCACATGTGGCGCACCTTAGCAGAAGGTTGGCCACCACTGCCCTAGCTAGTAAGAGGTAATTCATCAAGAGCCTTACATATTCTTCATTGTTTGAATCAATTTTCAGTGCTTTTTCAAGGTATTCAACAGCCTGTGGCTTCTCCCCATCCAGCTGATGCATGAACCCAAGGAAACCAAAGGCAACGCTGTCTCTTGGATTTCTTTTGAGTTGTGCTTGTAAAACCTTTTCCAAATTTTTGCAACATTTCTCTCTATCGTTGGACTTGTACTTTCATTCCTTTCAGGAAAAAATCAGCAGCCTTCAAATCAGATCTTTCATTATGCATTTCAAATAAGTCAACCTTTAAAAATATATATTGTTTATTTTCAGGATGTGTTTCTTCTAATTTAAGCAGGTTCATTTAGATTACTTCAGCTTTGTGTTGTTCTTGATTCATTAAACAGATATCTGCAAAATCCAGTTGTGCGCTAATGAATGATGGTTTTAGCTTTTGATCTAGTTTTGGTCAACCACGTGTCTCAAACTAGCAAAAACTGATCACCTTGGTTCAGATCATCAAAACGAGCCTGAAAATCGCACATATGAACATACTTACTCATCAGAAATGTTTCTAGAATTAAATGCACTCTCTCTCCCTGGAGGGCTACATCCTGCTTATCTAAATCTGGAGAGAAGAGTCGCTTGAGGTGGACAGATATTCGTTAGGTCCGGTTAAAGAGGGTTATGGGCAAGAGTGGGTAATTGGAGTTGAGCTACAGATCAGTGATGATCTTATAGAATGGTGAAACAGACTCGAGAGGCTGAATGACCACTCCTGCTCCTATGTTCCTGTGTTGAGTCAGAAGGTTGTGTGTTTAAGCCTTTCAAAACTTTGAGCTCATCATCTCGGCCACTTGGTGTCTGTCTCTAACTGAGGTCTTAATAACTTGTATTTAAGTAGTATCATTCATGTGGGGTAATGTCTCAAACCATATTAAAGAGACAGTGCCAGCAGCGAGACTGAGGGAAAAGGGGAGGAGGGAAGTGACTGGAGTCATGGTTGAAAATGAAGGTTTTCAGGAGGATTTTAAAGGCTCTTGAAAATGCGGTCTCTCAGTGTGTGGCACACTGCTACACTGCTAAGTAAATGGTTAGCACTTTAAACAGAATTACATTGACTGTAGAACTCCAAGAAAGGCTATTTGTCTCAAATGGACCGCACTGGTGTTTATACTCCGATGTTC